TATTTAAATAATATAATTTCGTATTGTAATACTAGTTCATAAAAGAATATATACCAGTATTTACATTATTTATTTTTAAAAAAATAACACATTAAAATTTATATCTTGATTTTAAATTTTATGTTTAGAATTTTTATAAAGTTTATTATTGATTTTTAATGTTTCTCGAAAATATATACCATATTTAAAATGGAATCTGTGTTATAATTATTTATATTTTGGTAATTGTAGTTAAAAATTATCAAAGATATTGTTTTTTATTGATTTAATTTAGTTTATCGGTAGGAGACTTGACAAGCTGTGCTTTCAAAATTAAATTAGATGACTTCTGAGATTGCTCATAAAACTAATAATGAGTCTTTATATGAAAATACAAGAAACTCAGACACTAAGGTTTTCAATTCTGAAATTCTAAGAAAAAATGAACAGTTAAATAAATTGGATCAAGTAAATGATTTAAAAATAAATTCAGATCAGCTATATTCTATTAAAAATAAAAAAAATAGTTCATTTAGTTGTCTTTCTGATGATTTATCTGGTATATATTATTATACAAAAGTAATTAATTGGTATGATAAAATGACAAAGTCTATTGTCCAGAGAACAATTGTTTGTCAAAATGGTACTTAAATTTTTTTTATACAACTTTTATTTAATATTTTCATCTTAGAAAATAGTTTGTATCCGATAATTCCTTTGGCGAATTTATTTATTCTTCAAGATTCTTCAGGGAATTTTTTATCTGGTTATTCTTTGCAGAATTCTCAAATTTCTGCAAATTCTTTACTTAGTATTATCGCAAATTATGTTGTTTCAAATGTTTCTGAAGAATATTTGGATAATATTTTACATCGCTTGCCGCTTTTACATAAGTGCTTAAATGTAAATCCTTGCTTTAAAGATGTTTTACGATTTGATGGTGAAGATTCTAAGATATTTTCAATTTTAGGAGTGCAACTTTTGCATGGATGGCTTCCCAGTCCTCAAGAAGATGGTTCTGATATTTATAACGCAGTTATTAAAGCAGAAACATATGAAAATGCTTTAGAAAAAATAACTATAATGAAAGAGCTTTTAGAAAATAAAAATCTTGAATACGCTTCTAATCATGAGAAAATTTCTGAAGGTCAATTACTAAATCGTTTTTTGTGCTCATATTCACGTTGCTTAACACCACATGGTATAACAGTTTTGCGAGAAAAGTTGCCTCCAGGAAATTTATCAATATTGTTCCATAATCTCAATTTTTCTCTACTTTATTCTCATTATCAGACTGGGGACCTTTATACATTAGTAACGAATTATGCATTTAAGGATTATGAAGATAAAATTGTTTGGGAATCTTTAGAAACATCTTCATACTTTAATTCAGATTTTATTCTTCAAGATATTTTATTTAATGATATGTCTGGCATAAATAATGAGTAATTTTTTAAATTTAGTTATAAGAATTTCTAATTTGTAAAGCTTTTCTTTAGCTTTAAATATGCAATTAATGGAAGATCAGCAAAAAGAGAATTGGGTATATTATCTTTCTCAATCAAAAAAATATAAAAAACATAAAACTTCAAGAAAAGTTAAAGAAAAAAAAAAAAAAAACAAATCAAATAATGATACAGTTTCTAATTGGAAAAAAAGGGCATCTGATTCTTTCGAAAAGTTAAACAATAATTTACAAAAAGAAAAAAAATGTATTATATTTTAAATATAAGCTTAAAGTATAAGTTTATATGTGGAAATGTTCTTATAAATATTATTATATTGGATTTGATTCTGTTAGTACTATTTTTTACATATAATTGATTAATAAAAGATTCATAATAATGATGTTTAGTTAAAAGTAGATCTATTGAATATAGTATAGGTTTTTAAAATATTATAATGGGTGTAATAGCAGTTAGGTTTTGTGAATATATCATTTATACATATTTCACATTCTTGTATTCACTTTTATTATACCATCTCCACCGACACTTGTTACATACTCTAACTGGCAAGTATTGTCTCTTCCATGCCACCATGAAACATCATTAACACCTTCTTGTGCTTTTATATGATGATTTGAAATTTTTTGAATGCAAACATGAGGAAATTGCATATCCCAGAATCTAATAGAAGCATCATGACCTAAATAATAGATAAATATTTTTGTATTATATAAAATACAATTATTACCTCCAGAAACTAAAATTCTGTCATCCGGAGAAATATCTAAAGATGATATTGCATTTAAATGTCCAAGCATTGAATATGTGCATTGAGCTTAAGAATATTAGAAATATAACATAAATAAATTAAATTACCTGAATTTATATCATAAAAGCGAATATATTTATTTTCATGACCAGAAATTAACATATTTTCTTTGGAAAGACTTATAATTTTGTTAATTTGAGTATCATTGGTTCCATCTATATGATTATGAATGATTATAATTATATTAAAAATCTTACCATAAATTTCATCATTTCTTAATTCTAAAACACAGCTGCCCGTTTCAATATCATATATTCTAATTATTGCATTATTCCATGATACCGAGATTTTTCTTATATCATTATTTAGAAAAGTTATACTAGTTGGGATAACAGAAGATGGTTTGTTTAAATTATTTCCATGAAAATTTAATGTAGAAAGAAGAGGCGATGAGTCAGTATGATTAATATCCCAAAGTTTTACGGTTCCATCAGCAGAAATTGATGCTAATAGATTTGATACTGGCTGGAAAGATAAATCCCATACTGCATTTGAATGGCCAGTAAATATGCTTGAAAGAGTGCAATCATCTTCAATACATTAAATTTATTATTAAAAAGTTCTTATTATACCTATAGGGGCATAAATATTACGTTGAGGTTCTGGTATTTTCCAACATCTAATACTAGAATCAATTCCAGAACTGAAGATTTTATTAGCTTCAAGTGCAATGCAAACATTAGTTACTATTCCAGAATGGCCTCTATAGGTAATTTGAGGGATAATATCTTGGCTATTATAGTCCTGTTAGTGTTCTATATTAATAGTATTAAGACAATACTTTCGCATTTTCTTATCATTTATTGGAAGTCTCCAAAATTTAACAAGTCCATCGTCACCACATGTTACCATACTTGCATAACCTGAATTTTCGTTTTTAGACATCGAAACCGATCTTATATTAGTTAAGTGATTCTTCAAAACAAATTTGGTTTTCCATTCGGTATATGTATTTTGATTATTCTCATTAAAACTTTCACCAAATTCATTATCGTCATTAAAATCCCAATCACTATCTTTAATATCTGTAACCATATGCCTTTGTGGTAGACATGAATCAAGTAATAGCTGGGAATCAGTAATTAACATTCTATGTTCATTATTTTTTTTACGTATTTGATTATCTTTTTGAAGAGCTTCAGATGTTTTACTTAAAGACATAGATGGTATGTTTGACATTAGTATTTCATTATAATCGTAAACACTTTTTTGATTTTTTCCTTCATGAATATCCTTATTCTTATTTAAAATAATTGGACGTGAATTAATATGAGATGGATAATTATTTTCAATAAATTTGTCTATATTATCAGTATTATAAGTTTTAAACGATTTATTCTTCTGTTGATAGAATTGGTTTGACGATACTTTTATATTTTCATCATATAAATTGTTTTTATTTTGTTGAAAGGGTTCCTCGGTATTTATTGATGATGATATTGGTGTTAATGCAGAATTGTTATGTAATGGAATATAATGTGATTGAATAGGATTAGATTGATATAAAATAGGAATATCTGTTGATATATTTGGCTGAGAATTAATAAGATATGTAATTTCTTGGAGACATCTATAAAAATAAATATATATCATGTCAAAATTTAATATATACTTTTCTAAAAATTGTCGACTTTTTGTTCTTTTAGTTGATTGCTGTAAGTTATCACGAGAAATTATGTTCTCAGGAAATAATTCTGAATGTAATTCTTTTTCCTCTTGTTTAGTTATCTCATCAGATTCAACTATTTTTTCCGGACTATTCTCTGATTTATTATTATTATTTGTTTTAGATGATGACTGATTTAAAGGAGTATGTTTTATAGGACTAGTTGTAGGTGATAAAAGATTCTTCGATTTTAATCTACAGTTATTGTTAGAATTACAATAAATAAAAAATCAATGAAAAATTTCAATAAGTTAAATAAAAATATTAAATCAGATTTAAATAATATAATTTCAATTATTCATTCAAACGATTTAGGCAAATCTGTACCATACCTTTCTTTTTGAAGAGAATCCTCAAGCATTTTTATTCTTTTTAAGTGTAAATCTTTTAATTTATCAAGCCCTTTTCGTTCCCCTTCAAGTTTTGCAATTTTTTCCTATAAATTATTAAGTTTTATTTCCCTTTGAATAAACACTTTAGAAACCGCTTATATACCTTCATTTCTGCATATTCAATCTCCCAATAATTTCTATCCCGCTGATAGCGATATGCTTCTGTTTGTAAAAAATGAATAACACCTTGAAATGTATATTCTACACCTTCCCCCTTGTAATTGTTTCGTCCATCAAGAATGCTCTGAAATAACATCTTTAGAAAAAGCTTTTATATCTTATTAAAGAGATATAAAGAAGTGCTTTTATTTTTAAGATTATAAAAGTTTGTCGTAAGTTTGAAAATAATAGAAATAATATCATATATAAAGGTATAAAATATAACCTTTAAAATATAGGATGCAATACTTAGATTAATATAATATTGATCTTCGTATATGTATTATTGAATCATTTTTATACTTTTAAATATACATTATTTTAAATGTAAAATTTAAAGGATAATTATATCAAATTTTAGCTAAAAGGAGAAAATAAAGATATTGATATATATAGATTGCTGATTTTTATCCTTTTCTTTTAATAGTCATGAAAACGTAATGTATATTTTTATAAATTGATTATAATTTTTAGCAAAAAAATATAAATAATGCATTCATTGTTTTCTACATTAAGAAATACATTTATAATTATATTAGCATATTCCTTTAGTAAGTTTTCTGTAATATAATTAAGATAGGGTTTTGTTCATAAATTTTCTTTTACTAAAACATAACCACCATTTGTTTGGTTTACTATCAGAATTAGCATAAACATGATTTATAAGTCTCAGAGCTAATTCTTGGCGAAATTGAGTAATATATTGTCTTAAAAAGTCTATTTGAAGTCAAAACAGAGATAAATTATTTATTATATATAAACCTGAATCAGATTGATTTGAAGGAGCTGGATATAATGAATTAAATGGAAATCCTGCATCTCCAGGGACGGTAAAATTCTCAAGAGCAAATGCATTAAGTAATTTAATTGAATCATTTTTATTACAATTTGCACGTGAAAGTTTATTTAGACAATCTGAAATAAAAAGAATACCATATATTAATGTACGATCTGCTGATCCTTTGATTTCAAAATTCTTAAAGAAGCAATTTGCACGAAAAAGTTCAATACATTCATCAACGATATCTTGAACGGATAAATCATTTACTATTAGAGATTAATTATAAAGATATTAATCTTTTTTTATGAAACCTTTAAATTTATATTAATATATTTTATGTCAAAACATATTTTACTTATACCTGTTTGTGAAGGTCCTCTAAATTTCGTTTTTAAAGGAAGAATAGCAAATCCTGCTATTTGGTGTTCTGTATTATTTATAAATGAAGAATGATATGCCTATTAATCTCTTTAAAGATATGCTCAAGTGATAATTTTATTGTTGGTTACCGGCATTGTTATTACAATAATTTTTTCAATTTTTAATCTTAAAGTTATTCGACATCAGAGAAATTATGGTTTGTGGTCTTTTTAAAAATCATTATTAATAAATAGCTAATTAAGATAGCAAGTTTATAATCAAGAGCCATATACTAAGTATAGTTTTTGATATTTTTTCAAGATATAAGATTAATTTATTTTAGTGGTAAAGTTCGTCTTAATACAACTAAAGGTGAAATAGAAATTGAATTATGGGGTAAAGAAACACCAAAAGCATCTAGAAACTTTATTCAGCTATGTATTTTTTTTATTTTTTTCTTGCTTTTAGTTTATATAACTGTTAATAGGCATGGAAGGATATTATAATAACACTATTTTTCATAGACTTGTTTCTGGTTTTATTATTCAGGGAGGAGACCCTACAGGCACAGGTATGGGTGGTCAATCTATATGGGATGAGCCTTTTTCTGATGAGTTTCACTCTCGTTTAAGATATAATAGAAGAGGACTTGTTGGAATGGCTAATACTAGTAAAAATGATAATGGTTCTCAGTTTTTTATTACATTGGCACCCACACCTGAACTACAGGGGAAGAACACTCTTTTTGGAAGGATTGTTGGAAATTCTATATATAATGTATTAAGGATGGCAGAATTAGAGACGGATAAAAATGAAAGGCCTTTATATCCTCCAAAAATTCTTTCTACAGAAGTTCTATTAAATCCATTTGATGATATTATTCTTAGGACAACTGAAGGGGATAGACAGAAACGGATAGAATTACTTGTATCATCAGAAGATGATCTTAAAAATAAAGCAAAAAAGTTAGTTTACAGCTATTAGTTTATTATTTGACTAATTTTTTAGAAATAAAGTGCTTTTGAGTTTTCAGGATGAAGAAGATGATGAGGAAATTTGTAAATTATCTAAATTTAAGAGTAGTCATGACATAGGAGATGATTTAAAGTTATCAGAGCAGCCTGCGATTGTAACAAGTGTTAAAAGAAAACACGACTTTCTTGATGAAACTAAGGAGACCAAAACAGTTGCTAAAGATGTAAAAAACATTGATAATGAAACAAAAAATCTATCGCGTCCCTCTATTGTTGAGAAATTAGAAAAAAAAGATTCTTATTCTAAAAAGACAAAAATAGAAGAATTACAAGCACAAATTCATATTTTAAAAGATGATATTAAAGCAATTGGAAAAAAAAAAAGTAAATATTCAGATTCTTTGGAATTTCAAAAAGAGAAAATGCTTTCTTATTTAGAAAAAGAGAGAGAACGTTATCGAGTTTCAGAAAAAGCTATTGTAGGAGGTAAAGGAAAGTCAAAAAAAGCGAGAGAGGAAGAAGTATATAGACTCTTTTGTTTAAATTTCTCTTTTTATATAACCATAATTTAGACACTTGCTAAACTTTCGTTATTTCAATCTAAAATTTCTTCGAAAGATTGTATTGAAATAGAAGAAAAAGAAGAAGAAGAGGATGCATGTGAATTACATGGCGTTCCCGGATGCTTCTCGTGTTTCGATCGTTTAGGAGAACATAATGATTTACCTGAAGAAAATAATAGTGATTGGTTTGCAAAGAGACTTGTTTTTGCTAAGGATAAGCTTGGAAAAGATCATACATTTAGCGCAAATAAAGTAGACGATTTTGAAATAATTGATCCTAGAGAAAGAAAAGAAAGAGCTATTTTTGAAGAAAAAATGAAGAAAAAAAATCATGAAATATCTAAAAGTTTTAAGCCAAATTACAAAAGTCGCAATTAAATTTATAAAATACATAGATTATATATATATATATATGTGATCATGTTTTTGCATTTTTGATAAACTTATCTTCATCACAAAATATGATAAATAGAAATTTGTATTAATAGAATCATATTTAATAAAATAATAGATTAATAGTTTTAGATACAACCATTATTTTTGCTTAAAGTACTCATTAATTCAAGTAACGTAAATACAATCTTCTGTTTATAGTATTGCAAAATTATTATTTTATATATTTATAGTATTCAGTGTTATATTTTAAGTTATTTTAAATTTATCTTAAAAGTAAGATTTTAAATATATTTAAAATAAGGCTGATAAAAATTATAATAAGGCTTTATTTTCATCAATTTTCTATAATATTATTTATATTATAAGTTCTTTAAAAATTTAAAAATAAAAAAAAAATATTCGAAGATATTTTAAGGTAGTTAAATATGAAAAGGTATTGTATTTTTTTAATATTAATATTTTAATAAGAATGAATAGGTGATGATAACATAATGGAAAAGAAGAATGAGAAAGAGCATGAATATTTCCGAAATAATACTTGCTTTGATGATGATGAAAATATATTTAGAAATAGGTAAATTTTTAATAATAAAAATTTATTATGATAATTAAATTATTTTAAAGTGATGAGCGGCATCCTGTCATAGGATCTCGGTCTTTGTACCAGAATTGTTCATTAGGAAAGCATGGTCAACGGTTTAATTCAACTCGTTCAAATATAATTCCTCAAGGGTCACGATATTCATATTTTCCGTTATATCATTGTAGAGGGAAAAAAAAAAAATCATCATCCTTTTATAAGCGTTGTTCTGAGCAATATTCATATTTACCATTTTATCATACACGTTGTAATCGTTCTCCAGATTTTGAGTATTTCTCAGAACAAATAAAGAATAATAATGGTATTGATAGATCAGATAAATATGAAAAAGATGTAGATGAAAATGGGTATACGTCAGATTTTCCTAGATTTGAGCCTCATTTAGCTGTTAATAATGCCTTGTATAAATATCATGATCAATCTTTCGATTCATATATACCAATAGGGTCTTCAAAAATGAATGGAACTATAAAAAGGTCTATGTATTATAAAAATATGTCTAAGGAGAGATGTTGGAATAGATCTAAGGATTTTTATAAAAATTGTACGAAAAAACTCTCCAGATTTGAATATGAAAAAGATGATAATTATCGTACAAAAACTTTTATTAATGACTTTTCCTTGAATATTACAAAAAATGTTCTTCTTGAAAAAAATGTGGCGAAAAAAAAAGATATACATAAATATTATAATAACATTTCAACTATTTCTTCTGGTTTGGAAGATGGTTATTTGGATCAAGTATCAAAAGATGCAGCATCTTTGGAAGGAAAGTCTGAAGATGCCGTATTTTTGGATGATAATGAATTGCAACCTTTTTTTCCACCTTCATCTGACATTGCTAATGACATTAATAAAAGTGATTTTGATAATGATAGTCGTTTTTCTTTTTTTCCAGATACAAAAGAATTAGGAGTAGCTTTTGTTGAAAATAAAGAGAATACTCAGGAGTTGACTGAAGAAGTGCAGTTTATGGATCAAAAAACTTATGATTTTAGAAATGCTTCGTTAGATAGTTCTTGTGCAATAAATGATGGTGCTGTATCTCAAGATTCTTCTCATCAAGAAGATAATAGCAATTTGGATCAGAAAGATAATCATATTAATATGCAAGGAATTAATGAAGCAATATTAACATGTGAAAAACGTTTTCACGAAATCGAAAATAAATTAAAAACTAAAGTTATTGATGAAGACAAGATATTTCCTTCAAAGGTCGGGTTCCCTAATCTTTTGCTTGGCAATTATTCTTCAAATTTAGAAGCAAACGTATGTTCAAGAATTTATTCCGAAAATAAAGAAAAAGCAAAGAAGAATTGTGTTAAATTTTCCTACCTTAAAATATCGGATAGATCATTTAATGGATATCCCTTTTTAAAGGAGAATGAAGTAAAACATAAATGCTTACGTCCATTGTTGCTTTTGCATATTTCACGAAAAAATAAAAAAACATATGAGAAAAATAAAGTTCTTCTATTACAGTATCAAAAATATCAGAGTTTTTGGGAGTCCCATGTAAAAAGGTTAGATAATATAAAAAATGCAAAAAAGAAAGATAATGAGCGATACGGGTCTTTAGATTCACACGTAGATAATTTATCATTAAGAAGTTTTAGAAGAGGACAGGGTTTAAACTACGGTGATTTTGTTAGATCGGATGCCGATTTTGAAGATATTATAGCTAAATTGGGGGTTGAAGATGATAGGATTTGTCGCGCAGCAGTAATACCTCCTATGATTTTAGATCTTGAAGAAAGGGTTCGATATAAATATGATGATAAAAATAGAATAGTTAATGATCCTATTTCTTCTTTTCATTATCCTACTTCTATAGATACTTGGACAGCAGAAGAACATATGCTTTTTAAGGAATTATTTATTAAATATCCTCAAAAGAATTTCGGTTTGATTGCTTCTAGTATCCCAAATAAAACAATTTCTCAATGTGTTTTGCATTATTATCGTACCAAGAAACAGGAAAATTATAAAAGTTTGATAATGTCGAGAAATTCTGATAGAATAAAGAAAAGGGGAAGAGGTCGTTCGTCAAAAAAGATGGAAAAGGCTAAAGTTTCTTCACTTTTGGCAGATCTTCAGCCTAAGATGATAAATGATGATATAGATGACTATGAAAAGGATTAATTTATACGAAATTAAAAATTAGTTTTACTAAAAATAAAATCCTTTTTGCTGAAGAATTAAGGTATTTGGGATCTAAATTATAAATTAGGGTTGGTATATGATAATTATAAATAAATATGAAGAATTTATCTATGGAGACTTTTCAGAGAATATAAATTTGATTTTATAAATGTTTAAAAAATCTATATAATTGAAATTTTGAAAATATAGGTTTCGGTATTTTTAAAGCAAAATCGACTATCAGGTTTGATATATATAATGCATATTTATTAGTGCTACTTTTTAATGATTTTTTATGTTAAATACATTTTATTATGAAAAAGCTAGATTCTTGACTATAAAGGAATTGGAGATTTATAGTAGATGTTTTTAATATAGGGATTTATATCCAATTTTAATAGTTATTTTTTATGTCATGATTTGATTTCTAATAATTTTCAAAATATTAAAAGCAGACATATATTTATGTCTGATATTGAAATTGAGGATTACAGGGTTATTTATGTTATATATTAGGGATTATGACGCTTTTTATATTTCTAATAAAGAATATAGTATTTGGCTTACTTTGAATTGAATTTTTATTTAAATATTTAAAAAAATGTTTTATGGGTGTAACATTGCAAATATTTTAATATCAAATAAAAATTGCTATTTTTTTATTTTGTTTTATAAAAATAATTTTAGCTTTATATACATATATTCTGTAAATATGAATATATTACATGATTATTTTATAATACTTATAGAAATTATATTAAAAAATGTTCTATAAATTAATGAATAGATCATTGACCCTTTCCTTTAAAAATATTCCAAAAATACGTTTAATGTTCCTTTTCAAGTGTTATCAATTCTTTGCGAACGTAACAGCTACAATTAAAGGAAATACAATGCTTGCATCTGTATATAACTTTACCATTTTAGCATCTGGTTTAATTTTTCCCCAGCTAACTGCCTCATCAGGCCTAGCACCACTATCACTTCCATCAAATTCTTGTCCAGTATTTATGTAAACAGCGTAATCTGCTCCATTTCTCATTAAATTGGCATTTGCTATATGATGCTTAACTATTCCTCCTCCAAGAATGATCATTCCTGTGCACTTGGCTCTAACAGATATAGTATTAATTAATCTAATATCTACTGCAATATCTATAATCAATCCAGGATTTCGAAAAGAATGAAAATATATCATATCTCCCAAAGAACCGTCAGTTAATGCAGGACAGAAAATGGGTATTTCATTCTTATATGCCCAATAACATATGCTTTCCTCGTTATTTATTTCTTTTCCAAGACGATGAATTATCGAAGATGGCGTCCATATTTTATTCTCTTTTTTTTGTTCTTCTAATAATGCATCAAGAATCGGTATTATCCAGTCCTCAAATTTACAATAATTATTATTAGGTATTAAAAGATTTCCAATTCTATTTAATCCTTTTTTTCGAAGTTCTGATCCATCAAGCTCAAAACTTCCTAAATATGTATGATCAAGACATTTAATAATATCTTCTTCTATTCCTCCTGCTGTAGTGACAATACATGAAACCTTTTTATGCTGTACTAAATAACGAATTGATTCTCTTACACCTGATGATACCAAATTCGATGTATAGCCAAGAAATATAGTACATCCTTCATTTTTATTTTCTAAATATCTTTGCTCTTCTTTCTTTAACAATTCTTCTGATACCCTCCAATTCCTCTATGTATATAATCCTTAAAAAAAATCCCCTTAAAAATAGTTGTAGTATATACCATCTCGTTTATAATATTTACTGCCAATGCAAAATTCGTCGCCTGAAATCCTGTAGTATACATAGACTCAATCAAATCCTCTATTTTAAGATTAGACGCCTCTGCTTCTTTATTACTAGAATATTTGTTATGATCAAGTCCTACTACTCTCACTGCATTTTTAAATATAGGCTCTGAACCAAGTAACACTGATGCTTTAGATATTCCATAATCTTCTGATTTTCTAATTTCCTCTAAATTATCATTCATTTCTTAATAAATAATATACAAATTCTAAAAACTAATCTTAATATATTTATGTTTAGAATTATAGGTTTTATTAGTCTTAATAACTTTTTTTAAGTGTCGATAAAAATTTTGAAAATATTAAGGTAATGTTAATAGATTAATATATCAGTAATTTCATATAAAATATGTGAAGTAAATAGATAAATAAGGATTTTGCTTTAATACTGAATGAAAATGGGGTCAAAACTGTTTAAATATATGAAGGTTTTAAAGATTTAAAAAAAGACAAATTTCTGGGGAACTTGAAAATGTCAGTTGATCCCTTATTTGGAGGAGATCTAGTCAAGACACCAGCGGCTTTAGGAAATTTTATACCTGTTCCTCAGGTAAAGAATGTACCAGCTTTTTTGAATAAATTATATAAGTAAGTAAATATAAAATTTATAAAGCTTTTTAAATTAGTATAAAGTATGGTTTCAGATTCAGCATCGGATTCTCTTATAAAATGGTCAGACTCCGGGGAGTCATTTTTAGTTCTTCGTCCGGAACATGTAGCAAAACATATTCTTCCTCGGTTTTTTAAACATCATAATTTTTCTAGTTTTGTTCGTCAACTTAACAGTATGATATTTTGTTTATTATGTTTTATTAATAGGATATATAGTGTATGGATTTCATAAAGTTCCTCACCCTCAACATGGGGTTCTTGAGTCCGACTCACCAAATGAAGTTTTAGAATTTTCTAATCCTAATTTTCTTCGGGATCAGCCGGATCTTCTTTGTCTAGTAACAAGGAAAAAGGGACCCCACACTGGAGAAGATGGTTCCTCTTTGGATTATTCTGCTATTATATCTGAAATTCAATCTATTAAAAAGCATCAATTAACTATTTCTTCTGATTTAAAACGTATTCAAATGGATAATCAAGCACTTTGGCAAGAAGCATTAAATTCAAGAGAGAAATGTCGTCATCTTCAGGAAACTATTGATAAAATTTTGAAATTTCTTGTTTCTATGTTTTCTCCTGAAAAAAGGAATTTAATTCAAAAAAAAAGGCGTTTGTTATTAGAGGAAAAATCAGTTTCTTCACAGGATGAAAATTTTCATGATAATTATTCTGTATCAACTGTGGGAAATCATTTTTCTCCGCAAGAACTACTGCCTAATGATGATGTTTTCTTGTCTTGTCTTATAGAACAGGGTATTATACAGAATGATGAGAATAGGTTTACTTTGCCTTATTTAAATACAACACCATTATTGACTTCGCCACTTATTTGTTCACATGAAAATTTATCTATTGAGCAACCGTATTCGAATAATATTCTTGAAATTAAAGCAAATGAAAATTCTGATAAAAATATAAATTCTCAAGTAATTTCTCAGGATCAAAATCTACAATCATTAGTGAATTTGTTGAGAATGGATATTAATCAAATTAATCCTGAACTCCCTGCTGAGAATAATGTAGAAATTCCAAAAAGTATTAGTAATGGAAATTATGCGTTAGAATCAAATAATTCGACTGAATATTTCCCTAATGAGTATGATTATGAAAACGTTGATATTGATGAGCTTTTAAATCAATATGGTAACCTATTTTTTTTAAAATAAAAATGTATATTAAATTCTATATTAGGAAGCGAGCAATCTTTTGATGAAAATAATTCTATTCTTTCTAATTCATCTGTAAGGAAAGATTCTAATACAGTGATATCTCAAGAAGTTAATGGAACTAATGGGGATATAAATATAAATAAAAATTTTTTGATATCTGGTTCTAAAAGAAAACGTAGCTATTGATTTTTCAAATAAATATTAAGGATTTTATTTAAGTTGGGATTGCAACAAATGTATAGCAAATTCAATAAGTAATATAATATATATGTTTTATAGAAATATTAGGAATCTCCTCGGATTTTGTTTATATAGATTATATCAGAGAAATATTTTATCTAATGTGTTTATCTTATCATTATTTTTAATTTGTTTTGAGTATATATTTAAGAAGATAATTTATATCTATGTATAATAATTTAAATACAGAATAGTGGAATTAAATATTAAAATGAAAATATTTATATTATTTTTCCAATGATCATAATTATGCTATAATAATAGATAATAATTTTGAAATTTATTATATTATATGAAACTAATTAATTACTATGTAATTTAATATAAATAAATGCAATTTACTTATAAATTAAATTTATTTAAAAACATTCAAATTATTAATAAACATATAAAAAGTTTATAATAAATTAAATATTAATATTATTTATTGTTTTGCCAAATATTTATACTAAAAATATTTCAAATATTATTTATATTTAATTAAAACATGAAGTTTATGTTATATTTTTCTTTTATATAAATCCTGAACACATAAAAAACTTTTAGCTTTTTAATATAAAATCCTATTAACAAGTATTTGGAAGAATATATGTATAGTATAATTTTGTAAATGGTTTTGTCAATAAAAGGGCAACAATAAGGTATCGTTAATAAAATAAAAATGAAACATTTATAAAAATTGTTTTAACTAATTATTTGTTCCTATTCTAACGTCTTTAAATAAGATAATCTTTGCTTCAATTATCCAACAGAACGTCTACAAACTTTCTCAATAACACTTTCATAAACAATCTCACTAAAGTCGGTTGCCTGAACTTCAATTGAAATACCACTCAATGCCCGTCGAAGTGCATCCTTAGAAGATGCATAAAGCATTTTTGATTTAATTGGAGATACATCCGGCGACCTAGATTTAATTAATATTTTTTTTTTTATATTACATAAATCTTGTTTAACGATTATATTTACGTATACAATAAATAATATAAAATAATGACAACTTACCAGACAAAAAAACATATCTAAAATATCCATTAATCTCTTCTTCTATCTCTCTTTTCTTCTCACCTTTTTCCTTTTTCCCTCTCCTTTCAATTCATACTCGAAATCATAAATTGCATAGCGACAATCATTTTCTGGTAAATCTTTAATAAACTCTTCATAATTCGAATCCGTAGACGTCTTTTCAACAACAATATGTGTTTTCTCACTGTTTATGGAGAATACAATATATTTTATAGATTTACCATGCTTTAATTGATGAAACAATTCTAAACATTCATCACTCACTTGAACACCCGATTTTGACTACTCGATGTATATTAGCTTATCTTAATAATTAATTTATTCATCCTTCTCCTCCTCTTCCTTAAAAACAAACTCACCATAATAAATGATTTCAAGTAGCTTTTTTCCTTGAAAAAAAATCGTTAAAGTTGTTTTTAAAGATCTTTTGTCAAAAAAGATGGTGAATTGTAACTCCTAACCCCTTCAACCCCTTTATAACCCTAACCCTAAAGTCACAAAGGTGACTGGTTAACCCTAATCTAACCCTAAAGTTACAAGGGTCATCCCTGTTAACCCTAATGTAACCCTAATGTAACCCTAATGTAACCCTAACTTAACCCTAAGATTACAAGGGTCATCCTGGTTAACCCTAGACTAACCCTAATTTAACCCTAACTCTTCACCCCTAACCCTCACATAACCCTAGATTAACCCTAACTTCATCCTAACTTCATCCTAACATTACAAGGCTCATCTTGGTTAACCCTAACCCAACTCCATTATCATACCTAATGTCTCTTCTAAGGTCTCTTTACCTAACCCTAATCTCTCCTTCTTAGGTCTAACCCTCTTTCCATCTTTTGTTTTTGCTTTTTTCGCGTCACGTCTTGACGTCGATCAAACATAAGATCAGGAGCAGGAATTGCATCCAATAAGTACGATTTGTGTATCAATTAAAGGGTTAATATGAGAGAAGTTATTTCAATTCACGTTGGTCAAGCAGGAACACAAATAGGAAATGGTAGGTTTTAAGATAAATAATAAGAAAAAAAAAGAATCTAATCGGACAATTTCTGATAAAAATATTTAGCATGTTGGGAGGTAAATGAGAGAATAAAAAGGGATATAGAGTTAATTTATGATAGCTTTATTGTCTTGAACATGGAATTGAGGTCAAATTTCTGTTTATTTATTGGTTAAAATGAATTGATAGAATTTTTAGCCGGATGGACGATTATCGCCAGAAAAAACCACAAAACCCTTAGATGATGGGTTTAGCACGTTTTTTTCAGAGACAGGTATGTGTATAAGTGTTGTATTTTTAGATTGATGGATTAACATTGTTTTAGGAAGCGGGAAATATGTTCCGCGTAGCATCTATGTTGACCTTGAACCCAATGTAATTGATCAGGTTCGGACGGGAACATATCGACACCTTTTTCATCCAGAACAATTAATTACGGGGAAGGAAGATGCGGCAAATAATTGTATGTTTTATGGGTTTTTTTTTTTCTTAAAAAAATAATAATGTTATTATAGATGCACGAGGTCATTATACAGTTGGAAAAGAGCTTATTGATCATGTTCTTGATCGTATCCGAAGAGTAGCTGGTATTTTTGTCTTTATTTTTTCTTATTGTTTTTTTATAATGATAGATAATTGTACTGGTCTTCAAGGATTTCTTGTATTTCATTCTTTTGGCGGTGGTACGGGTTCTGGATTTGGAGCGTTACTTTTGGAACGTCTTTCTGTTGATTATGGGAAGAAGTCGAAACTTGAATTTTCGGTATATCCTGCTCCTCAAGTCTCAACTTCTGTGGTAGAGCCGTATAATTCTATCCTAACTACTCATACAACTCTTGAGCATTCTGATTGCTCATTCATGGTTGACAATGAGGCCATATATGATATTTGTCGTCGAAATCTTGATATTGAACGTCCAGGATATGAAAATTTAAACAGATTGATTGCACAAGTTGTCAGTAGCATTACGGCAAGTTTGAGGTTTGATGGTAGTTTGAATGTTGATTTGAATGAATTTCAAACAAATTTGGTTCCATATCCAAGAATTCATTTTCCATTAGTTACTTATGCGCCACTTATTTCTGCAGCTAAAGCGCATCACGAAGCTAACTCAGTTGCTGAAATAACTAATGCATGTTTCGAACCAAATAATCAAATGGTAGTCTTATTATTTTTCTAATAATTCAATTGATAAATTAGGTTAAATGTGATCCTCGTAATGGAAAATATATGGCAACATGTCTTCTGTATCGAGGTGATATTGTAACAAAGGATGTTAATTGCGCCGTTTCTTCTATTCGAACAAAGCGTACTATTCAATTTGTAGATTGGTGTCCAACAGGTTTTAAACTTGGTGTTTGCTATCAACCACCTCAATATGTACCTAACGGTGATCTTGCCAAGGTCAACAGAGCAGTATGTATGTTAAGTAATACAACATCTATTGCGGAAGCGTGGAGCCGTCTTGATCATAAGTTTGATCTTATGTATAGTAAAAGAGCATTTGTTCATTGGTACGTTGGTGAAGGTATGGAGGAAGGTGAATTTAGTGAAGCACGTGAAGATCTTGCTGCTTTAGAAAAAGATTATGAAGAGGTATTCATTAGTTTGGATATTATGATTTAAATTGTTGATTTTATTTAGGTTGGTCAGGATTCTATTGAAGGCGAAATTATGGAGGAAGAATATTAAAGTGAAATTTTATTAGATTTAAGAACATGGACGAGATTTAGTCTATAGTTGGTAGATTTTATTTGAAAACAATAAATATATTTTATGTACTAATTGTTTATCTTAATAATTATTTGGTTTATAATAGACGATTTTATCGTCTTTAAAATATATTTCTTTTTTGTTTTTTATTTGCAAAAGTAAATATTTTGAAATAAAAATTTAAAAATAAAATTAACTAAATTTCTTGTTTATCTTTTTAATAACGTAAATTATTTAGGATTTGAAAATATTAGATATAAATAGTATATATTATAAGTATTTATTATAAAAATTTAGTATTATCATTACAAAACATAGAAAACTTTTAAAAAAGTTTACACTTAAATCATGTATTCATAAATATACATATTATACACATACAAATCATCTTTTTTAATAAATAGTATTAAATAACTAATTTAATTCATGTTTGTTTTCATGACACATTCTTAAACCCTTTTTTACTCGCCCATTCACTATTCTTAGATTGTTTATTAGTCATATTAAGATTCAAGTCTTGCATCATAACATTAATATCATTTTGTAGATTAGAAACTTCTAAATCAAATGATGTATTAGTAAAAGCATTAAGTGGCTGTACTTTTTGCAAATTCGCTTTTGACAATATCTGAGTATTCGTATTTTTAATATCATTAAGTGGATTCATTGACCAGATTCTAGAATTCATATATGATTTTTCATAAAGATTACTTGTTAAAGGTAACCCATTTGATGTTAAATTAATACCTGATAAAGATGCAATAGGATTAACTGACTGATCAGAAATACCAAAATTAACTTTATTCCGAAATTTCTTAGGTATATTATCTGTATTATTTGAATTTAACCGATTAATTACAATATATTTAGCATCATTCTCATCATGAGAAGTGCATTTGAGTCCCAATTTTTCTGCAATATGATGAATAATACGACGTTGTTGAGGACTTATATCAAGAGGAAAAATCAAGTCATTAGGAGCATTAGGGCTCTGATCATTGCGGAAAAGCAATAAACGAGAGTAAATTTTTAAAGTAGTTTCATCATTAAGATCAATATCTAAAATTATAAATATAAATATAAATATAAATCGTAAATATAACCTTTGGACTTTCTTTTTCCTTTGAAAAATCCAGGATTGGATGAATTATGCTGTTCCTCATATTGATTTCGTTTTTCCTTTTTCTCACGATTCGCTTTTTCACGATCTGCTATGGGTAAAATACGTTTATATTCAACACGAAGTTTCCTGCCCATAATATCATGTCCGTTAAGCGAAAGGAGAACACGTGTTGTCTCCTCTGGTGTATAAAAATTAGCAAAAGCAAGACCTCTGAAATTCCCATTATCAAAATGATAATTGAATGCATATGGTTTAGGAATATCAAGTGTATCCTATACTTATTAATTTTTCCATTAAAAATAATAGGATATACAAAAAGTTCAAGAAGCTGCTCCTTTTTTATTTGAAAAGGTATATTTTTAACAACAATAGCAGAAGGAACTACGCCATCTTCTGTTCGTGCAGTATTTTTCAAATTAGTTATTGTATGTTCCTGAAAAGAATTTTCTTGTAAATTATCCGAAGTATTAACTGTAGAAACGCCTGATGGCATAAATGTAGTAGAAACATTCGAATTTTGTGATGAATTGTTTGTATCCGAATTATTTAACCATTTCTATTAATTATTAAAACAATTAGTTAAAAAATGTTTATAAACATTAATAACTCTTTCTTTTCCTTCTGATATTGGTCGCCAAAAAGCATATCCATAATTATCATACTGCATAGGTTGAGTCGTTGAATGATAATAAGAATACGATGGTGATACTACTGAACCTTGAAAACTTGATGATCCAATCGTATTTGATGATACAAATGGTATTGTTTGCTGAGAAAATGTATAATTCGAATCTTTTAATCGATCAGGAAATGTTGCATCATTATGTAAAGCCGTTTGTTGGGAATTTGTCTGTGCATATTGAAAAGGAAAACGTCTCGAAAAATTATGTTCTGGAGACGATACCGGCACCGGCGTAGATGCTTGTGTTGACGACTGCGTTGCCGATATTTGTGTTTTTCCTATATTATTCGCCCATATCACTGGCGAAGAATATGATCGAAGAAGTGGTAATTCTTTTATATCATTATTATTACTCAATGAATATCCATTAAATAATCGTGATTGAGATATATCATCTTGTCTTGTAGAAACACTTTGTACTGTCTGATAATAACTCATTTTTCTATCTTGTTGTGCTTTATCTGACCCTTCATATTGCAATGATTCATCTGTAACCGCCATTCGATCTACAAACCCTTTTCTAAAACCAAAAAAAAACTCCAAATAATAACCCTTCCAATATCCCTCTAAATTTACCACAAAATACCCTTAATTCTTTAATTTTTCTTCAAGATATTATTTTTTTAGTTTTTTATAAAATGAATTCTAGTTTTTCAAGTATATATTCTTAATGATCTTCCAAAATACACCTAAATAAAATTAACATGGACACTGATATATGGCTAATTCATATATTATAGCTCATATACCCATTAAATAATGGTAATGAAGGTTGATTAAATTCAAGGTTGCTTACGGAAAAGAAAAAGATCGAGCAGTTTAACCCTAACCCTAATGTTTTTGTGTACTTAGAGGTCACGTGCGAATGAGAGAGAATGTGATATATTGAGTAGGGTTAGTTTTAGGGTTAGTTTTAGGGTTACTTAGTAGGGTTGGGGTTTGGTTGGTAGGGTTGGTTGGTAGGGGTTAGGTTTGTATAATAGGGTTATGCGTGTGCAAGGGTTAGGGTTAGGATTTAGCGAGTAGGATAACGTACTAGGGTTAGGGTCAGGGTTTGAATTACGGGTTGTATACTGAGTGTTAGTATTAACTAGGGTTAAGGGTTAGGTATAAGGGTTATAAAATAAGATTCACTATTAAGTTTTAATTAGGGGAATAAAGATTGAAATAATTTATTAAGATTTTAAGAGATATTTTTTATATTTATTCTTATTATTTATTTTGATATTAAAACTTTATCGATATTATATAATCGTTTTTTCAAGGCAGTAAATTTGATACGAACGAAAGATGTCGGGTAAAGGTAAATCACATGGTGGGAAAGGGAAGAGTGGAGGAAAGAGTGGAGAAGGACGAATACAAGTTTCGCATTCAGCGCGTGCAGGACTTCAAGTGAGTATTTTTGAGAGAAAAAGGATTTAGATTAATAAATGGGGTTAGTTTCCAGTAGGCCGTGTTCGACGATTTATGAAAGCGTGTACACAAAACAATGTACGTGTAGGAGCAACAGCTAGTGTTTATATTGCAGCGGTTCTTGAATATCTTACTGCAGAGGTTCTAGAACTTGCTGGAAACGCGTCAAAAGATCTTAAAGTTAAGCGTATTACGCCGCGACATTTGCAGTTAGGTATAAGTTTTATTTTTTGATATATTTTGATATATTGATGATTAATAGCAATTCGTGGAGATGAAGAATTGGATTCGTAAGTATTAAAGAAGGTTGAAGGATTAATTTTATATGCGATATAGATTGATTCGTGCTACGATTGCAGGAGGAGGTGTTTTGCCTGTAAGTAGATGAAATTATGTTATTTAGATATTAATATGTGCTAGCATATTAATAAAACATTGCTTCAAACACCAAAGAATAAGAAAGTTTCTCAAAAATAAATGTGTAATAAATTTATTTAATTTATTTCATAATTGATTAGCTCTATACGTATACTTATAGTTTTCGTTATACGTAAATGTTAGAAAATTGTTTTTATTATTAATTGTAGTTTTAAACTTATATATTTATTTTTAACTGACTATATTTTCACTTTGTACTATATTCAATCTTAACTATGGCAATTATATATAAATATATATAGATAGATAGTTGCTTATGTTTTTTAATAAGTATCATGTTTTATAATAAGTATCATGTTTTATAATTTATTTATAGTATTTTTATTTTAGTATAATATAGATTTATATATTATATTTATAAAATCGATTTTTAAATACTTTTTAATTAATATTAGTAATAAATAGTAGTAAATTTAAAATGATAGACGATTTTCCATGTATTATATATGTATATGTAATTAATTTATTTTTATAATATTATTTTAATATAACTTGATTAATAATTTATTTATTATACTTTATTTTTATTATCATATATGTATCAAGTGTATTTTTTATTATTTATAAAAATTTCATTATATATTTTAGTGTCAGTTATAGTAAATTTCTGAAATTTATTTGTATCTTTTATTAGATCTTATTTATTAAATCTTATTTATTACATATATTATGCACATTTGAAGGAAATATTAACTTTCCTTAAAATAAATACATTTAAAACCTTTAAATTTAAAAAAAAAAGCTTAATTAAATAATAAAACATATTGATAATTATATTAATTTAAGTAAAAAGTTGTATACTAAGTAAAAATTCCCAACACCAAATAAATTAATGATTTATAAATTACGAAATTAGTAAAAACATTATTTCATGTCATTAAACAATAAGTTTGAAGAACAATAGTAATAATCTTATATTCATTATGTTAATAGCCAAGACCTTTACATTATAAAATAAAAACTACTTCCTACTTAAAATGCATATTATGTTAATATTAATAAACTCGATGACCAACAACATTATAAAACCAATCTTTTAATCGATTTAATAACTTCATAAATCAACATACCAATATTTTTGTTTTCCATTTAGACCATAAATATTAATGAAAAACATATAAATATATTTATTAAGATACTTTTATTTTTTTTTTTTATTTTTTAATGTTTGTCCTTCACCAAAAAAAGCCTTTTTAGATTTGTCATCTTCATTTGTGTTTTCTATAGGTTTTATTTCATAACCAAAAAAAAGGGTTCCAAAAGGAACTCTTAGAGGAGCAGGCGGTGAATCATTATCTTTACTCTCCAATGTTTTAATATCAGTCGCCATAGATTCTTGATAATTTTCAACAGGTGCTCCATTTAACTTATGTCCTGCAGACAAAAAAGCGCCATTTCGCTTCATTTTTGAAGCATTAGAAGCCAGCGCTTCCTGGAGTCTTATATTTTTTTCAATATTTCCCATAACTTGCGTATGATTATAGACATCTGATCTTTTTAAAGGCTCAGGCTCAGAATAACCAAGAGGAGGTGCAAAATCTACCTAATTATATATTAAAAAACTCTTTTAAATAAAATTACCTACTTCTAAATCTGTTTCAAGAACAGAAATACTTCCTCTACCATCATTTGGCTTAATATCTAATACTTCTATTTCATATATTTGCTCATTATAATTAATTTGAAATATATCTTCTTTAGTCAAGGCAGAAAAATTTCTTAGAGCATTTTCTAATCTAAAACATATTAATGTCATCTAATGCATTTTACAATTTAATACACAGCCTTAGGATCTGTAATTTGAAGAAAATCTGGATGTTGAGGTCGGATTTTTACATATGATCCTTGTGGAAGTTTTGTACTAATAACCGATAACAAATCTCCCTGTTCAAGCAAAAGTGACTGCATCATCTAACCCTTATCAAATCATTCAAATATACTTTTCTTCAAATAATACCCATAAAGGTAAATAAACTCTCCCTTCTTCTGCAATAAATTCTAATACTCCTGCATGTGTAATCCTTTCTTTTTCTGGATTTTTTAACTCAAAAAACATAGGATAAGAAATATTTAAACGTGCTATTAATTATTTAATAAACCTCCTTCAAATATAAAAACATATTGCCCCTTACAAAGCTTATTTAAAGCACTTGGGGGAAGTATCACTTTTTTATCAATATATATATATTTTTCCCCAAAATATATACCTTTCCCACCAAAATTAACCGAGTCCCTTTCATTTCCCTCCATCATTGAAATACTATAACATCGATAATACCCTTTAAAAGGTTGATTTGCCTGAAAATCTGGAAATGACCATCCGTCGAATCCATAATCATCATTATAAAACCGATCTCTTGAAAACTTCATATACATTAAAAAATTCAATAATAATATAAAAAACATAAATTACCATATTTTTAAATATTTAAAAGAAAATATAATCAAACTTTAATAAAATAAAAATTCGATTATATTAATATAAACGTTTTTACAATAAAAATAATATAATAAATAAATTTTTATTTATTTTCCTTAAAAACAAATATATTTATATTTTTATTAAAATCTAAGGTTTTAAATATGATAAAAATAGTTTTAAATAAATAATATAATAAATAAATAATATAATAAATAAATATAATCATCTTATTGTAGAATCATCTATTAAGATAGAAATAAGTTTTTTTAAAAGTTTAAAAACTATTCTTAATATTGTTTAAAAAATAATATTTTATATAAGAAATAATTGATATTATTAATAAATCTCATTGTTCTTATTGAAATATAAATTCAATTGATCATCTATTTTTTTAAGGTTTTTTCATAATTCATATTTTCTCTCAGGGATTGTATTAAGTCCTCGGAAGAAACGCTCTAAAAAACTATTTTTGAATTATAAAGTTAATTTTGTTAAATATAAGGATATTTGAGTAGATATATTGAAGAGAAAAAGATATTAAAGCTAAGAAATGAATTCAAAAGCACAAAAAACTTTGGAACATGGTTTTTATTTTTTAAAAAAACTATAAATTGAAGAAAATTGATATAAAATAGATATATTGGTTAATTTAACACCAGAAGAAAATGAGGCTTATGAAAAACTTTTTTCAGAAGCAGATCCGGATAATATTGGAGTTCTTTTAGGGGAGAATTCAATTAATTTTTTTGAAAAAACGGGACTTTCACCTCAAATTCTGGGAGAAGTAAAAATCTGAAAGGAATAATCATCAATTTACTTTTATTAGATATGGAAAATTGCAGATAATGAGAATATGGGGTTTCTTACGCGAAAAAGATTTGATATTGCACTTCGTTTAATAGGACATGCCCAAGAAGGGCGCCGACCGAGTATTGATTTAATTAATTTAAGTATAATGAAATTGAGATTTATGGAATTGTATTTAACGATTTCTAAGAATGCCCATTGCCAAAATTTAATACAAAAAAATCCATAAATTGGAATATACCATCTCAGCCTCCTGAAAGAATACCATTAATAACAACAGAAGAAAGAAATCGTTATCATAGTATGTTTAAAAATCTTAAATTAACTAATGGTTTTATAAAAGGCAATAATATTTATTATTTTTTTTAAAATAATAATAATTGGAATAGGTTCGCAAGCAAAATCAATATTCTTACGAACACATTTGTCAAATGAAATATTAGGTCAAATATGGTAGATGCGTTTTTTTAAAAAATCTTCATTTTATAATATTTTAGGAACTTAGTTGATATTCATCATCGAGGCGCTTTAAATATTACAGAATTCACAGTTGCTATGCATTTAATTCATTCATTTATAAATGGTTCATTAAAAAAAATACCATCTATTTTACCTCTTTGGGTTTTTAATATGGCTATTGGAAAAACATATAGTCATGAATCTTCTCATAAGGCAACTCCTGAATATTCAGGTGCAAAAAGTATTAGTAATCTAAGTGAAAAGGATTTTTCTAATAATTTATCACACAAACATTATAAACATCAACATGTACACAGTCAACCCAATCTTTTTTTTGAGATTGATGCAATTCCATCGAATGATTGGAATATAAAACCACAAGAAAGATTTCAATATAGTAATCTTTTTAAATCGATTAATAAAGCTAATGAAGATTATTTAACTGGAGATGAAGCGGTGTCCTTTTTTCTATCATCAAAGTTACCTGAAAAGACTTTAGCACATATATGGGATTTAGCAGACCTAGATAAAAGCGGGAAACTTAATAAAGAAGAATTTATCATAGCAATGCATCTTATACGACAAAAATTAGCAGGTGTGGGCCTTCCAGCGTCTCTACCGCAAGAATTAATGCCACCTTTTTTACAAAAAAATCCTTCGCAAGAGAATACGTATTTCTTATCATCATCTAATCAGGAACCATCTGGCTCTATAGCAACTGAATCATTCGATATAAATAATTCTTTTTCTTCACAAGTTCAAACTACATCACCATCTCTTCCATCATCAGTTTTTTCAATTAAACAAATTCCTACTGATCCGTATGCCGAAGCTTCAACTATAATGCCATCTCCAGATTCTGTGTTTTCACCATCATGTTCTCATCCACAAACACCATCTGTTCATCCATCTCAAAGAACACCTTTTATTTCTACAACTACTTTTAAACAATCTATCGCATCATCTGTTACTCCAAATACTAAGGCTTCTCTTCAAAAACCATCTAATACAGTAGTGGATTTGTTAAGTGATACGAGTATTGATAATCCTGAAAAAAATGATAATAATACTAATGAAATGGATAATACTTCTAGTAAAATTTCTTCTCTTTCTAAACAAATACAAGAATTAAAACAAACAGTCACTTTGACAGAATCTGAGTTAAAAGCCTCTAATAATGAGAACTCTGAAATTGAAGAAAGATTATCACAGATTTATATTTTATATAAAAAAGAAGTAAAAGCTGTTCAAAAAATTCAAGAACATCTTGCGGAATCTCATGCAACTACACAAAAACTAAAACAAAAATATTCAGTTCTTAAAACAAAATTATATGCTTTGCAAAATCAAAAACAGGAACAGCTTGAAGATTTAAAACATAATACAGATGAAAATATCAAATTACAACATAAAATAGAATTAATGAATAGTCAATTGTCTTCTTTAAAAGAAGAGCTAGAACATATTGGGAAAGATTCATTAGGCCAAAAAAATATGATTATGATGGGCAAAAAACAATTATCTATATTCGAAGATAATTATACGCAATTGAAAGCCAGTATTGATAAAGATATAACAATAGATGATACCAATGAAAATAATGACGCTGATTCTGTTTTATCTACTAGCAATCAATCATCAAATCCATTTCATCAACTATCTGATTCTAATGAAACAAAACAAATATCCCCATTGTTTATTCCTTCATGTGATAAAATTGATATCAAAGATCAATCAAACATGCAAGACAATTCTATTAAAGATTTATCATCAAACATGAATTTAGAGATTCTAAAAAGACATGATAGTTTATCAGAGTCTTTAGATTCATCAGTAGTTGTTCAAGCTCCTGAATCTACTCCTGGAAAATTATCTAGAATAAGTTCTTATCCTGGGACACCTATACCGTGGATTATGAATAAAAGCAGTTCTCCGAAAATTTTAAGTGAATTATCTTCAAACTTTGATTCCGATATCTTTCTTAAGGATCCTTCTACAGAAAAGTTTGAATTTTATAAAGAGAATTCATATTACGGCTTAGAAGTTACAAATGCCTCTAATAATTCTAAAAAAAATTTAGATAAATCATCTGACGAGAATGAATTTAAAAAAGGTACATTTAATGTAAATAATTTAGATACAGAATTATTATATCCATCCAACAATAAAGAAGATACTTCATTGGATCCACGTTCTGGATTGGATGATATTTTATATAAAGACTGCGATATCAGATATTCGAGAATTCAGAATACAACTTTACCAGAGGAAAATATAAGAAGACTTCCTGGGACGTTTCCAATAGATTCTGATACCCGAATAATGAACCAAGAAATTTACTATACGTTTAATGATAAGGAGGAAAGTATAAAAGATAATGTATGTTCATGTTTTTTTATTTTATTACTTTATTAAATATATTTAGAAAACTAAGAACAGAACAGAAAATACATATTTTGATACGCTTTTGTTTCAAAATACTAATGATGTTACAACTAAGAAAAATAAGGCGGACTTCGATGAGACATTTTCAAATTTTATTGCTGAATCAGATGACTTTTCTAAAAATGACAACTTTGCATCAAAGTTTCCACCTATTGAAGATTTTCATAATTTATCTGAATCTAATGACACTAATGATTCTAATAATGATTTAAATGGTAATTCACTCTATTTTTTTTTTCTAAAAATTCATAAAACACTTTAGTTCAAAATAAGGACACTGTCATTAATTTATCTACATTCGATACTGATTATAATGTTTCTTATAATACAAAGACATCCACAACTGATGAAAATAATATAATGATGTCTAATACTTCACAATTATTAATCAGTAATTTCGAAAAAACTCAATCTAAAGAATCTTTATCAAATTTACACAATTTCGATTCAAATAATACCGAAACTTCAAATATTACCTCCCAATTAGATAATACATCAGGAAATTGCGATGATAAACGACTTTATAATCTTATTACGCCAAATGATCCCAATACTTTCGACTCTGATTTTTCTACTCAAAATGTCGAATTTAATACTCTTTTCACTCAACCTTTTCATCAAGAATCCACACATGATTAAGATGCTATTAACTACACTAACTGCTTCTTTCTAACTGCTTCTTTCTCTTTAAATTAATATGATATATCTATTAATCCTATTTTATTTTTACAAAACAAAAATTCAACTCATTTTACACTTTATTTACAAATAATTAGATATAAATTCAACTATTCTAATCTTTTCATGACACTTTTATGTTTTCTTTATCAACTACCTCTATCTCTTTCATATATATCCATCTTTATATATTCATATAAATTTATTATTAGTACTTATTCTAATTTATAATATTTTTCTATATTTTGCTAATTCTAACTATTAATGTCCCTAATATAAGGTTTTCTTTACTTATTATATATTTTATTTTTCATTTTTCCATGACATTCTATCGTTTATCATTCTTGTCGACGTTTTTTAAATATCTTAGGAAAAAAGCTTCCACGAGGTTCCATGAAAGAAAGATATAAGGACGAGACCCCCCCGGAGGTAGATAGAAGATTAAATTGATAAATTGATAAAGTATTTAGTATAGAAAGGATGACATTTGAGAAAGCAAGTGAGTAGAAAGGATATCTAAGGATATAAAAGAGGCTAATATATATGATTTATTTAGTTGGTATTGATTTAGGAACAACATTTTCATGTGTAGGAGTTTGGCAGAATGATAGAGTAGAAATTATTGCCAATGATCAAGGAAACCGAACTACGCCATCATATGTGGCATTTTCGGATACAGAACGGTTAATTGGGGATGCGGCAAAGAATCAAGTTGCTATGAATCCATCGAACACGGTTTTTGATGCAAAACGACTAATTGGTCGTAAATTTGGGGAGCCAGAGGTCCAGGCGGATATGAAGCATTGGCCATTTAAAGTGGTTAATAAGGATGGAAAGCCCTATATTGAGGTTGAATTTAAGGGGGAATCTAAAACATTTACACCGGAAGAAATTTCATCAATGGTCCTTATAAAGATGAAAGAAGTGGCGGAATCGTATCTTGGAAAAACCATAACGAATGCAGTTATTACTGTTCCAGCGTATTTTAATGATTCTCAACGACAAGCTACAAAGGATGCAGGGTTGATTGCAGGATTGAATGTTCTTCGTATTATCAATGAGCCTACTGCAGCAGCTATTGCATATGGATTGGATAAGAAGACAGAAGGAGAGAAAAACGTACTTATTTTTGATCTTGGAGGAGGTACATTTGATGTATCGTTATTGACGATTGAAGAGGGCATATTTGAAGTCAAGGCAACAGCGGGTGATACTCATTTAGGAGGAGAAGATTTTGATAATCGTCTTGTACAACACTTTGTTCAAGAGTTTAAACGTAAGCATAAGAAAGATATCAGTGGGAATCCGCGTGCACTTCGACGACTTAGAACAGCATGTGAGCGTGCTAAACGATCCCTTTCTTCATCAACACAAACAAGCATTGAAATAGATTCCTTATACGAAGGCATTGATTTATATACTTCTATTACTCGTGCTCGATTCGAAGAGCTTTGCCAAGATCTTTTCCGAGGAACTATGGAGCCAGTTGAAAAGGTCCTTCGAGATGCTAAAATTGACAAATCAAGTGTTCACGAAATTGTCTTGGTCGGTGGTTCTACACGTATTCCTCGTGTTCAGAAATTAGTTAGCGATTTCTTTAATGGTAAAGAACCTAACAAATCAATCAATCCCGATGAAGCAGTTGCGTATGGTGCTGCTGTACAAGCAGCCATTCTTTCCGGAGATACTTCGGAAAAAACGCAAGACTTGCTTTTGCTCGATGTGGCTCCTCTTTCAATGGGTATCGAAACTGCAGGTGGTGTAATGACTCCACTTATAAAACGAAATACAACCGTTCCTACTAGGAAATCCGAGGTTTTCTCCACTTATTCAGACAACCAACCCGGTGTATTGATTCAAGTATTCGAAGGAGAACGTCCACGTACACGTGATTGTCATTTACTTGGTTGCTTCGATTTGACAGGTATTCCACCAGCACCTCGTGGTGTTCCTCAAATCGAAGTTACCTTCGATGTGGATGCAAACTCAATTCTTAATGTTTCTGCGGTCGAGAAAGGAACTGGCAAAACGAATAAGATTGAAATTAAAAATGAAAAGGGACGTTTAAGCAAGGAAGAAATAGAACGTATGATTCAGGAAGCAGAAAAATATAAAGCAGAAGATGAAGAAGAAGCACAACGTGTCTCTGCTAAAAATGCATTAGAATCTTATGCCTATAGTTTGAAAAATACTGTGTCAGATAGCAAAGTGTCAGATAAAATTAGCGAAACAGAAAAATCAAAACTTGAGAAAGCAATAAGTGACGTCACTTCATGGTTGGAAACAAATCAAACCGCTACGAAAGAAGAATATACTTCTAAACAAAAAGACCTTGAGACCATAGCCGGACCTATCATGATGAAATTATATCAATCAGGTGAAGGTGTTCCAGGAATGGGAGGAGCATGTTCTCAACCAGGCGGTTTCCCTGGAACAACTGATGATCATGGGCCATCTGTGGAAGAAGTAGATTAAGAACAATAGAATCAATGCTGTATTTTTTTTTTTTGAAATGTATCGTAGTTGTTTAAGAATGATTTAATGTTGCATTATATATTTATACTAAAGGTGAAATAACGTGAATACATAGAATGTCTTGATAATTAATTTTTCTTGATTTGCCAGCAAATAAGTTTATAAATTAAAGGTGCCATTCCAAACCATGCAATAAACCCAACAATTGAAGCATAGACAATAGTCCATCTTAAGGAATATGGTAAACCTAATACAACCTGATCAAGGACTATTAAAAATAGTTAATTAAAATAAAAAATTAAAATAAAAAAATACATAAATGAAAAGATAAAGGATGAGATGCCATAACAGAAGGATAAAGAGAAAAATAATCAGGAATTAAACGTACACGCAAATAAAAATTTAATGATGAATTAGCTGATTGAATAATCGAATTGGAAATTTGAAAGACATCAAGATAAATAAGTGCTGGCGACTAAGAAATAAGAAACAAAATAAAATATTCGTATTAAAATCTACCGTTGCTGGCCATGAAAGACGAATTTCATAGGTATAATTTAAATAAAGAGAATGAATAAAATACCAGCGTTCAATTAAAATAGCTGAATTATTAGGATGAAAACCAAGTAGGACATTCTGTTCAAGATATTGTCCAGGGAAAAGATCATCGGAGACAGAAACATCGGATTGAAGTACAGGAAGAGACGGAGATGCAGTAAAAATAATTTTCTCAAGATTAGCACGAACCTGATAGAATAAAAATAAAAATAAAAATAAATTCATTTTTAAATTATATTAATAAACGAATTTTTTTTTTAAAGATGGAGATAGAAAAAGGTTTTGCAAAAACTTTTTTATACAATTTAAGTCAAAAACCTATTCGTTATAAAGATGATTACAAATTACCTCTTTCTAGTTTATCTCAAATTCCACCAGAAGTAAGTTGAATTTTTTGTTATAAAAATTTTGATAAAAAATAGATATATCAACAACCTATTCAACTGCCAGAATGTCGTAGGGAAAGAGTATATGTTAATGAAAAAGGTTATTTTTTATCATTTTTTTTGGGTGCAAAATACTAAGTAAAATAAAGAGGAAATTAATATTCATTTAAAATACTTAAGAGGCTCTAAAAATGACATAAATATTATTAGTAATAAGAATGAAACAATTCTTAATATTAAGGAAAAGTTATTAAAAACAGTTGGAGTAGAGTTATCTCAAATTAAATTATTAAATAAAGGAAAAGTACAATCAGATACAAAACAAATTTCTGAAATATTAGAGCCTGAACAGAAACAATTAATGTTTCATATTATAATTATGGAAAAGAAGCGATGTGAGGAAAATAATGAATTTTCATTAAAAGTATGCAATGAGTCAATAATTGATAAAAACCCAAAAATATCAAATCTTGAGTTAAACAGTTTATTTTGGGAAGATTTGAGGTCATTTTTATTAACAAAACTTGATAGAAATGTATGTGATAAGGTCTATAACATTTTTAAAAATGCATATGTTTCAGAAATGAATTTATAATTTTTGAATATTAAGTACAAAAAAATATTTTTAAACCAAAATTGTACATATAAGAGGTACATATGATGTTATAGAACAAGAGTGTATTTAAAAACCTCCCATACCTCCCATATTACCCATACCTCCCATGCCACCCATGCTACCAGGTGCACCAGGAGAACTAGGTGGTTCAGGTGTATCTACAATTGCACATTCTGAAGTAGCCATAAGGCTAGCAACACTAAAAGCGTCGACTAAGGCTGTTTTTACAACTTTGAAAGGATCGACCTAATAATCAAGTTAAGAAAAATAATTTAATATGTATACTTACAACACCGGCTGAAACCATATTACAAATTTTACCTGTAACTGCATCATATCCCATTAAAAATTGATCGCCATATTCTTTAGTAAGTCGATTAATAATAACGGAACCATCTTCAATTCCAGTATTTTGTACAATAAGTCGTGTAGGCTGCTGAATAGCATTTTGAATCGTTTTTACACCTAATTTTTCATCAAACGAATCCATTTTTTCTGCAACAGCGTCTAAAACAGATATAGCCTTAAGAATAGCAGTACCACCACCTGGTAAAATGCCTTCTTCAACAGCTGCACGTGTAGCATTTAACTAAAAAGTCATTTCTTAATTAACCGCTATATATATATATATATAGTACTTACAGCATCAACAAATCGATCCTTTTTCTCACCAACTTCAACCTCACTAGCACCACCAACACGAATAACTGCAACACCTCCACTAAGTTTGGCAAGACGTTCCTGGAGCTTTTCTTTTTCATATTCAGATGTAGAAGAATCATTAATAGCAAGCCTGATCTGTTCACATCTTTGAGAAATCATATCCTTTTGTCCATCTCCATTTAATAAAATAATATCTTCTTTTGTAATCGTAACACTTCCTGTTGAGCCTAATAATTCTGGTGTAACTCGTTCCAATTTCATATCCAGCTCATCAGTAAATACTTGACCACCTGTAAGGATACCAATATCCCCTAATATAGATTTCCTATTATCCCCAAATCCAGGCGCCTTAACCGCTGCAATTTGAAGTTGTCCACGGAGCTTATTTAAAATACATGCTGCAAGTGCTTCTCCATCAACATCATCTGCTATAATAACTAAAGGTCGTCTTTGATTAACTGCTATTTCAAGAGATGGCAAAATATCTTGTAACGCTGATATCTTTTTCTCTGATAGAAGAATCAATGGCTTTTCAAACTCACATTTTTGTGTCTTAATATCTGTAATAAAATATGGTGATATATATCCCCTATCAAAACGCATACCCTCCGTAATCTCAAGCTCATCATCAATCGTTTTTCCTTCCTTTACTGTAATCACTCCCTCTTTTCCAACCTAAATTGTTACATATAATTTATTATTATTAATCCAACTACTTTTTCCATTGCATTAGATATCAATCGTCCAATATGTTTATCTCCATTCGCTGATATCGTCGCTACTTGTGCAATCTCTTCTGATGTTGTAATATCTCTTTTATTTTTTTGTAAAAATTTTACTACTTCATCTACTGCTTTTTGAGCTCCTCGTCGAAGATCCATAGGATTACATCCTGCTGCTACATTTTTAACCGATTCCGCAAGTATCGCTCGTGCTAAAACCGTCGCCGTCGTAGTACCATCTCCTGCTGTTTCATTCGTTTTATTTGCTACATCTTGAACAAGACTAATATTTTAAATTATTCCTCCTCTTAATCTTATCTCTACAATACCGTGCACCAAGATTTTCAAATTTATCCTTTAATACAATACTTTTTGCTACTGTAACCCCATCTTTTGTAATTTTGGGGCTTCCAAAACTTTGTTCTATAAGAACATTTCGTCCTTTAGGTCCTAATGTAACTGAAACCGCTATTATCCATTATAACCCATATTAAATATTCCTCATTCTTCTATAAACCTTTTGCTAAAATTTCTACTCCATTAAGAATTGATGATCTTATATCTTGTCCAAATTTTAATTCTTTTGTTGAATATAGTCTTTGCTGATTCATTCCTTGATTCTTCATAAAGAACACAATTCTTCCTCCATAAAGACCTTGTAGATATTGAAGACGAGTCATTGTACTTGTTAAATAGCTCTTAATTAATGTATTTTTGCTAGTTTTTGAATTTTTTCGAAATCGATTTTTTTTAAGTAGCAGATCTAGCAAGTTCTATATAGACCTATAGATAAGAGTAGTATAAAAAACAAGTGTGAAATGAATGAAAAATCCGGTATTTAGAAGTATAAATATAAATAAAATAATCCAGAAAAAAAAAGAGTAAAAATGATTGATAAATAAGTGAAAGAAGAAATCCAGTTAAAAATAAAAAAAAGTGATATAAATGATGTAAATAGAAAGAAAGAATGTATTTTTAGTAGTGAAATAAGTCCTGATTGAATATAAATTGATAAATGTTTGAAGCATGAATGATATGTTGATTAAAATCAAAGTCGAAAGAAATATCATGTACAGGTATAAGATGTTGAGAATAAAGAGGAAGAGTGGTGATAGGATGTTGAAAATAAGTTAGAATGAAAATGATTTTAGGACCTAATGATGTTAAATAATAAAATTAATTAAAAAAAGTTTTTAACATATGTTCGTATATATAGAAGCAGTACGTATGATAGTTTGAATAGCAGATAAAATTGAAGAATTTTGTTTATTAGTGGTTAAAGTTGAAGCGTATATGATATCTAGATTGATTAGTAGATATTTTTTTAAAAAAAGAAATATTAACATTGTCCATTGGGACAATTACCAGTTGCAGAACCATCAATAATAAGATGTATAGGAAATTGATTTGATTTTAGTGAATGAGGAGGAAATGAAAATATTATACTATTATTATTTTTAAGAATGTGAGATAGATCACCTTTTATAAGACAAATTGAACGTAAAAGTGGTGTTTTGTCTAGTATTATAGTGTTTGGTTGATAATTTCCAATTTGATATGATGTAATAAGTTTTTTGCATTTGAACTTTTGATTATCATCAAAAGTGACAGTAACAGGATATTCTTCTTTATCATCAATAGTATAAGATGTAATTCGTTTTTTTAAAATGAATGTAGCGCCTTTTAATGCGGCATTTCTTGATAATGCTTGAATCAATTCACTTCCAGTACCAAATGAACAATTTAATATTGCAAACTTTGTAAAAATTCCTAAAGATGAAAAAAACTGTTTTATTTTTGGAAGAGCTTCCTTAACAGTAATATTGGGTACATAAGAAAGCGCAATACCGTATAAAAACATGTTTATATATAAAGTAGGTAATGCAAATGGTTCTGATGAAATAAAATCGACAAAAAGATCATCCTCATGACCTAGATATCATTCATTTATATAAAATATACTCACTAATCATTACCATTTAATATTTCTTGCCCTTTTCCAGATATAATATCATATATAAACTCAATAAAACGCATCACCCTGCGTTTCCATATAAAATCTACATTTTTATTAAAGGCCAGCATTTCCTTAGTATACAGAATCTCTGAAAATCCATTTTCATATGATTCATCATAGATTAAAGATGAATCAAAAGATTTAAAGTTAAGATATGATTGAAGATTAAATGATATAATCAAATCAATTATTTTTGATTTACAATATATAAGAGATGGCGTAAGATTAAAGCAATACATCTTCGACCCCTCCATACATTCTTCATCATTGATTATCAACTCTGAATCATAATATACCGTATCTTTTTGATAATCAATCCCATTTTTCCCCGTTAATTAAACAATTACCTTTATCTACCCATATTAACACTTACATATAAATAATATTCCTTAATAAAAACTTGATTTAAGTTCTTCCGCCCATTTCTTTAGCTCATCCCATCTTAAACATCCATAATCTTTCCCATAATATGGATTAATATCTACATTAAGTACTGTATTTCTTGCTGAACATGCACTACAAATAATTTAGCACTGAAATAATAATATTAATACTTACGAGACAAGAATAGACTCTGTAAGACCTGTTCCATATATAATATAATCAAATTGCTGTATATTTTCCATTTTTTAGCGTATGTACGAATTATCAAGTATGCATCAATATATGAAAGAAGAAAGTTAAATAAAACAAAATGAATAAGATTTGAGACTTTATTTTCCAATAAATAGATTAAACATATTTTTGATATATATATGATAAATTATGTTTTTAATGACCAAATTTCTTCGCTGTTTCTGCCTTTTTTAAGCTTTTCAAGTCTTTCAAGCCTTTTTTCATGTAACATCTTCTGTTCCATTTCTTTACTTTGACTTTTTGAACGTATACACCATAATAAGTCTCTCCATTTTGATGAACAGTCTGGACGTTGTCCATAGCGATAATAATGAACAAATTGGTTTTTTAATGTATAACACATAAAAAAACCATCAAAATGATGCTATTAAATATAAAATTAACCCTTATTTTGAAGAAAATATTTTTTGCTTATATATTATATATAAACAAAAATTATAAAATACCTGTAAAGAACATGGTTCTTCTTCATGATTTTCAATAGGATTTAACAATTCATTATTAATGTATGTATTCTCTTCTTTATTTATAATATTTTCATTAAACATAATAAATTTTAAAGAAATCCCTCAAAAATTCGAATTTTTTACCCGTTCTTTTTGGAAACCTTATAAATATGACAATATCTAAAAAATTAACTTATTTTTAGATTTTTTTATCCACTTTTTAATACTTAAAAATATTATTTTATTTTTATCTAAATATATCGCGTTAATAAATTTTCACCTTCTGACCTTAAAAATCACTCCTAATATATTAAGGGGTTATGTTTTTTTCTAAAATTTTGGAGAGAAATGGAGTATTTGAACAGTAAAATCTCTTTAATAAGTCAGAGTGGCATACGGTAAGGGAAAGATCGTTTTTGAACGGTTTAAATTGGTTATTTAGAACATGAATTCTGATAAGAAATGATTATAATAGATATATTGGAATTCTGCATGATATTAACTCAAAAGATTCTACAATATCACTTAAGAACGTCCGTTCTTATGGTACGGAAGGGCGTAAGGGGAATCCGAGGGAAGAAATTCCAGCATCAGAGAATATTTTTGAATATATTGTTTTTCGTGGATCAGATGTTAAAGACTTAAGAATTGAGGAGCCGGCGCCTCCTAAATCAGTTCCACAGATGCCTAATGATCCTGCTATACTTAGGGTATGTTTTTGAATGAAGAAAAAAGGATAAAAAAAGGGTTATCTTGAAAAAAAGAAATATGTAAAAAAATGTATAATTTTTAAATAAAAAATATAGATTTATATATAAATAATTGTTATATTTATGATTTATGTATTATTTTTGAATATGGGCTTATTAAAAGTAGATAACAGAACCTCAATTGCATCAGTCTCAACAAGGATATTCTTTTTCGAATCAAACGTATCAAAATATTCCTAAGTATTCATCATATCAGGGATATAATACTTCTCCAAATCTTCAGATAGGAGCATCACCTGCATATTATGATAATGTTTCAGGAATTTCTGAACATTCAGTTAATCAAAATCATTCATCTAAACAATCTTTACACATACCATTAACACAGGTTCCGTCTTCAATAACTTCAGATCCGAGGCTATGTTCACTTTCTATGGCTCAAAATAAGACGGAAGCTGACCCTAATCATTCATCTACTAAAATATCCAAAAGTGAGCCTATAACTTTAGCTATGCCATTGCCAACGCGAGCGAAAGCACCAGTAGCACATCAAACATCTGTTAAACAAAATGGCGCAACAAATCTTAAAAATACAGCATCGCCTGTTAGTCTATCTAAAGGTCAATCTTCTACAGTTTCTACAGCAAATAGTGAGACTCATCCTGATATTCAAAATATAACAACTGAAATGTCAAAATTGAGTACAAGTAAATTTTTCTTTAGTTTTTTTATTTGTATTTTAACAATTTAGAACGTACTGAACCAAGAAATTTTCGGTTACATAATTCTGGAAATTATTTAATGCAACAACGTCATGGAAGACGTCGCAATAATGACCACGGTTATCTTCAGAATTTCTCAAATACAGTTGAAGCACCAGAAGAAGAATTTAATTTTACGCTTTGGAATGCAAAATTTAAGAAAGATGTTTTAAAATCCTCTAACAAGCAGGATACAGATGATTCAAATAATTCATCTATTCCTTCTAAAGAAAATTATTATGATAGTAGGAAATCTTTCTTTGATAACATATCATGTGAAAATAAAGAACGTATTGAAAATAAAGAAAAAGGAAATAGTAGAATAAGACGTGATCAAGAAAGAAGCCAAAATATGGAAACTTTCGGTCAAGCTCGATTACAAACAAAAAAGCAAGGTAAAGGTCGAGGAAGAGGTGGATTTTATGGCGGTTATCAGGGTCACAAGTATAAAAATGGCAATAAAAATCAACGTACAGTAAACGGTGAATCAGTACAACAAATACAAACGTAGCAATCTCCTTTTTATAAACTATGGTATTTTTAGTATTCTATCGTCTTACAAAATATGATAATTTTCAATTAAATCTTTAAAGATCTATAAATCAATAATTAACTATAAATAATTATGAATCTTTAATTATTCGTTGTTTTGACATATATCCTTTAACTTTATAGCCTTGTCTTAACATGTTCCAATAACGTTCTGAAAGTTCTTTACAGTTTTCATAGTGATTAATTCCTTCTGTTTTATAACATTTATCAAGCATATCTCTTACTAGTCGTAATTCCATCGCTTGAATCCAGCTTTCTCGAACAGCATATAATTTAGCTGCTTCTAAAGCTGTAAAATATATTAAATTACCCTTATTTATAGATTTTTACATAGATTATCTAGTATTACCTTCTTTATCATTGTAATCAATCTCATCAAACAGAACTCGTTTATGATTTTCCATATTTTAGCCTCAATTCCAGCTTTTTTTCCCGGAAAAAAAGCAAATATAATAATATATAAGAAAATAAAGACGAATCTATGTTTTTTATCTTTTTTTTCTGGTTATTTTAGACGTTTTTTCTACTTTTTTTATGAACCAATTTTTTTGTCGTTAAATGACTATAAAAATATTTAATTTTTAAGGTTATTTATATAATTTGCCTTGTAATATTAAGACTTTATATTTAAAAGAAATTAAAAGTTTTTTGTTAAATTTATATTAAACATGATGTAATTTATTATTAATTTTGTCTAATAATAAATATTTTTTAAAATATTAGAAGACTTGTCTAATCTCTATACAAAAAAAGTCTTAAGAATCTAGCCTAAGATAGAAATACCTTTATTATATAGAGAAAATCCAAGAGTAGAGTTTGATAGAAGAATATCAGTTATTTTTGGTTAAATAGAATAATAGAATTCTCGAATTATCAAGGTTTATGATTTGTAAGAGGGGAACGTCTTTCTGTATTCCAATGTGATGTATTTTGATGGTTTAAACGAGGTTCTTTCCATGAAACAGAAGTAGGATTCTGCATCTCATGATAATGAGTCATAGATGTAGCAGAAAACATATTATTATTAACGGGATAATGATTATATAATACATTTGTTAATGTATCCATCGATCCTCTTGTATAATTCGTTGTTAGTGGATCTTTTAATGATAGTCCTAAAATAAATAACTTAGTATTAAAATTAAAGAGTTTAAAAGTTACCCTCGATTTCACTTTCATTTAAAAAATTAATTCTTTCATAAGGCCCTCCTGATTTTTTATTACATGGAGATACTACTTTTGATAACTTATTAAACGTCATTTGCTCTAAAGATTCCTGTAAGTTATATGACGACATTTTTTGTTGCCTTGGTGATTCTTCCAATTTATATTCAACTGTTTTCTGTATTTCTTCCGCCTTTTGTTCTATTTGTTCCTTCATATATTTATCTAAAGTCTTTGATTAACCTTTATCTTTTAAATATTCCCCTAAATCATACACGTAATCCTTTCACATTCTTCAATTTGTTCTTCTGACCCTTCGTATAATTTTTCTACCACTTGAATTGAATTTTCGTCTGCTTTATACAACATTTGTAACACCTTTTCCACTGCTTGATTATATTCTATATCATTTGTAGGCGTATGTCGTGTTAAACTAGCATATTTCAAAAATCTAACTAATGTTCGTATTTGCTCTTTTTCTTCTTTTTTTTCTTGAGCTTCATTCATTGCAATTTCCTTTGCTCTTTCTATTTCCTTCTCTTTTACCTCTTTTTCCTGTTCCATTAATAATGAAAATTGTCTCCATAACTCTTCTAATTCTTTTAACGGATATAACACTTGATCTTTGTTTTGTAATAACGCTAGTTGATCTTTATTCAATTTCTCTCGTTCTGGTCCTTCAAATTTCTCCTGAAGCCGTTCCAGCCGTTGCTATCATAAAACATCTTCGTGTCATTCTTCTTAATACCCTTTCAAAAATACCTTTTTCTTATGATATGTCCGTAGCCGTTTATAAAGTATATCTGAATATTCACTTCTGTCTTCTTGTCCCATACTTTATATCCGATATTCCTTCCGTTAGCTTAATATTATCAATTTTTTACTGAAACACGAAAATATTGACGTTGATAGGATTATTTAAGCCTGATAAATACCGTTAAAAAATATACCTTTATTTTCATGAGAAAAAATAAAGATATTCAAAAATCAAAATATCTAGCTTCTAAAAAATAAAAAATATCTTAAAAATAATTATTTTTACTTGAAATAAATCTTTTTACCCTTCATTTTCCCCTATTTATTCACTTTTATGCCTCTTTTCTTCTCATTAAAATCTTGTTTCATAGAACAAGATACATTCATAATATATTCTTATTCATAAACTCCTTTTATCCACGGAATTTATCAAGTGATAACTACATAATATTATCAGTTTTTCTTGATATTTATATTAATTCTTAAGATTTACTTGGATTGTTTTATCAAGATGCGCTACACGTAATGTTTTCTCGTTCATTTGACGTGCTTCAAGTGTAGCTGTTCGAACTAATGTGCTTATAAACAAAAGATAATCAAGATAAACCTATAAATCATTAATTTATATAAGAAAAAAAGAAATATACAAGGACATCAAGGTTTTTTGCAAGGCGACGATGAGGTATATGCGCTTTAAGAATGGTTTTAAGTGTACGTCTTGGATAAGGTTTTGTCATTAGTTAAGATGAAGGGGGATATGAAGGGTGTAATGAATTGGAATACGCGTTATTGTTGTTTATTTGCGAGTTTACGTTGTGTATGCGGGTTATATGCGTTATGTATGCGTAGTATATGCGTTATATATGCGTGTTGTATGCGTGTTGTATGCGTTCTGGACGCGTTTTAGACGCGTCTTTTTCAAATTATTCTGTTTTTCTTCAACGTAGTCACCCTCAGATCGACCGCATATTTTTAAAATCAGACAAAAAATGGAGGAATCCGCCCTTTTTTCTAAGCAATTTACAGGTAAATATAATTATATGAAAAGCCCTTAATAATTAGTATAGGAAATACCTCTCTGTATTTTTTCCTGTATCAATATCGCCAAGTAAAGGGTTTTTTTCAGATAGATTAAGCTTATAATGAGATAGCCAATGTATTTAACAAGAAACCTGAAATATTTATATTCAGAAGGATCGGATGAGCCTAGAATAAGGCGTCCTCAGTGTTGTGTTAACTCATTTTTATTTGAAAAAGAGTTTAAAATGAAAGATTCGGCGGTTTGGACGATATATATGAGTCATTTAAAAATGCGTATTTTAAAGGCATTAAATGGGCAAGATTAACATGTTTTAAGCTATAAATATTGAGAAAAAGGGACAAGAAGTGGCAGAAAGGTTTTTTGCGGGGTTATTTTTGTATAGTTCTAGTGGAAAATGTGTATATCAAAAAAATATACAAGGAAAAAGCTTTATAGATGCTATGGATAATCTATTGTTTTATCAGGAAGAGCCTTTTAGGGTGCCGCATACGGCATTTAGAATGTCTAGGGGAGGGATCAAGATAGATCGTATTTGTAAGGGACGATTAGTTTTTACAGTAGAAAATAAAATGATTGGGACAATTTTGGATGCAATGGATGTTGAAGATGGTTTTAGAAATATTGATGCAGAGAGTTTTCTTGGGAGAGGGTTTGAAGAGATGAATAAAGGTATATTTTTCTATGTGACATTCAATATTCCGTATTTTAAGGCATCAAGTGAATTTGAAGTATTATATTTTGATAAAAATGGAAATGAGAGAAAAACAGAATATGTATTGAGTTTATGTTTTGCAGGAAAAGTTATTCAAAATACGAAATTAGATTTAAATTCAAAAATAACATTAAGGCCGAAACTTACTGTTAAAAATAATACACAGGATGTAGAAGATAAAGTTGAAATTCGATATATCTTTAAAGCGGAAGAAAGTGATGAAACGGTAGTAAGAACATCAACACGTCAAGATTTTAAATGTCTATGGTGTCGTGGAAAAAATTTTCGTACAAGACAACGGTTACACTTTCATTTTCTTATGAATCATGAACTTTTTTCTTTCAAACTTGAAACCAATAATCCTGGTTTTTTACAATTTGAAGTGAAATTGGCTAATGAATATCCTTCTAAACGAATAGGCGATCAGAAAATGGATTTTAGAGTTTTTCAATGGATCAGACATATGAGATTTAAACATAATATTAATTCCATTTTATTAGATAATGGGGAATCTATTTTATCTCGTAATATAATGCTTGGAATGAAAGTTGAACAAAATGAATTGGTACAAATGAATATAAAGCCTAAACCAAAAATACAATTACTTTTTCCTTTGAAAAGGAAAAATAAAAGAAGATTTGCTGCGCCCAAAATGAATAATTTGTATAAAACTATGTCAAAAAGAAAAATTATACCTGGTGAAATATTATCTGAATCGGAAGATGATATTGATGAAACATGGTTAGTCCAGAAACACGAGGATGTAAAGATTATTATATATTTTGTCATGGTTTAATTTATTTAGATGCTGGACGATTTTATGGATATAACTATGTCAGAAAAGGCTTTTATGAAACTTTGGGATAGATTTATAATCAAAGACAGGTACACATATTATCATTTGGTCTTTTTCTTAACAAAATAGACCTATTGGACATTGTAACCTTCCTAATTCAATCATGAGATTTGTACATTCTCATAGAAATATCCTTCATTCGGAAAATTTGGTAAGCGAGTTTTGGAAGCATCTTTTAAATCTTGTTCAATATAAAATTATTGATCTTGTAACTTTACGAAAATCTATGGAAGTAATTAGAAACATTCATGATAATACAGAAACGGATTGAGTTTGAAAATAATTTATAATATTATATCATATTTTCGATATATAAATAATAATAATCTAATTATTTTGATTACCATTTGTCATTATTTTTCTATCAATAAATCTACAAACACAAATAATCAAATATTTTCAATAATGCTTAATAATTTATTCTTCTTGATACTAGTCTTGGAATAAAGCACTATTGCTTAAAGGATCTTTTGGAAGTACTGATTCTTTTTTCTTTACAAACTTTTTTACATTTGCTGCTTGACGATCTTTATATTTAGATGATTTTTCTCTCTTTACAAGTGATCGTATTCTTGAAGGTGATCTAAAAAGAAATAAACATAATTATATAATGTTTTGAGAAAAAATCATACATAAATTCTTTATTTTCATAAATAACTGGTCCTCCAAATGAACCTTCTAAAATACAAATAGCTGTCATCACAAACCGAGGGCCAATTTCAATAAGTGACATATCTATACCTGGCTGAAAAAAATCTTTTTCTTTCTCTGCTTTTTCAACAATCTATGAAATCATTATTAACAATAGTATAAATCAATAAAATATACTTGATAATTTCGAAACCATATTTTATTATCTGCAATAGAAAATGTAACAACATGATCAATAAATGGCTTACTTCTTCTTGCTCCCTTTGGAACTCCAAAGATCTATGCTTCAATTAGTCAATATCTTTTAAATATAAATTCATCTTACATGAGAAAAAAGTTCTTTAATAAGTCGCATATGTGGTTCTGTATCAAAACTAGCATCAAATGAAAGAATAGGACGAGATCCTTTCAAACAATTTCCAATAAGATGAAGATCTTCCATTGTATGTACTTTTATATAATAAATATGTTGTTTATTTTTCATGTTAATATTACCATTTTGTACATGAAATTTAATCGTAGGTCCATTAGGAACCTTAGCCATCCAAATATATAGATCCTGATGCTTTCTTGCTTCAAAAAATAATATATTATTACAATTATAAAGCTCTGCTACTTCATTTAAATGATAAAGTTTGGATTTCATATCAAATTTTGTATCTTTTTTTGAATGAGGCAACATATCTACAAGATCCTTCATAAGATGACGTTGTCTGATTAATAAATATTTGTTTAATCTTAAGGGAAAACATTATTACCTATATGTTATCCCTCGAGATGATAAAATAAGTACTTTTTGACGAATTTCTTTAAATCCTGTTGATTGATCTTGCTTTTCAACTGATTCTTTATTATATTCATCTTCCTCTATATTTTTACTATGTTTTGATAGCTCTTCTGATAACCTTTTTGCCTTCTTTTGAGTCTGATACTTATAAACTGTTGACATATCGATCTTCTATTCAAGATCTCGTAGTCGATCTTCAAATACTTGTTAAAAAATGTATACATCCCCTATTATTCTTTGATTCTATGTTTTGAAAAAATCCCTTCATGTGTAAGATCTATATCAATTTGTGCAGGTGCACAAAATGGTGAAAAAACCACCTTAAGTGCTCTATTTTGAGTATATGTTTCTTGATATAATGTTGAACGTAATAATAAAATACGCCCATGAATGTTATTTGACCATACAAAGCCTAAAGAAGGCACTTTACATGAATATTCATGATGTTTCCAACCTTGAAACCAAGCACCTTGATAATTGTAATCAAACAATGTCATAGTGTCTTTTTTTATCTTATCAGAGACCTGATTAATAACAATTATAGCACATTGATGTTTTTCTGCAAGTAATCTTAAATGTGCAGCTAATCTTACTAAATCTCGACTTCTATTAACAAGATCTATTAAACCTGGCTTTATTGCTGGGTTAGAGACTTTCTCTGTTTGACAATATATATTTGATACATCATATTCTGCACGAAAATGTGTAGCTATGTTATCCAACACAACTAATCCAATATTATATCGTTCTATAGCTATTGGTAATTGAAATTGAAGAATATGATTCTGTTCTTCAAGATCTACACATGTTATACAATATACATGATTTCCCAGATCATTAATATTAATATTTATGTTTGGATAATTCATTCTAACTCGTTTTTCAAATCCTTTTGCCATTTCAAAAAACCTTTTTGTTGAAAGTCCTGTTTCTGTTGATATATATATAGCATTTTTCTCTAACCCTCCCAATTCTCGAGGTAATTGAACTGTTAAACAAAGTTGCATACAAAATTGTGATTTTCCTGTACCACTATTTCAAAAATATCCTTAATTTATTTCTATTTTCTCTCAATTCTTTACCTTTCTCCTGCTACCTCTAAAACATGTCCTAATGGTATTCCTCCTGAAAGAATACCATCAATTGCTTTATCTCCTGTAGTAATAAATTCTATTTCAATATTCTTATATTCCTTCTTCTTAGGAATACATTCTTGTATAATTTTATCAATCAATTCCTCAATTTCTACTATCTTGATAGATGTTTTTTTACAAATATCCAATGGATCCATTGTCAAAAGATCTAATGTTGATAATTTTGCTATTAAAAGTACTTATTATTTCCTTTATTATCTTCCTTCTTGAATACCTTTTTCAAGTGCTATATATATATATTCATTACATTTGATTTTTGGACATGTTTGCCATAAATCCATCTTTTAAACAGGGAAAAAAAGGTTTTTATTTATATTTTATAATAATAAATAGAAGGGCTTTTTTTTGGGAGTAGTTTTTAAGTAATTTTTTAAGAATTTTTAATTTTACTTGATTTTTTGCTTATCAATTAAGATTTGAACGTTTAATCGAAGTTAAAAAGAAGTTAAAAAGTTAAGAAAAGTTAAGAAAAAGTTAAGAAAAAGTTAAGAAATTCTTAAAAAGCTTAAGAAATTCTTAAAAATTGTTAAGAAAAGGTAAGAAATTCTTAAAAAGTTATTAAAAAGTTAATAAAAGGTGTTAAAAGGTGTTAAAAATTGTTGAAAATTGTTGAAAATTCTTAAGAAATTCTTTAAAAGTTATTAAAAAGTTATTAAAAACCTTTAAAAAACCTTTAAAATCTATAAATTATGGAGAAAATACTTGCTCAAAGATTAGAAAGACTTGGTGAACATTCTCATATTAGAGGAATAGGATTAGATGATCGTTTAGAACCTCGTCCATCTGCAGAAGGAATGGTCGGACAATATCAAGCACGAAAAGCAGCAGGAGTTCTATTACAGATGATTAAAGAAGCTAAAATTACAGGTCGTGCAATTCTTATATCAGGACCTCCCAGTACAGGGAAGACAGCAATTGCTATGGGTAGAAATAGCAAAAAAATAATTAAAAAAAGGGATAAAACTAATTAAATTAAGGAATGGCACAAAGCCTTGGACCAGAAGTTCCATTTACTATGATTTCAGCATCAGAAATTTTTTCATTAGAAATGAGTAAGACAGAAGCGTTAATTCAGGCGATTCGGAGGAGTATTGGGGTTAGAATTAAAGAGGAATCGGAAATCATTGAAGGGGAGGTAGTAGAAATTCAAATAGATCGTTCAATTACAGGTGTAAGTGAATTAACAGAAATTTTCTGAAAAAAAAGAAGAAAAAAAGGTGAATTAATGTATTATTTAGGGAAATAAACGAGGGAAAATGATTATAAAAACGACAGATATGGAGACAGTTTATGATTTAGGGAATAAGATGATTGATGCTTTAACGAAGGAAAAAGTGATTGCAGGAGATGTTATTTTGATCGATAAAGCATCAGGTAAAATATCTAAATTAGGGTGTTCATTTGCTCGAGCAAGAGATTATGATGCTATGGGATCAGATGCGAAGTTTGTTCAATGTCCAGAAGGGGAGCTTCAAAAACGAAGAGAAGTGACACATACAGTATCATTGCATGAAATTGATGTAATTAATTCAAGAACACAGGGATTTCTTGCATTATTTTCAGGAGATACAGGTGAAATTCCGTCAGAGATTCGAGATCAAATTAATACTAAAGTTAATGAATGGAAAGAAGAAGGAAAAGCAGAAATATGTCCAGGTGTTCTTTTTATTGATGAAGTTCACATGCTTGATATAGAATGTTTTTCATTTTTAAATAGAGCTTTAGAAGATGATCTTTCACCTATTGTCATTATGGCAAGTAATCGAGGAATTACTCGTATTAGAGGCACTAAATATAAAAGTCCTCATGGTATTCCACTTGATTTCCTTGATAGAATGTTGATTATTTCAACTTCTCAATATAGCGTTGATGAAATTAGACAAATTTTACATATAAGGTACAAAAAATGGTTTATTTATAATATTTAATTCATATTATTAGATGTCAAGAAGAAGATGTAGAAATTTCTCCTAATGCACTTAGTCTTTTAACAAAGATTGGACAAGAAACTTCTATTCGTTATAGTATTCATTTAATTGCTACTGCATATCTTATAGCACAAAAAAGAAAATCAACGCAAATAGATATTGAAGATATACAAAAAAGTTATACATTATTTTTGGATCAAGCAAGAAGTGTTCAATATTTAGAAGAATATTCTCAACAATATATATCTGAGAATGATTATATTGATAAAATAGATGATGTTAAATCAATGGAAGTCTTTTAAATATTTATCATTTGTATTTTTAAACATATTCGTAATTTTTTATATATTTTTTATAAAAAAAAAGCGTATAAAACAGTCTTAAACATTCTTTTATTCACAAAATCTTGTGTATTTCATGGTATAAACGAGAATCCAAGATCTTCCAATGTTTTGAAAACTTGATCTCCCACTTTTCTTATTTCAATTTTTTGTTCTGTAAAAAATCCTTGATCATTCCATTCCTTTATTTGAAATCTTTCATAAGGTCCATATATTTCTTCCTTTCCTTCCCATTTATATTCATATTTCGGTTCTTCTTCTTCTTTTCTTGAATTTTTCCAAACTTTTCCCGTTTCTTTTTGATAATTACGAGCAATTGCTTCACGTGTTAAATCATAAATTTCATTATGTCCACATTGCATCAATCTATCCGCTAATTCCGTAATTTTTTCGATATCTCTATACTTCTTTTGTGTTTCTTCATTGCTTTTTAATCCCTGATGTTCCTTATCCTTATTTTTATTTGTCCATCGTTTTTTTTGCTCTAATCCTTCTCCTAACCTCTGTAACGCCTCCAAAATCGTTTCTCCAACTTCAAGAAAATTTAATAACCTTTCATACATATTTTCTAATGATAATTCCTCTCTTTTTTCTACTAATATTCTCTCTTCTTCCTCTCTTTTTTCCATCGCTTTTTTTGCTTTAATAATATCCTCTCTTTTGATTCCTTCTAGCCAAATATCATGTTTTGCATTGATATCTGGTGCATTTCTTATATAATTCCCTTCTTCATCAAATCTCCCCTCTTCAAAATCCGCTTTCATATTAAATGCTTCAATTTTTGGCGGATTTTTTTTACGTCCACTCGCTCCTAGTTCCGAATCATAATCTTCATCTTCTATATCATCTTCTTCATCAAGAATATCTATAAATTCTCGTTTTGACTCAAAATCTTGGCCTTCAATCTCATTTAACTCGACAAAACGCGTTTTTTTCCCTTTTTCTCCCCTTTTTACCGAGTATATGCGCTCATTTTCTCCATTTTCCTCCCTTTCCTCGCATTGTATGCGCTCATTTCCTTCAAAAATCCCCCTTTTTCCCTCTTTTTTTTCTATCACTTCTTCGTCCTCTGATGAATCCGATTCATAGCCTGTAACGTCTTATTAGCTTCTTTCTGCCCTCAAATTCACCCTTACCTTCCGTCCATACCCGTTTTTTACCTCGTTTTTTGGTATTTAAATCCGCCTCAAGAAGCAGATCTTCTCTATTTATATCAGTTTCAACGACTCTTATAGGGTTCATATGAGAGTACGGGTCGGAGAGGCAGATAAAATACAATAAAAAGGTGTAAAAAAGAAGGAAAACGAACAGAAAGATTCTATTAAAGAATATAAAGGAAAAAATGGGCGGGAAATTAAGGAAATTAAGGAAATTAGAAATTAAAATATGAAGCCATATTAAGGTGTAAAATAAAAATGTAATGAAATGTATGAAATGCGTTCAACAGCAGCCAAATGAAGTGTTTTGTTGTATTTTATTTCCTTGGTGGATTCTAACATTTGATTTTCCGCCCATTGCATATGCAGAATCTGAGCCAATACGTTTCTATGAAAATATAAGAATATACATAAAAAGATAAAAAATTGGATAAAATGGAATACTTTAATTTCTTGAGCCATTGTTATAAATGCTTGTTCAACATTAATTGAAGATTTTGCAGATGTCTCAAGAAATGGAATACTAAGTCCATCGGCGAGTTCCTAATAATTATAGTTAGAAAATTAATAAATTAATAAAATAAATAGAAAAATAAATAAAAATACCTTTGCTTGAGAAGGATCAACTACTTTCTTATCAACCATATCTGATTTATTCCCAATTAATAATTTATTAACAGATTCACTTGCATAGCGGTCTATTTCTTGAAGCCATTGTTTAACATTATTAAATGTATCTAATAATTCATATTATTCCCCATTTTTTAAATTATAATCACTTAATATAATTCATACCCTGATCTGTCACATCATATACTATAATAATACCATGTGCACCTCGATAATAGGAAGAAGTAATCGTTCGAAAACGCTCCTGTCCTGCAGTATCCCACTGAAATAAAATTATAAGTCTTTATATAGAGATATATTAATAAAAATATACGATTTGGAGTTTAACTGTTTTTCCTTCAAGTTCAATTGTACGAATTTTCTGTATTTAAATTATTAATAAATTTCATTTTTATCTAAAAAAAATGTACAAAGTCTACTCCAATAGTTGATATATAACTTTCTGTATATGTATCATCCGAAAACCGTAGAAGCAAACAGCTTTTTCCAACACCCGAATCCCCAATTAATAATAATTTAAACAAATAATCTATACAAATTATATATTAAAATATATTAATATAATACCATTTTATATTCAAATAATCTTACCGTATTCTGGATTCATCCTTAAAATCTATATTTTTTTAGTTTTCTTTACCGCTCATTTTCTCATTACCAAGCTACTATCTAAACTTCGGTAGGTTTTAACCCTTTAAGAGATACTAAAAAACTGTATCAGAAATAACAATATAGTAACAAATATCTTATTTCTCTTCAATTCTTTACATTTGTTTTATTATAAGTCTATTTATCTTGAAACTTATTTCTTCGAAAGTATATATATATACAGGAAAAAGACGTGTTGTGAAACATTAGAAAAAAGTGTATAAAATATCTAGAATATCTTGGCAATATCTTGGTGATATCTTGGTTTTTTTCCTTACAAACCTTGTCTTATTATATACAATCACGTGATATATATATAGCTACAAATCCACTATAATTCTATATTTTTCTTAATTTTGATGAAACCATTGGTTTTCCCGTCACTTTTCCCTCAGGATCTTCATTCTCTTTGGTATAGACCACATCATCTTTTATCAGAATCAGGGAATCAAGTTGGAAAATCCCAACTAGATCTTGATGAGGCAGAATATGAAAATAAAGTTAGTTTTTTATAAGGAAAAAAGAAATGTATAAAAGTGGGATAGAAGCTTGTTATTCGGTCATTTGGATCTACATGGATAAGACCGGTTGGTATTCAACAGACGATTCGTGAACAAGAGGAATTGGAGTCAGCAATGAATGAAGAAATGGATGAAGATGAAGAAATTAATCAAGATCCATCATTAGGAGAAGGGGGTCATGAAGATGTAGAAGAAGCGGATTTAGATGCGGCTATTCCAGAAGTAATTAGTTCTGAACAAGGATCAGATGAATTTGAAGACAGTTTCCAGAGTTTTTTGCAGTCTCATAATCAAAGAAGACAATTAACAGAAGCAAGCATTGATATTTCTTTAAGTCCTTTTGATCCATTAAGACAAAGGGCGTTAGATGTTGATTCTGGTCTTAATATTCATGATGGAGATATAATGGTATGAAATAAAATTCTTATAATATAATGATTTTATATTTTAAGGACTAATAAATATTGGATTACAATATTCGCTTTCAATATACAAACATATTTATTATTATTTTCTTTACGAATCTATGATTTTTGCTATAAATACTTTTATTTCTGACAATTACATCATTCTAAATGGGTAATGTTGGTTTTTTTTCTTTATTTACACTACTAAAACTATATTTTTATTTACATTTTTTTTTTTATCAAATTATACATTCAATCTTATATTTTTTACAGGATATAAAGGCACATTATTTTGGTTTTTCATTTAAACTTCTTTCTAACTTTTTTTTTCTAGATCATCTTTACTTTTTCATACGCTACTAACAAATACCAAATGACAATTCACTTAGTAAAAACGTTTTCTTAGATTCTATAGACTTTATATACATGGTTTTGCTTCATAAATACTCTCAATAATTTTATTGTGTAATATCTGGATTTTTTTCACATCTTAACGTACCGGATTTTTAGTGAGATTTTAAAGGAAAAAAAGTCGTTTAAAAGGCCAGAAATTGAGGGAAAACCTCAGTACTAATGGAAGAACCTATTCAGGAGGTATGATTAATAGAAAAATAAAAAAAATCCGGTTAAAAATGACCAAAAAACAGGAAAAATATGTTATTATAGATGAGACAGATGGGGCTAGAAATGGCTTAAAAAGCCCATTTTTGGGGGGAATAGAGGAGGAAAACGGTATAGAAGAATGTTTAGATGATATATTTCCGGATCATTATTATGATAATGGAAAAATCCCGGTTTTTAAGCCAGTAAATAGACATAATAAGCTAAAAAACGAAAATAAGAAGTTAATAATGGTTTAGACGATGGAGCAGTTTCATTGCTTTAGTAGATTTGTTAAATCTATTGATTCGTATGGTATGAAGACGGGGATTGTGAAGATTATCCCGCCCAATGAATGGTAATTTTGTTATGGGTTCTTTTGGGGTGTAAATATTGGTAGGTTAGAAAAATTGCCGAATTATACAGAAAAGATCAAGACAATACGTTTGAGACATCCTATTGAGCAACATATTGTTGGAAATGGTGGTTGTTTTCGACAAACCAATGTTGAGAAAAGACAAACATATAATCTTCCTAAATGGAGGAAATTATGTGAAAGTCCTAATCATTTACCTCCTGCGCGTAGAGGAGAAACGAGAAAAATAGCGTATAATGATAATATATGCAAAAAACCCGAAAATAATGGATGTATTAATGAATCGTTTGAATTGGAATCGAATCAAGGAAAGGCTTTGATTAACGGTTTAAGTGAAAAAAATGTAAAGAAAAAGATGAAAACGGATAGTTTTAATAATGAGACTGAGCTCACGAATATATTGCCAAGTGAAATTTTTCTTAAGAAAGAAGAAACTGAAACGAATTGTTTTTTGGAAAAAAAAAGTCTTAATGTTGATATTGAAACGACTGATAATGCATTGGAGACCGATTCTAATGAGCAAACTCCTAAAAAGAAGGTTAAAAAGAATGGTCTTGCGAAAAATAAGATTAATCAATCTGACGACTGTGATTTTGACGGGTTTGATTATAAAATAACAAATCCAGAAGAATATACGATAGAAAGATGCAAAGAACTCGAACGTATTTATTGGAAAACTATTACTTATAATAATCCATTATATGGTGCAGATATGCCTGGTAAAAACATCTACTTGTTTTATTTTAATTATTGATTACTTTGATTTAGGTTCGTTATTTGATGATTCAGTTAAAGAATGGAATGTTTCCAATTTAGATAATATTTTAAACAAAATGGATATCATTTTACCTGGTGTTAATACTTCTTATCTTTATTTAGGAATGTGGAAAGCTACTTTCTCATGGCATGTAGAGGTAAATAATGGATATTATTATTAGAATTAGTTAAGTTTTAGGATATGGATTTATATTCTATAAACTACTTGCATTTTGGTGCACCAAAACAATGGTATTCGATATGTCAAAAAGATGCCTCACGATTTGAAGATATTATGAGGAGTAATTATTCATTTATCATTTAACTACTCAACTAATGTGTTGTATAAAGGGATTTTTCCAAACGATTATAAAACATGCTCTCAATTCTTGAGACATAAAACATTCAGCGTATCACCTTCAGTTCTAGCACAAAATAATATTGATGTCAACCGTCTTGTACAGCATCAGGGTGAATTTGTAATAACATTTCCATACGGATATCATTCTGGATATAATCTTGGTTATAACTGTGCTGAAAGTGTAAATTTTGCTTCTTATAATTGGCTTGAAATTGGAAGGAATGCTAAAAGGTGCAAATGTATCCCAGATTCCGTTCATATTAATGTGGATGATGCAATAAGACGTATATCTACTAATATTGGTAATAAAAATTTAAGTCATTTAATTTGCTTAATTCATTAGAAGAAAAAAATAAAGAATCAAAAAAACGTAAAGTTGATAAAAAGGAATTTTCTGGATTAAAAGGATTGAAAAAGCCAAAATTATTACATCAGAAAAAAGCGGATTGTGTATGCTTTTCTATATTTGTTATCTTTCTTTTTCATAATATTTAGTGTGTTCTTTGTCCTAACGAATCTATTGGAGAACCATTAATAGTAACAAATTGTGGAGGCTTATCTCATAGGATTTGTGCATTATATATTCCTGAGACATATGTCGTATCAGATACTGCATTATCAAAAGATGTTGTTCATGGAATAGATATGATAGAAAAGGCACGATTTAAATTGGTAAGTTTATTTTTGATTAAATTTTGTTTTAATTTTATCCAGAGATGTTTGTACTGTCGTTCTATTAAAGGTGCTTGTTTTCAATGCTCTTATCCAAAATGTTTTCGATCTTATCATGCAACATGTGCTGCATCTGCTGGTGTTTTGGTAGAATCATTTCAATTGGGTTTAAATCAACAATTTTTTTTTAGTTGTAAATTTCATCGTCCAAAACGACCTAGACCTGAAAAGCTTGAAGATGATCCTCATATTCATAAATTTGCCACTGAAGTTACAATTGGTGATGTTATCCAAGCACAATATACTAAAGGTGATATTTTTTCTGGAATAGTAAGAGAAAACCGTATAGACGAAAATATAGTTTTAATTGAGATATCATCTCGGTATTATCATGAATATTTATTTTGAATTTTTAATATTTTTAGTGATTTATATGAGGTTGAATATAAATGGATTTTAGCACCACCTCTTAGAACTTTTCCTCCATGTGAATTTCTTACATCTAATAATGATTTTATCAAAATTAATGGTGCACGATTAAATAAGGAGAATATCATGCCTATAAATATTTCCCCTCAAGAAAAGAATGGCGATGATTTCTTTAAAAATGCTTCTATTCAAGAAAATGATGAAAAATTGTCTACGAATATTTATACTCAAAATAATAATGATTTATTGATTACTTCATCTCATTTAACGACTTCTGTTAATCTGGATTCTGATGCTCTTACTTTAAAATGATATCCTTTGATGTTTCAGTATATTAAAAGAAAATTATATTCTAAAAATTAATACAAATAGAGATTAATAAAGATGCTTAGTAAATTCTATAGGATACAATTTAGGTATCAAGTTTTTTTGCCTAAAACATTGATTTTTAGATTACATATCATTACATATATCAGACATTTATTATTTTTGTATATCCTTGTTAACATTAAAAATTATTCAATATTAATAACTAATAAGATATCTTTAAAATTGTTTCTTTTAAATCATTTCTTAGTTTTATTGGCTTTTCAATTATTAAAATAAGGACATTAAATATTTTAAATAAAAGGTTTAAAAAAGAAACAATTTTATTATTCTTTCTAAGCCCAAAAAAAAAAAATATGATACACAATATTACTTGGAAAACATTTTAATAAATGCTTCTGTACTAAATGATTTAGGACGTTCAATTGGAAGACCCAATGCACGATCCCAAATGAGCTATGAATAAATATTAGTAAAGCGAAAAAAGATTCCATGTTATACCTGGGAAAGTATACCTAATGCACGAGAAACACCTAAAAAATATTGAGAAATAAAAAAAAGAATGAGATAAAAATATACCAAAAAGTACTGTATAAAACTGTTGTTCTACCAAGCCGTAATATCGTAACAAAATTCCAGAATGTGCATCAACATTAGGATATGGGTTTTTTGTTTTTCCATGCTTGAGCAAAACTTTTGGAGCAACTTCATACACTAATGATACAAGCTTAAACATAGGGTCGTCTATATATTGATTAGATAAAAAGTAGTAATACATATATATGTATGTATATATACCTGGTAAATGTTTAAGAGCAAATTCACGCTGAGCTGTATATCGAGGATCTGTCTTTCTTAAAACAGCATGGCCTAAAAATATATAAGAAAGAAAAGAGTGTATATAAACGACATGTACCATATCCGGGAATGACTTTCCCTGCATTAAGAGTAGACCAAAGATATTCTTCGATATTTTCTTTTGTGACATTGTCTCCAATTTCATTTTTCATAGCCAAAATCCAATTTAAAACTTCTTGATTAGCAAGGCCATGAAGAGGTCCAGCAAGACCGTTTAGTCCTGAACTAAGCGAAAGCATAGGAGAACTTAAAGCACTTGCTACTAGATGGGACGTATGGGCACTGACATTTCCACCTTCATGATCCGAATGAATGGTAAGATAAAGTCGAAGAAGTTCATTGAATTCTTCCTTGTCGGAATATCCAAGGATATTGGATAAATTCCAACTGTAATCTTTGTCTTTATCAATAGAAGCAACTCTTCCATCCTTGTATAGATTTCTATAAATTTTTCCAGCAATTACAGGGAGTTTTGCAATAATATCCATAGAATCCTTGATATAAATTCAAATCTAGACAATGAAAAGAGTTAACCTACATCGAAATAATGTAACCAGTAATCCTTTTTATTGATTCCTTTTGCATATGCTGCGCTAAAAGAAGATCCCTGCTCGAGCGCTGTAACAGCTAAAATATGTAAAAAAAAATATCACATCTTAAAGGTAATGAAAAAAACCTAAGGAAAATTGGGCCATTGGATGTAAGTCAGGTGGACAATGATCAATTAATTTTTCAAGAAATTCTGGAATATCTGAACGTGCTGCCCATTCTTCTGAAACCTCTTTTACTTGCTCATTTGTAGGTATTTCGCCCGTTAATAATAACCAGAAAAGACCTTAGATATGGCCATAAATAAGGTTGTTCCTTTCTTCATTTAAACGTACCTTCCGGCAATGGCTGAGTTCCTTGAGGTGCTTTTGGAAGTTTTTCCTGGCATTCTGGAATAGTTAATCCACGGAAACGTATACCTTCTTCCGAATCCAAAACTGATCCTTCCCATACAAGACACTATATATTTGGCTTCAATATGATTTTTTTTTTGGAATAAATAGATGAACCTTGATTCCACGCATTCCTCCGTATGCCTGATCTAGTATTACTTCACCAAGCGACTTCTTACCATGTTCTGATCGTAATTTTTTCACTTTTTCTTGCTCTTCCGGTATACGCTCTAAAAGTCTTGATTTTAATGACTAAAAAATGTAAATCTACATCTGAAAAAAAGAAATAATATTCTCGTTGGGATTTACAGTTCCAAAACAACGATAATTTAGCAAAGTTGACCCAAAAATCTACTATATAAGACCTTTTTTATAACGAAATTTGTTATTTACCGGTCTTGCATAATGTTTCAAAAGAATTCCTCTCATACTCTTTTTTACAATCAATCTTTACGTCGTTTAATCTTTTTTTTATGATAAATATCCCTTAAAACTGATTTTTATCCACTATAATCAAATATACGTCCTCAAATTATGAATATATCCCCAGATATACACTTCTATCTACGTAATTCCCCTATATCTCCCTTTTTTAAGCAAATATGACTAATTAACCGCCAATCAAGCAAAAACAAGCAATCTGCCCCAAAAATTACCCTAAAAACTCGGGAAAAAAAAGGCCAAAAACCTCTTCTCCAGAATATTCTCTTTAATATCCCGTTTTTCCTGCGTAATACTGCTTTATTCCCCAAAAAATAACTGCTTTTCTTCTCTCTAGAGAATTATAGGTTTTTAGTAGGTTGGAGCAATCGATTGGACGATCCCTCGGGGTATTTATAATAATCACGCATATTATTTGAAACAAATATTTATTACTCTTTTAAGTAATAAACTTTCATTTTTGTCCCAAAAAGGAATTATTCTTGTAAAAGGTTTGAAATTTATCCTTAAATGCTGTTATTTAACGCATATAATCAGGGTTTGTCATAGATATATATGCATATAGTCTTTTATTTAAAGCATATAGCCCGCTACTAGAGGATTATTGATCATTTTAATTAGCATATAGCCGAGTATTTTATAGATTTACTGTATTTTTTTCTATAAATGAGTCAAAAATTGCAAACCATTGAAGCTCTTATATGTACAGAAGCATTATGAAAGATAAATTGTTAATATATAAATATTAGGCAGAGCTACAGATGAGCATTTATCTCAGGAAAACTGGGAGTATATTCTAGATGTATGTGATTGCTTGAATCAAGGAGGGGATATGTATGCGATGTTTATAGGGAGCGAAAAAAAAGATTAAAATGATATAGAAAGATGGCTATATTTGTTCTTCAGAAGCGTTTTTCATGTGGAAATGAGAATATTCAGTTGTATTGTTTAAGCGTATGAAAAAAGGCTTTATATATGCGTAGGTTTATGAAATATAGCTACTGGAAGCGCTTGTAAAAAATTGTGGGATATCAGTGCAACGGGAAGTTGCATCACAAGTGTTTATAGAAATGTTTCTTAAGTATCTTGAGGATATTGTATGTTAATGATGTATTTTTTTTTGTTAAATGTAGTAGAATGCACATTTTATGGTTAAGGAGCGAATATTGCTGTTAATCCAGCAATGGGCAGTTGATTTTTCATCTAATCCACTTTTTGAATATGTAAGAAAGGTTTATCAACAGTTTAAATTTGAATATAAATATATTCAAAAGGGTAAATGAATTTTATATAATATTTAATATAGAAATAAGATGTTTTTAATAGAAGAAAAGAAGGATGATCAAAAGGAGAGAGAGGAGAAAGAGCTTCAATTAGCTTTGGCGCTTTCTTTGGGAAAAAATGAGGAAAATCGATATAATTATGAGAAAAAGGCGAAATATAATGAATATAGTCCATTAACACCTAAACAGGATTATTCTACAGGGTCTACTTCTAAAGTAAGGGCATTGTATGATTTTCATGCTTCTGAAGCGAATGAATTGTCATTTCAAAGAGGAGATATTATTACTGTTTTAGAAGTAGTACATAAAGATTGGTGGTATGGGTTTTTGAATGGGAAAATGGGCATTTTTCCTAACAATTATGTTGAAAAACTTCAGGAGCCTACGCCTAATGAACTTAGAAAGGAAATTGAAAATGAAATAAAGGTTTTATCTTATGAAGAGAATATCGAAAAATTATTGGAAATATTGAGTAATGTTGGTTTAACCGATAGTAATAATATTATAGAAAGTGAAAAATTTCAGGTGATTTTAAAAACTTGTTTTTCTATTCTTATGTTATTTTAGAATCTTTATCATTCAACTTTAACGATTCGTTCGAATCTTGTAAAGCTTATCAAGAAATATGCTCAGAAAAAAGGTTTTCAAATGATTTTTCAAATTCATTATTTAAATTTAGTAGACGATATTATATCTCTTAATGAAAGATATGTTAACGCTATGAAAGATTATGAAGTTCTTATGGAAAAATCGATGTCGCATTTTAGTTATACGTCTTCACATAATCCATCTTCTCAGCAATACCATGATAAAAAACATGATGATTTTCAAAAATATCCTGTCCAATTGAATTATCCTTATCAAGATGAAGGCATAAATCGTTCAACAGAGTCTTATTATTCTGTTCGTCGTGATAATACATACTAGACATTTTTTTCCAGATATAAAAAGATATTTTCAGAAATAATATATACATATACGTTTATATGAATGCCAGTTTTACGCTTTATAAAAATAGTATATCTAAAAAATATACTATTTTTTTACTTATCGTCTTTTGGACTTTTTATTAAAATATATTTAAAATGATTTTTAAAAAGTCTTTGGATTCTAACATTTTTAGATATTTCTAATCATCACTTAGGATTCCTGAAATGTGTTTTTTTTTCTATAAATTTAAATAAACTGGTTTTTCAAATTTCTAATTTACATTATTAATGATCAATAAAGAAATTCAGATTATAGACGAGTTTATCACTTTATTCCAGTGAAAAATGGATGAACAAATACTTTATTAGATTAAAATTAATCAAAATGATTTTATAAATTTCTTAGGTCGATCGTTATTTTTCTTTATGGCTCAAGCTAAACCTATAGAATTAATTTTTTTAGGAACAGGTTATTATTTTTTTAAAATTTATATTTCAATCTATATAATTTAGGTGCATCTGGCTCAGTTCCATCTATTCATTGTTTAACAGAGAATCCTCCAACCTGTTCTGTCTGTATTGATGCAACTTATATTAATTCCAAAAATCGTCGACGAAATACAAGTGCAGCAATTCTTATTAAAGATTGTGATGATAATCTTAAAACTCTTATTATTGACTGTGGGAAAACCTTTTATGGTTTGATCTATGATGAAAAAAAGTTCTTTGTAATATTTGATAGAAACAGCACTTCAATTTTTTCCCCGTTATTCTTTAAGGAAAATTGATGCACTATTGATTACGCATGTAAGTTTTTCTTTTAATACAATCTCTTACTAATTTATAAGGCACATGCAGAGTATTTTTTATTTTAAAAAAATATAAAATAATTAATGAAAATAGTGCTATTAATGGTTTGGATGATTTAAGACGTTAGTTTAAATAATATAAATGTTTAGAAATTGTATTTATGTTTTAGAGTGGACATTGAAAGGGTTAATTCAGGATTATGTTGATATCTATCTTACTTCAGAAACGATGGACGTTATATCTACTACGTATAGTATTATTTAAGTTTATATTATTACTAATATTTACAGATTTCCATATTGCGTATATCCAGAAAAAGCAACAGGTGGAGGAGATGTTCCTTCTTTTCGTTTTCACATTATAGACTCTATTCATCCATTTATTGTTGAGTCTTGTGGAAATATAACTGTATATCCACTTAAAATTCAACATGGTTTCTTTCAAAATGAACAAGGGAATAAACTTCCATTTTATATCTTAGGATACCGTATAAACAATTTATCTTATATTTCTGATGTAAGTCTTATTCCGGATGAAACTGTCGATATTATTAAAGGTTGTGAGTTTTTAGTCCTGGTATTTGAATACTTTTTTCTATCATTTTATTGCATTATAATAATTATTAATTAGGATGCATTAAAAGAACACCCTCATTTATCTCATTTTTCTATTCCACAAGTAATTTTAACTTTTCTTTGTTTTTAAATTAAAATCAATAATTAGGCTTTGGATTTTGTATCTCATTTAGGTCTAAATTTACCCAAAAAAGTCTTTTTTATTGGGTTTGACCATTCAATTGCACATGATGATTTAGAAAAACGACTTAATAAAGAAGTTCAGTATGGTGTCCTTAAAAATACCTGTATTCTTCCTGCATATGATGGTATGAGAATTTCTTTGATTGATTAAAGGTATCTTTTTAAAAAATTATTTAATCTATTTTTAATTGCTGGTGAGCTTTAAAAATTATTTTTTACTTAAAATTTCATTTAAATAATTTATCTTTAAATATTTCTTATCAATTATCTGATAAGATTTAAAGGACTTCAAAAAAATTAAAAAAATATGAATTTTCCAATTAAACTTCTTTTTCCGACAGCAAAAGAGAGTTATGTTAGCCAAAGCGATGCAAACTTTTCTTCTCCTCTTTATATTAGGGTTCCATATGTTTCTATGCTTATATCTATTGTACTTGGAAGAGAACGGCTAAGATGGACACCTGAAGGATTGAACTTAAATAAAAAAAAGGAAAAGTCGGTGCTTATTTTATGTGGATATACAAAAGAAACTTTTTTAAAAGAAATTCTACATGTTCAAGATATACGATATTTTTCTGATGATAATTCTGAAACATCTATTTGGTCAGATGATTTTTTTTGGGCAATGGATGCAACAGGTGCATGGATATCTGCATCAGAGTATATCGATTTAATTTATGTTCCATCACTTCGAGGTCTTCGTGCTATTTTATCAGTATATCATTATTCTTCGTTAAATAGGCTTGCTATATGGCCATTTCTAAAGATTCATGAAGCATCAGGAGAATTTTCAGCACAAGGTCTTTCTAGAACAATAGCATTGGCTATTGACGTTTGTAGAAATGAAAATATAATTTTATGCGATTCTATTTCTATAAAATCGCCGATTCAACTTCTTACTAGCAGTACAAAAGTATCTGGGATCTCTGTTTGTTCAGCAATTAGGCAAATTACTGTTGAAACTGTTATGGAGAGATGGATTAGTGCTTTCTGGGAAATTGTTAGTCTAAATGAACAAGGAATTGGTCATGGCATTTGGAAATATCGTGGAGAGTATTGGAAAGTATGTTGGAAAGATTCAGGAAATGGAAAAATTAGTGATATTGAATGTACACAACTTGATTAATTAAAAGACATAGCAAAAAATAAGAATGTTGTATAACCGATATTTAAAATTATAAATATTTATGAAGTGGTTGCTATTTCCATACATCGATTCATTTCATCCATATAGAGTTCAACATGACTTTTAAGTTTCGAATATTCATTTTGAATAGCTAATACTTCCGATTCAATATGAGAACGCAATTCTGATATTTTTTTCTCGGTAGATTCAATTATCGTTCTTTTTCTATCCATTTCATGTGCTCTTTCTGCTCGTTCGACTGTTATAATATTATATTCTTTTCGTATTTCGGCCATTTTTTTCTGAGCAGTTTCACGTTTTGCTTCAGCAGAACGTTGAATTCTAGCAAGTTTATCTTCTGCATTTGCTAATTGTCGGTTTAATTGCTATGTTAATATTAGACTGATAAACATACAATATTTCATAATAAATACCTGGTCTTTAACTTCTACTTCACGCACTTCTAATTCTTTTTGGTCTACCATTTCTTGATGTTTAGCAACTTTACGAGATGCTTCTTCTACTTTAGCGATTTCAATCTCACATTCTTCCATTAATTTTATACAATTCAATATATCCTATAGAAATAAGAATTAACTCGAATAATATACAAGAATAACTTGTTCAACAGTTCCAATTGCATCAATCTTATTTTGAAGCTCTCTTGATTTTTTTTCTAATGATGCTATAGAACTTTTTTCTGATGCTAATGACGATCCCATATCTGAAATAAGTTGTTTTAATTTCTCTGGAGAATGTACAATTCTTGAGCGAAGTTTCATACATTCTTGCTTTGTATTAACTGTAATAAATTGATTATTTGACTTATAATCATTAGATTTTAATAACAAATAGATTTATAATACCAGGCGTTCTGCAATTTCCGCCTTTTCTCTTTTCAAAACATCAATTTCATTTGTTAAAGCTGTTTGTATCTTTTTTAATTCTCGAAGGTCATTCGTAAGTGCAACATTGATTTCTTTTGATTTCTTGATCAATGATACTTCATCTGCTTGTTTCATTTTTAAATTTTTAAGCTTTTCTGATAAATCTTGGTTCTGAAAAACAAGATCTTGATGTCTAGAAACATACGACTCCTATAAAACATTTGATATTACTCTCTTATAACACTTTTCATACTTACTGCTTTCTGTGCATGTGTTTCAAAAACTGGCATTCGTTCTTCTCTAAATTTTGCAAAGTTAATCACTGCTGAAAGTATCTTTTTAACACGTCCTGCTTCCGGTTTTATCAAATCACGAATAGAAAAGTCATCAATCCCCACTTCTGTCATTAATCTTATTCTATTCATCATCAACAATAATTAACAAAACGTCTCAAAAATAACAATTTCTGGTGAAATATAATAATTCCAAGCGATTCCACATAGATTCCCTTGGTCAATTAACTTTTTTTAATTTTCATCTTGATATCTATACCGAGTATTCTAGTTCATCATGGCATGCGCGAACAAAATTATCATAATTCTCCCATGTAATACCCATAAGTATATCAGAAAAGGCTTCATATACAAGTTTCATTCGCTGATATGTAGGTTTACTTAGATCTTCCTCTGAAAATGGTATTCCTAATTCTTATAAAATTAATTTACTCATTTTTCATCATTTTTTAACGGGAAAAAAAGGAACCTGTCATGCATTGTAGTATTTCCTGAGGTTTTAAGGTAGGAAATATGTAATTGCTCATCATTTTGGCTGGTTTTTTATGATTTTTTTTTAGATTATTTTCTTTCTAAATATATGTTTGTTTACTCGTTGTCATAGCGACGATAATAAAATGGTTGCTATGGAAATCATTCTGGTTTCCATGGTAACCGTTCAAAAAAACTATAAATACGGGCGTTCGCCCCCAGAAAAATCAAATATTTTTCATTCCAAGGAAACCCCTTAATACGTGTATTTGTGTATTTTGGGGGGTATTTTGGGGGTATTTTCGGTATATTTTGAGAGTGAATCTTGGATAATTGAATAATTTCTTGGTCTTTGAGAGATTATAATTGGATAATTGGATAATACTTTTGGTAAAGAGTATTTGATGGAAAAAGTGTGTGAAAAGTTGGTTATTTGATAGATTTATGACTGGAATTGAAAAGGGTTAGTTTTTTTTATCAAGATTCCGGAAAAAACGAAGAAAAAAGAGGAATTTTTGATAGATTTACGATATAAAGAAGAATAGAGGAGATGTCACAAGTAGAAGTTATTAGTAATGGAGATAATAAAGAGGAAATGGTTTCTCTTGGAATAGGAGGATTTCCTGAAAAAATAGCAGAGTTGAGTCGTGAAAATGAGATCAATTATGGAGAAAATGTGGGAATTTTAAAGAATAATTAATAGGGAATGATTAAGATTGAGTAGTTTTCCAAGGGAGTTTATTGTAGTAATTGTGGTGTATCATATACTCCGTTATGGAGACGAACGTCTAAAGGACAATATGTTTGTAATGCATGTGGTCTTTATTCAAGGGTGAGGAATATGTCTAGACCGATTCGTTTGAAAAGAGTGATGGTTTCGTCGGTAACTCATCGTATGCGAAGAAAAGCCACGATTTTATTAAAAGTGAATGGTGAAACATGTTCGACCAATGCTCAATGTAATGTTGCGAGTAGTGCACAAGAATGTGATGGATGTTCAGCGTTTAATCATGGTGTTTCCAGAACGACCGGATTCGTTTCGGCTTTAGAAAATAATAAAGCACAAGAATCAGATAGTAATTTTAATTTATCAATGGATAATTATGGTATTCATACAGTTACATGTCAGAATTGTGGAACAACTACGACTCCTTTATGGAGAAGAGATGATTCCGGAAATACTATTTGTAACGCATGTGGTAAGTGTTTATCTATGAAAAATTATTTATTTTTCATTGATTGATTGATTGATTGATTGATTGTTTTAGGACTTTATTATAAACTTCATTCTGTTCATAGGCCTATAAGTATGAAAAAGAATTCAATAAGAAGACGAAAAAGAATTCATGTTCAAAATATACATGATGTCGTTGATAGTAATATCGAAAATGCTACATCATCACTTTTAAAACTAAGTAACAGGTCACTTGCATCCTTTCCTCATGTTTCTCCAGATGTAGCAGGATCTTTGTTGAAAACAACTTTAGACAAAATTGCAAAAGATGATGATATAGTTAAATTAAACGAGCAAAATTTTCAAGTTGATTCTTTTGATTCTGCATTATATCTAAAAAATCCAATAATTTCTAATGATAATCATAAAGATAATAGTATGCTTTCGAATGAACCTATAAATCATCTAGAAGCAAAATGTCATGATGATCAATATCTGTCTCTTTTTAATTCCGAATATTCAAAAACATTAGATCCTTTATTGTCATCTCAAACATCTCCTAAATCTAATAAAAATGCATGTAGAGTAGCCGGTATACATTCTATGCTTAATTCTTCTTCTAACAACTCTGGTAATCTCTCGTTTAAACTTCATACGAATAATGCATCTATAATAGAATTGTTAACTTTACAACACCCGTCTGATGTAGAGATTTTGATTGTTCCTGAAAATATTGAAAAAGATGCATCATTGTATAAAAAATATATAGAAGATATTAAGGAGGATGTTAAAATTCATGCAGAAAGATTAAAATTAATGTTTTCAAATGCACAGAGAATTATAGAGGAATGTGATAAAAAATTATCTTCCAAATAGGAAAAATAGGTATTTTGAAGGACTTGTATTTTATATAAAATCTTACCAAATATGACTGAACATATCATTTTAAATTAATGTTTATGTAATAGCTGTAGATAGTATATTTTGGTAGCTTTTAATGCTATTGTAGATCATTTCTATAATTCTAAAATTGTTTTAGATTTGATTTTTTTTCCAATTCTTTCAGCTGCTCTATATATAAAATGAGGTCCCATGATTTCAAATACCATTAAATGTTTTTCATTAATCTTTTCATATGAATCTTGCTTTGTATTGGTATGATTACGAGTCTGTTCTATTTCAATGCTAAATACTGAGTTTTCTTTTGGAATAACTACAATATTATAAATTATTTAATATTAATATAAATATACCTTTTTGTTGGTTTTTTTCTGTAATTAAAACAAATGTTTTCTTTGTTTCTTTAATACATATTCCTTCAATACCTACTCTTGAAGGACATTTTGATCTAATAACTTTCAATTTACTCCCATGCATATCTGCTTTTAACAGTTTTTGAGATATAATTGATGCTGAACTAGATCCAATAATTTCTTTGATATATTCCTTCCAGAGATTATGTAAAACTATCCAAATATTGTATCTATACCACTTTAATCATATGTTCTTGTATATTTTATGTATATATTATTACTTGCAAGCATTTTTTGAAATATTATAGATTCCTGTAGCCTTTTTTTCTCTAGAACTAAGAGGTTTGGGTTTTTTTTTACGGCCTTTATCATGTAACTTTGATAAATGATTAAGTCGTTTAAGATTTCTAGGATCATTGCCTTGTTCATTACTTTTATATATATCTGTTGGGTGTATTAATAAAGGTTTATTTTTGACTTTATTTATATATAAAGATTCTGCTATTTCATCTTGTAATCCTTTTTTTAATAAGTTTAATGTAATATCTTCTTCATATTCATGTTTTTCTGTTGATATCACTGAAAATGTGTGTTTTTGTGAGGAAATAGATTGATAAAGAGGATCCATTGTGATTGCTTCAATATTATGCCACAAATACCAAATATTTTACTTCTATGATGAAGAATGATCTAAGATCTGTATAAAAATATAGATTTTTGTGTAAAAATCTTTGTCTATAGAAAAAGATAGTTTGTATGAAATATCTTTACGCCTGATAAAATATATATTATATCCAGATATTCCGGTACTAAATGATTCTCTGATATTAATTGTATATAAATGTCTTTTTTCTGATGCTTTTTATGTATTTATATATAAAAAAAATGTTATTATTGGTATAAAAATTTGAAAAATAGCAGTTTAATCATTTTTAAGAATAATTTAAATGAAATCCTTAATAAACCTTGTAAATTTAATATTTATTAGTAGTAATAAGATGAGCTGTAATATTGTTTTTTATTATTTTTATTTATTTTTTACTTTTATACATATCTTATAATATAAGTCAAAAATCAATGTGTAGAAAAATGATAAATAAATTGGCAAATAAAATATAGTTTTAATACTAATTTAAATAAATCTATTTTTTTTTGAGTAAAATTACTCAGCTCCAAGATCTTTGAATGGTTTTATTTATTAACAAACGAATTATTTGGTAGTATAGTCTTAGAAATATTATATTAAGATTAATATTTTCTAAAACATGTAATTGTTACTAAATAATTGAGATCAAAAGATATCCTAAACAAATATTATCATACATGAATCAAGTTATACCAATGCTATGTTATCCGATTATTAACGTAATGTGTTGATGAATTTATTTCAAAATTCCTAGGTACTATTGAAAAATCATCTTCTTTTTCTATATAAGTTTTAATACATTTCTTATTTGGATTTAGAAAACAAGTTTTTCCATATCCTTGGTCGATACTTGAATCTGAAATATTATGTAAATCATTGGACTTTGAATATAATAACGGATTGGTTATGTTTGAGGATTTAGTGTGTGGAGCAGTTGTACCAAGAGATAATTCACAAGCTGTATTTTTTCGAAGAACTTTTTTAGATGCTTTTTTTTGAACACAATTTAAAGATAATGAATTTTTTAATGGTAATGGAGCAATGTCTTTATCATTGATATTAGTAAAAGCTGAAGTGTTTGTATCTGGTAAAATAAATGGTTCGTCATAAAAAGAATTAGTAAATGATGATGATGATGTGATCTCTGACTGATTAGAATTTCTAAAAAAAATAGATGACGTATTGTTTGTAGTTAATGTAGATGCAGAATTATTTTTTGCAAATTCATAAAATATTTGAGAAAAATTTTGTGTCATAAATTTCAAAAAAGGAATCAAAACAGGCACGTCATTCTTTAGTACAAGGCCCTCCGAGATTATTGACAATAAAACTTTCAAATTTTCTCCATGAGTTTTATTTAAAATACTATTTTATATAAGAATTAAGCATTTAATAAAATGTTAGCATACTGCAAAGTAAGATATATGACTAAATATAAAATCTTATAATTTCCTTGTGGCAAAACTAGTGTGATATCATGAATTCTAGATATCTTCTCATCAATAGAATTGGGTTCACCTATCATTATTAGAAAAATTATCAAAACAAAAAGATAGTAGTATACTGATTATGTTTAAGCATGATTTTATAAACTCTTGGGGCAAAATTGGTCCGATTTTTTTACTAACATGTGTCTTCATATAATGTTTAAAGGCTGCATAGCCGATCTTTAAAGGGGAGCCTAGAACGGCATAATTCTTTTCAGGATTTTTTGCTATTAATAAATAAGAATGATTGATATTATATTTTCATGTGATAATACCGATTTCATTTGAGAGTTCAATTGCGTTTTTAAGTTCTGAATTAGAATAAGTTAGTGTAGATATAGAATCAAAATCTTTTATAGATTAGATTAATCAATGGTAACTTTTTATAAATACCTTCTATAGAACAAAGTGTATAAACAAATGTCTCCGCGCCATGAATTATATGTCTATCTTTAATTATTTCCAAAGAACTATTATTTTTAATTTTTGATGCATGATTTTCATTATTTAGCCTTGTTGAATTGAATGGCAAAAACGATTTTTTTGCAAAAGTTTTGGATAGAGAGTTACTATGTGAAAGTGATGCTGCTAAATCCCTAGGCGGCTGTTGGTTATTTTCTAAAATCGAACTTGAATGATTATTAGAAGAGTTAAAATATGTGATTGGTGGAAAAAATGTTTTAGTTGAACTTGAGGTTAAATTTAATCTAATAAAACAAGACAAGAGAAACCTATATTTTGATATGAAAAATGTAACATTTTTAGGGGAATCCCAGGATTTTAAAAAATTATGAAATAAAATTGCTAAAAAATATTAAAAATTAAAGTATAATATAATAAAAATAATTAACCTTTTTGGAATATATTTTCTAAAAGCATATCTAGATATTGAAATTTTTGGGGAGATAACTTCCAAGAGAAAGGCGAGTAAAAATCTAGTCTAAACCCAGGTAAAAATACTTTTATTTTCATAAAGAAATATACCTATAGATTCCTGATGATTCTTCGATTAAAAACAATCCAGAAGTGTTTATTTTCGGATACTTTCTTTCAAAAGCATTCATTAAACCTTGCTGAGTATACTGAATCGCAATTTCTGACTTTATATTTGTTAGACAGCAATCTAATATAAAACATATATATATATATATTACTTTTTTACGTTCTTTTTTATATTCAGATGCTTCGAAAACATTAAATATAATGTTAACATTATTTTTTTCAATTTCTGCGATAAAGTTTTTTGATGTTTTATTTTTGGCTTTTGTTTTGCAGAACTTTTCAACAAATCCTATTACACAATGTTTTGATTCAGACATTATAGACATTTTGTGTTCAGAGAAGCTTCCCCATAGTTCTTTATCTGTAGAGGAATTAACAGGAGCTTGAACTGTTATCCACATATTTGTATCATCATTTTCATCAATGTCTATTTCAAGATCATCTAAATTAGCCCAGCCTTGAAACAATATATCTTTTCTGGAAACTGAAGTTGTAAATCCGAATGAGTTCTGTCTTGATCGAAATCTTTGAAATGATAAATCTTCTTCATTAGAAATAAGATCTTTCGCGACAGGAATATGTGATGTTTTTTTTAATATTGCTAGACAATCTGAAAACAATAATAAAGTATAAAATAATCTTCCTGATGAATTCAAAAAAGGCGGTAAAATTTCTATAACATCTACTGCAGTAATGAAATAGCGTGAATTTGATATAAGTTCTGCTGGAAATCCTGAAATATAACTCATTAATTTCTGAAATAATTTGGATCTTTTTTCTGCTTCCATCACTTTCATTTGTGCGATTTCTTTGATAATAGCTAAGGCCTTTTGAAAAGACGCTAATGCTGGACTCTTTGGATGTGTATATAAAATAATATCTAAAAATATAAACGCTCCTTTGCAAAAAAAAAATATTAATGGGAAACTAACTTTCCAGAAATAAAGAATAACGAGGAATTCGCTGTACAGGCTCCATTATAAGCTCTCGAACACTAATGTTTTTCTCTGCTTTATATTTCTGATTCTAAAACAATTTAAATAATCATATAAAATTAATGTATACTATTTCCTTACATCCACAAAATTCCTAAATTTAGGATTACGTAAATTATGCCTCAAAAGAGATTCAAAGTCTACGCTTAGTTCTAAATATTTGGCATATGTTTTTTTAAACCGAGAAAACTTTTAGAATTAGCTAGAATTACTTTATGTATGAATAAAAGTTATACATGAGTAACAAATGAATTTGCCTTGTCCATTTCCGTTTTCGCCTGTATGAAATCTTGAAGAAAGGCTGAATTTAATGATATAATATCATTAAGAGATACCGGAAATATCCTATTAATATCATATAATCCTAAAGGTGGATTTTTTGACGATTTGGCTTGAGTTTTAAGTGGTAAAACGTAATCAAGTACTAAATGACGCAGTCTGTTAATATAATTTTTCTCGGTTTGAAGGATTTCATCAAGGATACTTAAACGCTTCTTATCATATTCCTATATTCATTAGGATAGCAATAAAATAACAAAAAACCTATTGCCTTATAATTATCTATCATAGACCCTGGAACAATTTTCTTATTTTCAAACGGTAAATCCTCCGGTTTTTCCTCATCTCTTGTCATTCCTTGAAGCTTAGAAAATAATGGCGTAGCTTTAAAAAAACACGTTAGATAATAAACTTTTTTCATTCTAAAATCATTTCTCACCCTCCGGATTGTCCGGAAGAATAATATCTATATTAAAAGATACCATTTTTCGTCGTTGTAACATAGAACACAAAACTGACGATATATCTGAAAGCTTTAAAAGTTTACAATGTCCCGCAATGTCTCCCGCGTGCATTTCATCAAATGCAATCCTTCTTTCTTGATCTTCTTCATTCTTTAAATAATTATATTGTCTTAAAACTTCTTTTTTAATATGCAATGGTATAAAAGTAAAATATTGAAGAATAACCATTGCAATCACTTGGAATGACTGACTTCTTGATGCATGAGGAAGATGTGATATAACAACACTAAGTTCCTCCTGATTTTTAGGACTTATTAGAGGAAGTGAAAGCGGTCCACAACATGTAAAAACATGTGAATGAATCATATTAAATTTATCAACTGCCACTGAAACAACAACTAATCCAATCACCGGATCTTCTGCCACATAATGTATCTGGTCTGGGTCCATCATTAATCATCATTATTCGGTTCTTTTTGCACATACTTTTCCTAAAAAACGGATTCACTTCTATCATATCTTGATACGTCATATTTCTCCAAAAAATGGCCGTTTTTCCCCCGGAAAATTCGTACAATATGTTCTCCCTGTCCCTAATTAACGTTTTTTCATCGTTTTTGCCCGTTTCCTGCTGTTTTTCCCTCATTTTTTCCACTTTTTAAATTTCACCAAAATCAATTTTTCTCAAAAACTACCTATTAATTCCGTTCAAAAAATCACTATTTATATACTTATATTCCCCTCGATTTCTACGCTTAGTACCCGCTTTTTCCTGCTAATTCTCCCCTAAAATCGCCAATATTTATCTGCTGGTCCATTTGTTTGTCGTTGGAGTCCTGCTTGACACCTCCGACGTCGTATATTAATATATAGTAGGGACGAGGCCTGAAAATTGAAGGGGTTAAATAATGAATAAAACTTTATAAAAACAGAGGAAATATATAAAATATAGTGTTCTAAATAAGTGGTTGTTTTTGTCTCTTTTTTTCCGCTTGAAAATATGGAGAATTGGCCAAGAAATAATATTTTTGAGGAAAATATTGAATTGAGAGATATAAAAGAGGAGAATGAGGAATTATCAGATAGAATTATGCTCATGGAAGTCCCTGAAGACATCTGTGAGTTTTTGTCCGGTCAAAAAAGGGGATAGTAGGGCATATTTACGTCTAAAAGGAAAATATTTAATATATGTTCTTTTTTTGAGTAGTTTAACTCTTAAATCGAGCTATGATGGGAATAATACTGTACTCTGTACGTCATCTAAGACGTACCTTTTGCGTAATGTTACGCAGACTAATTCTTTGCTTCTTTTTCAGAGAGAAAATGAAGGATTTTCTCTATTAAAGGATGCAAAATCATATCTTGAGATTGTATCGATGCCGATCCGTATTGATCTTGAACATCTTTCGTATATCTATGATGGATACAATTTGGATGTTCCAGATGTGTTTTTTTTTTGAGATATAAGGAGATATATATTGATTTTATATAGAATACGCAAGTTTATACACTTTGCCAAGTCAAAAGAAGGACGCCAGCTAGTGATGAAGAGATTGAGAATGCTTTTATTTATTTTATGTGTTTATTTATTAATGGTATGGTGTTTAGAGTGTTAATTATGTGGATATTGAGATTGATTGATTTAATTGTTTTTAAGGGTATTTAAGACGGCTAAGTTTTGATTATGCATTTCATATACTTCAATTGATTTTGGCGTATGCACAAGAGGAAGATATTCCATTAGATTCTTTAAAATTTGATTCTCTTATGTCAAATATTGGTTCAGATGAACGGGAGGATGTTGTAAAGTTAGTTTTGCGTCGGTTTTCTAAAACAAAAACAGAACGTAGTTCTCATTTAGCCTCTTAAAAATATTAACGTTGTATAGCATATGCCATTGATGGTCATTCTATTGCTCAATGGATTGGTATTCATTTATTATCTAAACATAAGGTATAATTTTATTAATTGATGATTATTATGGGCTAAATATTAATAAGAGTACGCCTATTTCTTACAATGAATTCATTGAAAAGTGGAGGTCTACTATTCCAGAACCTTTTTCTGCTCTTACAGAGTTGTCATTATTAGAAGTATGTTTTAATTCATATTTTCATATCTTTCAGCAAATTATTATAATTAAAAGTGCTAATATTAACATTTTTAGGGCCAGTATCTTTTAATAGAGCCATCTATGATTCAATATTTTCCTGAAGATATATTACCTATGGATCCTGCTATGAGATTTCGAGAATTATTTCTTGTCAGGCCTAAATGGAATTTATCTGACATTCTGCCTTATATACGTGGGCTTGCAACAGATGAAACAAAAGTAGATTCACTACTTCGAAAGTTTACAAGAAAGCAGACTTTAAACCAACAGACAATTGTAATAGCAAGAAATACATGGAAATAATAACATATGTCTTGAAATTTTAGAATATATATACTAATTATGTTCCAAAGATCTATGTATAAAATTATTATTATTAAAAAATGTCTATAAATTTTGTTTAACATCTTGATTTGATAAATTACTAATTAATTTGTGTATTCCATCATATGTTCCAAGAAAAAGTGCACCTCCCATACTTATCCATGTAACTCTAAATGTAATTCCTTTGAATAATGCACGTATACCTTCTTCTTTAACTATACGAGTAGCACAGTTGATCCAACTAGGCTTCTATATATATATATAAGTAAAAATAAAAATATTTTTTATAAATTAATACTGTTTGACTAAGAATGGTTCTTGTTTTAATTACATCTAGTGGTGTCGTTAGTGCTGCTGCTATGCTACTAGCAATTGAACCGCTTATGGCTGATTGAAGTGTACTAGAAAGTGTTGTATCTCCTAAATATGAAAAAGATATATTTGATAATATTTTTATATTAGAAGTTTCTGTCATTTTTTGTTTAATAATCTCCCATAAAGGGAATTGAATAACTGCAAATGGTATATCTCTTATAATTGTACTTACAAATCCACAATATATCCCTCCATATCTTCGATCCTTCTTTCCAGGAAAAATATCTACAAAAGCTTCCCATGATGAACCATATTGACCTGCTTGTGTACGTTGTTTAATTACTTCACTTGGTACACGCACTATACAAGCTGCTAATTCACTTAAACATGCTGCAATTGAGCAACTTATAATCATAGAATTTTTATCCCATAAATTATTCATTTTTGATTCATTTTTGACCGATAATATATCCTTTTCACTATTCCATGTTTTATTTATTATCTTTTTATACTCTTCCTCTATTAAAATACTTCTTGTTGTTTCATAAATTGTAAAAAAAACAAGTGCTATTCCATAAATTAGTTTCAAATCCATTCATTTCAGATTCATAGTATATGGATTTCTCTTTAAATCCCATTTTCATATATTTTCTTTTTTTTACATACATGATGGTATACTCCCCATAATCATTCCTCCAACTCCACTATATATATTTCTTTTGATGCCTTGATTAAAAACCTTATATTTATTATTATTTGTATTATTTTTTTCTTCTTGAGTCCATGTTTTCATTGTATCCAAAGGAAATAGTATGATATCAACCATAAATCCAGCAATTATACTTGCCTTGAGATTTTTAATAAGAATTTATATCTTTTTATAGTGAATTATATAAGAAAAAGACTTACAAGTGCTGTTTCTAAGAATGGTTTCATGTTTTTTTAACTTTTCTTAAGATCTATATTATAAATTTTATCAGTTGATAAGATTAGATTAATAAATTTAGTAGAAAAACTAGTTAAAACTAGTAAAAATTAGTGAAATGTTAAATATATTATTAGAATGTTAATAAACCTTAATAATATTGTTAATAATATTGTTAATAATATCTATTTATTGTAAAATTTATGAAATTATCAGTTGATTTGCTTTTAAAGCCCTTCCAGCACTTGATTAAGTATAGATGGGGTTAGACAAAATTCATATTTTAAATAAAAAAGAACTATAATTGATTTGTTTTTTGATTTGTTAGGATTTGCTGTGTCAGGAGGATGTGATAGTATGGCACTTTGTTTATTATTTCAAAATATGGCAGATAGAGTATATACCTTTACAGTAGATCATCAATTACGACCTAAAAGCAGAGAAGAAGCTGAAGAAGTCCATAAGAAAATGATCCAGATGGGTATGGATATGATAGATATTTGAGTATGTTTAATTATCTTTTTTTTGTAGGATTTCAACATAAAATATTGACAATTGACTGGAAAAAAGATAAATATTTAAAAGGTTCATTAGAAGCTCTTCTACGTGACCAAAGATATACAGTTTTGACACAAGAATGTTTAAATCATGATATAGGTGTACTTTTTTTAGGTCATCATTTGAATGATCAAGTAGAAACAGTATTGATGAGACTCATAAGAAAGAGTGGATCAAGTGGATTAGCTTGTATGCAAAAGATTTCATTGAATCCTATGATAGGAAGAGTAAAAGATTCTGAAAAAATATTGATTTGCCGACCTTTTCTTGATATTCCTAAAATTGCTTTAAAAAGTATATGAAAATATCAAATGAATTGTTATAATTGTTTAAGGTGCATGTGAAAAATATGGGTTAATATTTTTTGAAGATCCAACAAACACTTTAGTAAATATATCAAAAAGAAATGCTATTCGAGTATTGCTTCAAAAGCCTGAGCAATTACCTAAAGCTTTAAGACCAGATAGTATGTTACATTTGGCAAGAGTTATGAGTTTGAAAAGGATGGAGATCGCTGAAAAAGTGAAACAATTATTAACCAGAACTCATATTACTTTTTCTGAGATGACTGGATCACTAAATACTACTTGTGATATGAATATTTATGATGAAAATATTGCAACATTGTCAAAATGGCTTGAACATCTTGTTTTTATTGTTTCACCTTTACCTAGACAAAGGATATCTGTTGTTAGACGAATAGTTGTTGATTTATTTGAGAAAAAACTTGTAAAAACAAAACAATATACGGTTGGTGGTGTTTTAATACACACAACGCATCATTCCCAAACACTTTTTATGCAATTGAGTCGTCAACCTTATGCAAAAAGTATGAAAGAACATTTTGTTGTATTTCTTCAATCATCCAGTCTTTCAAATCCTCAAAACACATGGATATTATGGGATGGACGTTGGTGGATTCGAATTCTCTCAAGAAATAATGAAATTATACAGTTCAAAGTAAGACCTTTAATGGAATCAGATATGAAACAATTGTATTCAATGATTTACACTGCCAATTCATGTAATAGAAAGATAATGTTAGATTCTTTGAAAACAATAAAAGAATGCGTCAGATTTGCTGTTCCACTTGTTGAAACTAAGACAAAAATTATTGGATTGCCAACATTGGGAATAATATTTGATTATACTTTTATTATTGAAACAAAATTTAAAATAGATATGTCAACACAACTTAATTGTATAAGGTAAAATTTACTACTAACATGTTTTGTTTAATGTATGATAACTATTATTTGAAATATGTTTCGTATATCTCTTGATTTAAAGGACGGTAATGCAAAATTATGCTTCCTTTTGATTTCCAAATACGAGTTTTTATGGTAATTAGGGTGGTCTTAATTGACAAAACCTTAATATGAATTAGTCTTTAAGAAGGAAAAATATGATTCCTACTTCTTTGTTGCATATTAATTGCAAATAATTTTCTGGGTTAGTATCCAAAAGTTCTATTTTATTAAAATGTTTTAAGATATAAGTTAAGATTTTTCCAACTCGCAACATTCCGGATGCTATACATTCTTTATTTTCATCATATATTTTTGGAAGGTGGGAATTTTGATACGGTTGAAGGATAAAATTGATTTTTTGTATCTCTCCGTTTGGAATTTTGTTCTAAATTGTATTAATTTAAAGCAATAAAATAAAATGTACTTACGAAAAGAAGCATATTTCCTAGCCATGCTGGTAAAACATTTTCTAAAATATCGACATGTTGAATAATACAAGCGATTTTTCCTTTATATACATTTATAGTATTCTTCGTAACAAACTCTTCTTTTGATATGATCAAAATAGTATTATGGGGAAGTTGAAGAATAGGTGCTTCATCAGAGCGTATTGGATAAATTTTTGTAGCAATGAGCATGTCTGGATGTGATAATCTAAAAGATCGATAATCATTATGAAGACTATTGATAATATCTGACACGAAATGATTAATATGAAGAACGTTCGTTTTCTGTGTTTCAGGGTCAAGTAATGGTTGAAAGTTCTTCGGGTCGGTAGATAATGTGTCTTTTTTTTCGATGTTTTGAACTTTATTATTTAATGCTAAAAGAAATAATGAAAATTTGTACTTACGATTGTCTTGTTCTTTCGAATCTTTTGGTATTGTTTTTAGTACTTTTTTTGTTCGAAAAAATCTTAAACGATCTATAAAAGTAAAACTACTTGTGTTATGATCATTTAGGTCAATTGAAGCAAAAAGAGATTCCTCTAATTTAGTCATATGGGTACTCGAATCCTGCTTATTAAAAAATCTATTTTCTTTGTTTAAAATATCAAGAGAAGATAATTTCCTATAAAACTTGTTAAGTTTATAAAAAAATAGGGTAAAGAAACTTTTCTATATTATTTTCATTATCATGTATTGAAGATACCTCTTTGGAGGAACAATGAGCCGAAATGGAATCAATGATATTAATATTTTCGTCTGATGATATTTTTTTAGATGTTTCTAGGTTATCAGGTATGGATTGAGAATCGTTTTGAATTAAGTCAGGAAAGTTATTTAAGGATAATAATGTTTCATTTACTTTTAAATCATCTAAAGGAATATCCATTATGGAATGTCGATATTGATTATCATTCTTTATTTGAGCCTCTATGAAATTATTAAATAAACAACGAAGCACCCATTTCCCTAAATTGACTAGAAGAATGAGTTTATTATCACTTCTATTTTTAGACTATACTTTTATGATCTTCATTGTATCCATAATCTTTGCAAATATCGATTTCATCAGCATATACTTCTGCATCAAAACATGAATTCTCATTTAGAGAAACAGTAAGTGCACCGATTCGTGTATCAACATAACACCAATTGGCAACGTAATTGAGGGTATTCAATTTTTTTTCCAATTCATTTATATCACATTTTCCATAATTTTTAACATGTGCACACTAGAAATAACATATAAGCTATATCCTTTTAATGATAAAAAAAGGCTACCGTAACAATGTTCCATAGGGATACTTCGCCTTGTGTATCAATGGTTAAGACGTGTATACGATTATTTAATAAAATATGTTTGATTAGTCCAATTTGGCTTTGAATAGTATATTGCGGTGATTTTCTCAATGGAACAATCTCTTTTTCACGTTCTAAAGGATCTTTATTATATACATAACAGTTGTTCAAAAAGTGAAATTCATTGGATATCGAATTTTCCTTATGATTTGATTCAAACATATTTGTATCATAAGATGATGCCAAGGATTCGGTAACTAAAGAGGACTCGGTAAACGTTTTTCCCGAAAATATAGGAATGTCTTGTGATTTTCTTGTATTAAAAGATTTTTGTATCGTAGAATCTAAAGGTGCATCGAGCTAAAAATAATAAAAATCCTTTATATTAAACCTTTATAAAAAAAATACCCAGCAATGAATATTAGGTGATGACGTAGATGTCCATATTAAAGAATCAATTGCTGCAATCCTGTTTATACCGCTTTGTTCACGACATATAATATACGAAACATTTTCTTCCCCTGATAATAGCATCGTTCGAGTCCTCATTAAATATCCCGATCGATCTCCTGAATAAAATGTATGCAACCTTGAGTCCTTTGAAAATAATGACCAAACACTACTTTCATGCATCGTAAACGTTTGTAAACACCGTCTTTCCTTTAAAGACCATGCTTTGATTGTTGTATCCGATGATCCTGATAAAATCTGCATTTATTCATCAATAATATTCCTACAATGCATTTCTAATCACCGTTTCTCCATCATCTGATACAAGTATAGTTCGAATCGCATCTTTATGATCTGTAAAACTTACTATAGACTGTCCCGATCGTTTGTCCCAAACATGAACCACTCCTCCCGAACATCCACTAGTAATTAATTCTTGTTTAGCACCTAAAGCATACACCCCTCCTTTAGATCCTTCTACGCTTGTATCAATATCTAAAACTTTCTCTTGACTATGTAAATCCCATATATTAATTTTTCGATCTAAACCCCCCGATGCAATCCATGTAGAACAATTCTTCGGTATAGCCAGGCATTTAACAAAGTCTTCATGTTTACCAATTGTAACCGCTTCTAACTCAAAATTATCCGTTTTCCACATTTTAATACTATGATCCGATGAACATGAAATAACTATCCAATTAGCTTGATTTTTCAATTTATAATCTTTACTAAATCTTGATAAATCTACCAATGCCAAATCATTCACCCAATGCATATGTGCCTGAACCTCTGAATGATATAATGGTCCTTTATCCTAGAGATATAAGATATCGTTTTTATTGATATTTCTTGTATAATTTATCCAACTTTAAAAATCCCCTTATTCCCCATATTATTCCCCGTATAATTCCCCGTATAATTCCCCGTATAATTCCCCGTATAATTGGTCCCCGATTTATCTAAAGCATGGATTGTATGCGCTTTTTTTCTTATTATATGCGCATCAAAATTTTCTTTTACGTCTTTCTCGTCCAAAATATCACTTAGGTCCTCTTTATATATCCCTTTTTTATCTCTTTCTTCTTCAAATCCTTTCTTCTCCCCGAAACAACGTTTAAGATTCCACGAAAAAATCATCCCATCTCGACCTGCCGTATAAAGACGTTCTCCGTTTTCAATATCATCAATCGTAACTACATTTAGTCCTAGCCGATGCCCTTTTTTCCCTCCATAAAGAGGTAGGACATACTGAATATTGTATTTGCTCATAGATTTGGGGATTTTTCGCTTTAAATAGTCTACCTCAGGATCATGTGTCGTGTTGCTATAGCAACTTAAATCTAAAAAAGATCTATATTGATTAATAAAATTTTGATAAAAAAATAGATAAATCATTATAATAAAACTGAAAAGGATTTATTTTGTATATTAATTTTATTTTTCTTTGTTTTTTTGTGTATTTTTTTATCATTTATTTTTTACTGTAAATTCGGAGCAGCTTCGTCCGAATCTCCATGGGGTTTTGAACCAAGAAAAAATACCATATTTTTCTTGATGGAATTTTGTTTGAATCCAGAAAAACCAAATAATACTATAAAAATATAAAGAAATATTGATTTAGAGGATTTATTTGGTGGTATTTTTGTGTATAAATGTTGTATAATTATTTTAATAATTAGATTATAAACTTATGTTTTATATAGATCAGTTGATTAGATTAAAGAGAAGGATCGTGGGATTTATTAAGTTAAAAGGTTTTTTATAGAGATTTAAGAGGAATATGTGAGTTTTAATCAGTAGAAAAGTCAATATAACGTGAAAAAAACGTGTAGACGTGTTATTAAACGTTTTTTTTTAAAAAATAAGAGGGAGATTTGTAATGGAAAAAGAAGAAGGATCATATGAGTTATTGTATGTTATATAATTATGTATTTTTATTTATTGTGATTAATGGGGGGTTTTGGTTATATTAGACGAGAAAATGCAACACCAGAATTAATGGATGAAAGTTCGAAAAAAGGATATATTAGAAAGAAAAGAGGGTCAATTGGTTGTTTTTCTTGTATGATTTAATCAATTATATTTATTAGAATTTTTAGATGAGCTTTCTGCGTATATCGATGATTCATATATAGAAAAATCGATGCAGGACAATTCATCAAAGCATACTAGTTCAGGGAATACGCCGATACCATATCCGGGGGTTTTAGATTCTAAATCATCATGTGGGAATATTTCATTATTTTCAGAGACAAGTGTTCATAATGAGCCACATAAATCATCTACAGTAGAAAATATATATAATGAGGAATATGATGAAATAGATGAGAATTTTGAGGATAGATATTATAATGAAAATGAACAGCATTATTCGCATGATTATGATGAGGAAGCATCGGATATTTTTGATCAAGGGAATTTCCAAGATTCGTTGCATAGTGCGTTAACAGGAGTATTTTCAGGAATTGCATCACGATTCAAGATTATTCTTAGTAGTTTGAAGCAAAAAGAGGATCCATCTGCTCAACTTATTGCACTTCAGGGATTATCAGAATTATTGATTGTATCTACAGAAGATACTCTTAATGGTTATTTTTCTGCGGATTTGTTTATAAAAGAGCTCGTTTCTATTATGAAGACAGGTGGTAATGGGTTTTCTGAGCAAAATCCAGAGATAATGCTTCTTGCATGTCGATGTCTAGCAAATTTGATGGAAGCGTTACCTTCTTCTATTCCTAATGTTGTTTATGGAGGAGCGATTTCTATATTATGTCAAAAGTTGTTGGAAATACAGTATATTGATCTTGCTGAGCAGGCACTTAGTGTATATTTTAATTTTTCTGTTTTGATTTTGTTCTGATATTTTTAGACTCTTGAAAAAATTTCAACTGAATACCCAACAGCTATTGTAAGAGATGGTGGTTTGACAGCATGTCTTACTTATTTTGATTTTTTTTCTACAAATGTGCAAAGAACTGCTATTGCTATTGCTGCAAATTGCTGTAGAAATATCCCTCTTGAATGTTTTGCTACAGCGCGTGATGTCATGTCTATGTTACAAAATATTATTGGAAATAATGATAGGAAAGTTATGGAGCGAGCATGTCTTTGCGTTACACGTATCGTAGAAAGTTTTCGACATCATCCTGATAAGCTTGAACAACTATTGTCAAACGATGTATTACAAATAATTATGTCCGTTTTGTCAAATGCATCTGCTAATGCTGTTTCTTTGTATACTCATACTCAATTTTTGCGAGTTTTAGGAATTGCTGCAAAAGCTTCGCCTAATTTATCTGTTGCTATACTTAAGCTCAAAGTCGTTGAAACCATCTATTATATTCTTATTGGAAGATTCCCTGTTGATGATGTTAATTGTACAGAAGGGGATATTACAGATACTTTATATATTCTTATTCATCGACCAAGAGAACATATTTACGAAATATTAAATCTAATGTCTGAACTCTTACCTAATCTTCCTAGAGATGGTATTATTGATTATTCTTAATTCTGTTTTGTGTTAAAGTGTAATAGATGAGATGTTTAGTGCATGTATTTCGGAAAATTCTCAATTGCAAATATCATCAAAATCTGCAAAACATAAAATGTTGGATGAACAACGTTTTCGGCTTTTAGAAGATTGTCAAGAAGAGATGAAGCATTTTTCTAAAATTATGATGCCTGTTCTCGTTGATATTTATCATAGTGCGATTAATATTAATGTTCGCAGAAGAGTTATGATTATACTTTTGAAAATTGTCGTTAATTTAAAGGAAAATGTTCTTTATGAGTCTGTAAAGGTAGTAATGTGTTCTGTTCTTTTTAATTGACTAACGCAAAATTAGCATTCTCGATTTTCTTTTTTTTTAGCAACAGTACTTTCTCAACATGAATATCCTTCCCTTGTTTTAGGAGCATTGCAATTATCTGAGCTTCTGTTGAAACGTCTTTCTAATGTATATCTTCAAATATTTGCACGAGAAGGCATAATACAATCAGTTCATGAAATTTCTAATTTTTCTCTTGAAGAGATTAATTTGGTTATATTTGTTATTATTTTTTTTTCTCTCTGATGATTTAGTAGAAGAATCTTAACTCCAATAAAGCATTTTCGTTTTATACTTCATCTGTTTCTAATAAAATACCTGCTTCGGATTTTCTTTTAGTTTTAGTAAAAAGAGCAAAATCATTTATTTCAATTTATGAGAAATGTGAAAATAAGTCGCTTGTATGTCAAGGGGCTTCAGATATTATGTTTAAGTTAACGTTTCTTGCTAAAAGGATCAAAAATCATATAAAAATTCGTAGTACTTATAGGAAATTATCCAGATATTTTGTTTCTAATGATTCTACCATCACAAGTTATGAAATTTTGAGCTCTGGGCTTCTAGCGTCTCTTCTTGATTCATTAACTGATCCTAATGGTGGATTTAATTATAACATTTTATAGTTAAAATACTTATTTTTTATAGTTGAAGTTAGACAGTCCTCTCGGAAAGCATTTCTTCGATCTTTTTTGATTAATACTCTTGATACGTCAGTGGTTTTGGGGAGTAATTCTTTTAATTCTCCGTTTTCCGTTTTAGTACAAAAACTTCATGAATCCCTTAGTCGTAATGAAGATCTTGAAGTAATAACTGTTCATGGAGGCTCTCATGAAGGCAATTATATCATTATTTATTGTTAAATAGTTATTAAAGGTTGTAGACTTTTATAGAAATCCTTCTGCTATGCTTGCTAAGCAATTGAAATTGAAGCTTATTGCTGAAGAAGGTTCTAATGTTCCACGAGCATATAAAACCTTTATTGTATCGATATATTCTGTTGCAACATTTAGAACTCTTGATGAATATTTACGTCCACGGCTAGCCTCATCTCAACGTCTTAGCATTTCAAGATCTAATAATTCTAAAACTTTAAGTACATCTTCAACATCTGCTGTTACACCTGGTAATGGATCGAATCAGTCGTCCTTAAATAAAGATAAAAGAATGCATAGAATTAAAGATCAATCATTTGTAATAGAAAAACGAAAACGTAGTACAAGAACAGATGTTCCAGAACAAATAAAGGCCGATTTACAGATACATAAGATTAAAAATTCCAAGACTGGTATATATGATGATGAAATGCTTGAGTATATTAATGATTTTCCTGGATCTGATTCTGCTGGTATGTCTCATCAGTTATTTGAGGTATTTTGTAACTAGTTTTTTTTTTTTTTTAACAATTATAGATTATAGATGTACCTGAAAGTAATGAAAAATCAGTTTATGTGGATAATGATATACAAACTGATACAGAATCCTCTAAAATTAGTAAAACAGATACGAAGATGAAGGGCAAGGAACACATAGAGGCTTCTTTGGAGAAGAATGAATCAAAACCTTCTACTTCTACTGATAAAAAGCATATGAGCTATTCTTTGGCTTTGCAAACGAAAGAAGATTGGTACATTAGATTTGAGATGAATGACGAAGCAATTGATCCTGATTCTACAATTTATTCTGCTATTCATCGATATAATATACAGAATGGTCGTGAATCTTCTGATATATGGTCTTTTATCTATCCAATTAAGTTTAGAAAAGTACCGAAGTCAGGAGATTATGAAAATTCTCGAGGTGAATTTTTATCTTTGTTATAATAATATTAAATGAATTTAGAAGAGTCTACAAAAACTACTGATATAAGATTTGAAACGCATGATTTTTCTTCATATAATGCTAATACTGTTTTAATACTTAAGCTTTTGCGTGTGCTATATCTTTTAAACATTAATATTCGAAACATTTTAGATTTCAATGCTTTTCCTAATGTTGTAAATATGTCTCTTCCTTCGAGTAGTTTTGTTAATCCAAAACTTACTGCAAAAATAAACCGTCAATTGGAAGAACCTTTAGTCGTTACTAGGTGTTTATTTTACTCTTATGATTATATTGATTTTAATTGTTATAGTTTGTGCTTCCCTTTATGGGTTCAAGAATTTCCTCGTTTATTTTTATTTTTATTTCCATTTGAAACTAGGTATCTTTTCCTACAATCAACGTCCTTTGGGTATTTGAGGTCAATTGCTAGATGGCAAAATATTAATGGAAAAGATGAATCTTATCAAAATTCAAGAGATGATTCTAGATTGTTTTTGGGGAGATTGCAACGTCAAAAAATTCGAATATCTCGTGATCATATTCTAGAATCTACTATAAAGATAATGGATCTTTATGGTTCTTCTTCATTTTTGTTAGAAATTGAGTATTTTGATGAAGTCGGTACTGGTTTAGGGCCTACTTTGGAATTTTATTCTACAGTATCCCATGAATTTATGAGAAAAAATCTTGGTCTTTGGAGGAATGTTGATGATTTCTCGGAAAATGAATTCGTATCTTCTCCTAATGGTCTTTTTCCTGCACCATTAAGCACTGATTCTACTTATTTAGATGAAAAAAGGTTATTTTTTGTTTTTGACTTTGAATGTAATTGACTTAACTTTTATAGGAAAAAATGTAATCTCTTTAAAGTTTTGGGAAAATTTATTGCAAGATCTATGCTGGATTCTAGAATTGTGGATATTTTAATTAATCCTATGTTTTTTCGAATTGCATTTGGAATGAATGAAGTTAAGTTATCTATAGAATCTATCGCAGAAATTGATAGGGATTTGGCAAATTCACTTTATTTTTTAATGCAGTTTGATACTGCGAAAAAAAAAATATTAAATAAAAATATTTGTGATAAGGAAATGGAGTTGCGTTTGAAAGATATTAGAGTACATGATGTATCTGTTGAGGATTTATCATTAAATTTTACACTTCCTGGGTTTCCAGATATTCATTTAGCAAATAATGGTTATGAGAAATTAGTAACTATTCATAACATCGATGAATATATTGATCTTATAATCGATTTTACAATTGGAAAGGGAGTAAAAGAACAGATAAATGCCTTTCGAGATGGTTTCTCTTCTGTGCTTCCTTATTCTTCTTTGTCTTTATTTACTCCAGAGGAGCTTTCAATTCTTTTTGGGCAAGATAAAGAAGATTGGTCAATTGAAAGTAATTGTTCAAATAATTTGTTAAAATTTACTAATTTTTTAAGCACTTCTTGATTCAATAAAAGCTGATCATGGATATAATATAGATAGTAGATCAATTCGAAATTTCCTTGATATATTAACTAACATGAATGATATGGAACGCCGTCAATTTTTGCAATTTATAACAGGAAGTCCAAAACTACCTATTGGAGGTTTGTAACAAAATTATTTATAAAAAAATAGTTTTAATAAGATTTAGGTTTTAAGAATTTAAATCCACCTCTTACTGTTGTCTGTAAATCGCATGAGCCACCTCTTACACCTAATGATTATCTTCCAAGTGTTATGGTTTGTGCCAATTATCTTAAATTGCCTGATTATACAACAAAAAAAATCATGAAAACAAAACTGTTTTTAGCAATCAAAGAAGGACAAGGTTCCTTTCATTTGTCATAATATTGGATTGTATAAAATTAGTAATATTTGTTTTTATTGTATTATTGATTTTTATTTAATAACATTTACAAAATCTTATACCTAAATATCTTTTTTGTTAGTAAAAATATTGTTTTTCAATTAATCAAAACATTTAACTTTAAAGTTATTTATTCTTAAATGAAATATTTGAATTTTAACTCAATTATTTTCCCTTAATCTGTTTTTAGCATTTATTATGAATATAATTGTTAACGTTTTAAATCATTTGATTCCTGTTTAGATATATTAATCCTCATTTCATAATATATTTATTATGATAAGTTTTTTTTTTTCTTTTTTTGTTATATAAGCTTCACTTAAAATAAAAGAATATATCTAAAGTTCTAATAACATGGTTTTGTCAGTCTTTCCTTGATATATTCCCTTCATTTCATTTATGTTTTGTTAATTTTATAAGATTTATCTTTATAAAAAAAAAATATATAGATTTCATTTAAAATCTTTTTTTTCCTATAACAATCAATTTCCAATGAAAATGCTTATGTTTCTCCTTGTTAATCCCCTTTTTTATTAATATATACTTCATCATTAGAAATTTTTCAACTCATTCTTGTTTCATATATCGTCTCCAAATTATAAATGATATTGATATAAAGCTTGTAATCACAAAAAATATCTAGAATATCTCAAATTCCATCATTTATCCTATAAAAAATTCTTGTTTACTTGTACAATCAAAAAATGTACTCTTTCAAGATTTTTAACCGGAAAACATGATACCCACGATGGAAGAGGTGGTAATTTAGATTGATCCTCTTGTGTTTCTTCATATTTACAATGTATATTCAGTCGATATCGGTGATCTTTGTCACATGGTGGTATCTTCCTCAAATTAAGTCATTTTTCGCCCGGAAAAAAACATACCGTCATATTTTCCGGGCATTGACTACATTCCCCTATTATAAAGCATCTAAATGGCGTTTTTTCCTCCAAAAAAATCCGATTTTCTATATCAAAAATATCTTCTTTTCTTGGAACAAAAGGAACCTTTATCTTGGGCTTTGTTCGGTGAAAAAAAACGAAAAAAAAGACAAATATAAAAACAATTCCAAATATTTTAATAAAAACACTTTTTTTTGACATATTTCTCCTCTTTTTTGGCCCTTTTTTGCCGATTTTATTTTTACCCTCTATTTGCTGACGTTATTCTCCTCATCGTAGAGCCATTTTTCAACGTCAAAAAAAATTAAAATGCTCATAACTCGCAATTCTTCTTGAAATATTGTCTAAAACTGCTTTGGATATGTTTCTACGGGTATTCTTTTATATATTCCTTTTTTTTTGCGGAAAAAATGGTGCATTGGAAGAGGAAAAACCTTTTTTTTATGAACATTTATTTATAAAGCCTATTTCTCCTAAAAACTTGCTGGCATCATTCAGATTTAACACGTCATCGGATTTTGAATGCTTTAATAAAGTGCCATACTCTTTTTCAGGGGATTTGGAGGGTTTTTTTCCGGGTTTTTCTCGGCTTCCCCGTTCATTAAGATATATTATGGAAGAAACACATACGTATGAGGTTCATTTACGTATGACTCGCGGTAAATGGTCGTACAAGAGGTGGGGAATGCAGCCTGATCGCGGGGAGTCAGCAGGAGGTACGGGTATTGAGCTTTGGGCATATATAGAAGGAGATACAGAAGAAAAGTGAAGAAAGGAATAAGATTGAGTAAGTATTAATGATTAAATAGAGTTTGGAAACGATGGAATCAATTAACGAATGGATTTTCTGGTATATTTTCATCATCAATTGGTTTTATGGATAGTACAAGGACGATAATACCTGTTTTAAGTTTTGGGAAGGAGAAAAGAAATGCAGAAAGATATGAATTGGGAGGGAGAGGTTATTTATTATATGGAGCATTACCTCAAGAAACTATATGTACAGAAAATTTGACGCCTTTTTTGAAATTATTGCCTTGTAAGGGCCGTGCTGGTATTTCAACATTATTAGATAGTCATAGAGTTTTTGATGCAGAATGGTATTCAATTTTTTTGGATGTTATACATTTTTGCGACAAAGATAAGAAAGGGATGTCAAGTCTTGTTCAAGGAGTTGATATGGTATTGAATATTGAACGTGCAAGTCGTAGAGATGGTAATAAATTGATTAATATGTTTTATATGTATTAATAGTAAAGAATTTTCTATTCCAAAGTCAAAACCTCTTAGTGAGATTTCATGTGATAAGACGAGGAATCATATAAAAGAAGATTTATGTTTTCCTTTAGATAATTCATCTAATATAGAATGGTCATTGTCAAAATTGTTTGGAAGACCAATACAAAGGTCATGTTCTTTAGATTTTGCACTTTCAGAAGTTGTTACTGTTGCTCATCCTTATGAAAGGGTAATTTCTCCTACACCTAGTACTATTTTAGTTGAAGAAAATGTCATTTTTTCAAAATATATGATATCTGGTATGTTTATTTTGATATTTTTTTTCTTTTTAATTATATAAAGAGCCATTCCTTGATATAACAATGGCATCACAGACATCTGATGTTCAATTCAATGCAACAAGTGCTCCACTTTTTGTAGAGCGTTTTCTAACACGAAAAAACCAGATCAATGTCATTATTTCAAATCCTCATTCAAAGGAATTTCAGATCATATATTTAGAAGTCTTTCCTTGGTTTATGAAACCATTTATTCATACTTTAAATGGACGTATTTTGTCATCTAATGTAAGATATCCTCTAAATTTTGAGGATATCTATTTCAGACCATCAATTGATAGGAAGCGTGGATCATATTTTGAATTGCGTATGCATATTCCTAGCAATTCAACTATTGAAATAGTATGGGAGTTCGAAAAAATGCTTTTGAGATATGCAGAATATCCACCTGATCCAAATAGAGGAGTCAGTATTGCGTAAGTATATTGTTTTATAATTTAAATTGTATTTATGAATTATTAAATAGGCCTTCTATTCTTACAGTTTTTAATGCAGGTGATGATATTAATAAAATCGATCCAATTGCTGTAATTCGAACAACTAGTCTTTTATTAACGCTTCTTACACCAGATTTTAGCATGCCTTATAATGTAATTGTTTTAACTAGTAGTATAATTGCGATGTTGTTTGGTAGCATGTTCAATTTGTTGACTCGAAGATTTGTTTCCCTTGAAGAAGCTAAGAAAATGAAAATAATGAGATTGAATGTCTTTGTATTTAACCTTAAAGCTATGCTTAAAAAGATGTTTTCATAAAGTAAAGAATCATTATGGCTAATTTTACGATAATTGTTATGAATCAAATACATTTTATGTAATACTATATTTACTGTTTAAATCATGTACTTAGTATTTATAAGTTATATGTAAAAATGTATCTATAAAAATATACTATGATCACCATTTTTTGTCCCATCTTGAAGCCATAGGTCGAGGATTTGATGAATGAGATGCGTTTATTTGGTTATGTTGACTTTGATGCTGAATAACTAACTGTTGTAGAATTTTTGAATTAGATGTAAGTTCTGGATTAGATAGAATACCCGGATTTGCGTTTAGTATAGACTGAAGAACAGCCATGTCTGCATTAGAAAGTGATAAATTATTTGGAAGAGTAAATCCCCCTAGAATTGGAATAGTAGGTAATGGTACTATTGGCGCTGGAATGCTAGTTCCTTGATGCATAAGTGGGGTATTATTCATTTTTTTCCATTCGTTAGTGTTTTGAGCATGATAAGGTATTTTATTGGCTGATGGTACAGTGTTGGATATTTTATTAACAACAAAAACACCAAGAATACATTTTTCCGTTCTTTTTTCATTTGAAATATGTATTTCGTCCATAAGTTGAATGAATTCTGGTAATTGATCTGTTGGAGAAAGAGGTATAAGGTAAGCATCTTTGACTGCTGATGTTGTAGGTTTTATGACGCCATAACGTTTTCGAGAATAAAAATAATTGTACAATTTTTCAAATGATGATAGTAATTCTTTACTTTGTGGCTTAAATGATATTACAATTAATTCTTTTGTTGAAGAACATTTTTGTTGACAAAGATATTCCGTTGATTTATCCATAGATATTCTCCCATCAATGACAATTTTATCCTGAAGAATCTCATTCCAAGGCCGTGTTGGAGAAATAGTTGCTCCCACTACTTGTGTGGCTATAGCATTAAATTCAGTAATAAATGCCATGGAAAGTTTTCCTGACCATATAGGTTGAGAAATATTTAACTCAAACGTATTATAAGATGGAGAATAAGGTGGAGTATTTGCATTGTCATTGTCATCGTCGATCATCCTATCAATATCTGAATCAAAATCTATTCTTGAAGTTTCTTGAGATTGAACGGCTGGGTAATTTTCAGATATATGAGTTGTTCTTTGAGATCCGATATTACTCCAAACATCTTGTATATTAAATGATTCTTTAGATGTTGTATCTTTTTTATCATTTTCAATTTTATTTTTTTCTATATTAGATTCATGAGTTTTAGAAATAGTTTTTGATTTTTTATGAATAGAATTATGTTTTTGAGATAATGCAGATGACTCTTCTGGATTTTTTGTCGGATCTATATGTGGTTTTAAGGAAAAAGGTTCAGATGTTTCAATCTTCTGTTGTATGGGAAATCCACTAATTTCTTGATTTTCTATAATTTCTTCTCCTTTGTGAGTCTTTCGAATTCTTGGTGCCTCCGATTGCTTTAAAACAGAATTTTTAGTACTTTGTGCTCTTACAGATTCTGCTAGCAATTGTATCTCTGAATTTGCCATTTCTTCACTAGTCATATGAACTAAGTCATTCGGCGTAATCTGTCCTGAAAGCACTCGTGCACGAAGCTGTGGATTCTTATCATCCTTAAGATTAAAATGAAGTGTACGAAATCTTTCTTTATATTTTGGTGTCAAAATATATTTTCCTTTTTCTTCAATAGAAAAGTCTTTAAACATGCTATACTCGATCATAAGTGCAAAACGTTCTCCTACTTCTTCTGGTGTTTCATTTGTGCCCAAAACATAGCTTCCATCTTTTACAAAATCTTTAATAGCTTCTACAAAAATATTCAAAAATGATTGAGAGACATGTTTCCTTGTAGCATCTTTTAATTCTTCTAGTTTTTGAACCGGCGCTTCTATAGGTACATGACTAAGACTTCGTCTTAACACTGGTGGATTCGTTTGCTTTGAATGCTTTAAAGTTGTACTTGTTTTGCGACCATGTAATGCCTTAATAAACGATTGATCATGTGAAAGGCGTGAAACTTTTGTCGGCGGTTCTTTCTAAGCTCATATTAGTCATTTAACGTCATATAATACATATAAATGTCTTCTAAAAATTTCATTCATACCTGATCTTCTTGTGAATTATAATCAGAATCCGATGTTGAAGGTGATGGTGTTTTTTGTTTAAAATCACTATTTTCTTCCTCAAACGATTCTTCCAAAGTCTTCTGATTCTCCTCTAATGTCTCCTCATTAATTGTTGTTGTTGTTTCATCTGATTTTTCACTTGTTTGTTTTTTTAATTGTCCTTTTGATAATACTGAACCTGTTAAGCAAAAATACTTCTTCAAAATTCAAAAACTACCTTTTTTCGACGCCTCCTTTGGATTCCCTTGGTTCTTTTTGGTCTGCGACGTCTTATTAGACCGATTATTAGCTTTTTTTTCCGCTGTTTTGATTTTTGACCCTGTTCCTTGAACATTCTCCCCTTGAAGTTGAGGATATAGATCCGGCTTACATCTCTCACACTAAATACAACTCGTAAGCATCCTCATTCCCTCTTTTTATTCAAAAAAACATACAAAATATGTCTCTGGAAGACTTTCTTCGTTTAAAAAACCCATACATAGAATATGCTGCCATGTAGTACACTCTTCACATTGAACCATAATAGCCCCATCATCTTTCACTGCTCTGCAGACGCAACGGACTTGTTCATGCATAGGAATCTCTGGATTTTCAAAAAATTTCGGCCGATGAAGACCTTTGTTTGAACGTTCTGATCTACGCAGATTCTGCACTATTAAACCATTAGATCTATTCCTATATCTCCTCCTAGATATACTGATATATATAGTACTCAATAACCCACTTTTTTAAGCCCCAAAAATACAGATATTATATCCTTTAATCTTTATCTTTAATATTCACTTTTAATACTATATTTCTATTATTATACTCCTTAATAAAGGTTTTATAGTGCTTACTTGTCTTATATAAGGATTTGATCCTCTTTAACCCTGTAATATGCCTCTTTTCTTTAGACTGAGTATGTCAAAAACGTTGATACGATTATACCTTATCTTGATCAACGTAACTGCTATTTAATACTTCATTTCAGCTTGTTTGCAGGTTTATTAAATAATGCGTGTTTAATAAGCCCTTATATGCGTCTTGTATGCGTCTTGTATGCGTATTGTATGCGTTTTATATGCGTTTTATATGCGTCCGATGCATCTTATCTGATACTCCGTATCTAAATATTTATAAGTGTTTAAACAAAATATATTAAAGAATATTAACTCATATAACTAAATAACATCTACATTCTAACTAGAAATGAACTGCTGGCATAATATATAAAGCTATCCATTCATTATCCCAGCCATCGTTTTGTCTACAGTTTTTTTTAAAAAATATGTTAATATACATCTAGAAACATGTATTATTCATGATTCTATTCTTATTTTTTTCTATATTATAAACTCTTTAAACTCTTAAATTCGATATTTAAAGGGTTTAATATAGACTTAAGAATTACGAGGTTAAATGGTAAAAATTGCCATATCTTTAATATTATCCAGTTATAGTTTTATGGTGAAAGTTAATATTATTGATTTTTAAAGGGAATATTTTTATTGATTTTTAACACGGTTGAACGCGTGGTTTTTATAATTTAAAGGATTCGAATAGTTGAAATTGTATTTATCAGTTGTTATTTAAACATTTGAATGAAAGAATCGAATTATTTTGGTAAGAAGGAGTTGCGGTTTGCACGTTTTTATAAGTCGAAAGCATCAGAACTTTTAATTGATGGTAAAAGAGATTAATTATTTGGTTTTTGTGAATTTGTTTAGCAGCTGTTCCAACATTAGCATTACAAATCGAAGAGCTTACACCAATTATTATTATTCCACGTAAAACATGTCTGGATACATTATCTAAACATTCAATGTGTTCTGTTTCATTAGAATCGAATCTTTGTTATCAAAATCAGTCATTACGAATACATAATACGGTGCTTACGGATTCAGGGTCATCACCATTTTTTAATCGTTTTTTTAATGTACAGCAAGATTTTTCAGAGCATGGTTATGTCTCATTTCCTTCATTGGATCTTTATTCTCAAGATAAACGTTCGTCATCCATATATAATTGATTTTTTTTTTCAAAAAGAGTTTTATCCAATGTTCAATGATGCTTTAAAACTGTCATATTAATGTTTTTTTTTCTTAATTTTCATTTTCTTGATTTTCATTTTTTTGATTTTTATTTTCTTGTAGTTGTATAGTTTTTTTTCATATTTATTGATTCATCCATGTTTTCCAAATCATTATGTATGATTCTTTTATCTTTTCTTCCATTCCTGTTAATGCTTTTTCAAATAATTGATTCATATCTTCCAATATTGTTCGTTTTACAAACAATATTGCAAGGTCAAACCGAGAACAGCGAGATAATTCTTGAAGAATACCAAGACTTTGTTTCCACCATTTAGTTTTATCTTCTTGTTGATATGCATACTTAATTGAGTGTAAAAAGGTTTCTAAAAAAATACCCTCTAGTCCTGCTGTACCAAAAAGACGAGGTAGTATCGTATAGTTAATAGAAAAAAAATACATAAGTTTTTGATGTTTTAATATTTCTGTTTCTTCCATTATTCTAAGTTTTTGTTCAAGTATTTGTAATGTTGGTATTTCTTCTTTTATTGATCTTTCACATTTCACACCATTTGATGATGAATTATATTCCTTTGTACTAAAATTATGTTGATATTGATTTTCTGCCCATGAAGGCAACGTTTCAACCTCTTTAATAGCAATTGGTATTCTTTTTACCACTTTTTCATCCGCACAATTTATATTAGTTTTGTTTAATAGATGCAATGCTTCTTGAATCGTCTGATTTTCTGGATCTCGAACTAAAACCTTATTCCAATCTAATATATCAGCTTATTTCCATTCATTCTGTATCTTTTGACCTTCTCTTGCTGCTTTAATATCTCCTTGTTGTTCATAAGCTTTTCCACGCCGAAAAAGTGCTTTTAAATTATACGGATTTCTTTTCAAAGCTTCTGAACAATCATTTATTGCTTCCTGCCATCTAATACATATAAATCTCTTGAATATTGAGATCTCTTTCCTACCGACTAAGTTGAAGATATGTTTGTGCACGGTTTGTCCAAAGTCGTTCATCATCTGGTGACTTTAAAAGTGCTAAAATCTTGTTAAAACCATTGTAATCTCCTCTATTCTCTCTAATAAGAAATACCCTGTGTATATAAAGCCTCTGCTGTCTTAAAATCTCCTCTTAAATATGCTGCATCTGCCTTATTTTTTTCTGCCGGTTGAGCCATCAAAGATTTTGATCTCCTCTATACAAGATATACCAAAAATATATATAATGTTGCAAGTATTTCAGTGTGTTGGTGTATTTTTTTTTAATATGTTTGAATCTATAATAAATTTAAATATATCTGTAAAATGAAAAATAGTAAATTAATAAAAAAAAAATGATGAAAACTTCATAAGAATAAATGTTTTGAAGATTCTTAATTAGATTTTGACATGTTTATATATGTTTTTCGCTTTGTTTTTCGTTTTTTTTAATATTTTATATTTTATCTATACTTAAGGTTTACCACTTAAAAAATCTTTAAGAAATTCTACCATTTTTAATATAATAAAAAATAATCATTTTACATACTTTGCCTCGTTTCTGAATATTCTATTATATTTGTTTGAAGATTAGTGTCTTTTAATGGACTTTTAACTTGTTCTTCTACTTTTTCTAATTCAAACGTTTTTTGCGTATGTTTTTTTAAAAATGTCATTATATGTGTTTGTTGTTTCCAGAAATTAAGTGTTTCCTGTATATTCGTCAATTAATACATTTTTGTATTTTAACACACTTGGTATTCTGCATGTCCCTGAAAAATTAAAATATCAAGTTTCTTAAGATCTGTAATATTCTTGTTCTTTCTATACGCATTCCGTAATGCTGATTTAACTTCTTGTATCGGTACATCAAGTTGATACATTTCAACTACTATTGGTATTGCTCGTTGCCATGCTCTATATTGTCTTAAAACCCTTTTTCTCGCTTCTTCAATTGTTCTTGATGCTGCCGTACGAATAGCTAATGCTGCTGGTTGTGTTGATGTCATTTTTTTTACTTTTTCTTTATTATTTTTATTTTCTTTCTTTTCTCTATTTTTTAATTATTATCTTTCTAATTTTTGATGTTTATTATAAATATTCTTTATCTCCTATTAAATTCTTATTTTTCGGCTTAATTTATTTTTTATCAGCATAAAAATTTAATAAACCTTTATTTATATCTTTAATACACGGTAAGATATTTTTAGCAGCAAGTTTTATCTTTAATTTAAGTTAAAATTCTCTAGTTTTGTATGTTTTTGTTTTTTTCCCAATAATTTATATTATAAAGAAGTTAATAATTGATTCTGGTCATTAGAATCATATAAATGAGTTCAATTTATCTTAGTTTTAAGCGTTATTTTGTTGAAAAAATGGTTTCTAAAGAAACACCTATTCTGGTTCTTCATGGACTATTTGGATCAAAAAGACAATGGAATACGTATTAAATATAAGTTATAATTGTTATTATTGAGTGTTATTAGTTTCTGCAAAAGTATGAATATGAGGACAGATCGTATTCTTTATGCTATTGTAAGTTGAACAAAAGAAGATAAGCTATTTAAGCATTTTCAAGAACATTTTATTATTATTTTGAAAATATTAAATATTGAGGACTGATCATTGGTTATATGGATAGGATCTTCGTAATCATGGAGAAAGCCCCCATTGTTTACCTCATAATTATGAAGCTATGGCAAAAGATGTTGTGAAATTAATTGAAGATCAAAGTCTTAAATCAGTAATTCTTCTTGGTCATTCTATGTAAAAATAATAGTTATTTATTATATGTCTAAAGGTCTTCTAAGGGGTGCTAAAACATGTATGGCGATTGGACTGATGTATCCAACTCTAGTGGAATCAATGATTCTTTTGGATAATGCACCGGTTCATACATCAGTTGATCCAAATCTTGTAAAATATATAGAACAGATGAATATGGTTCAACGAGCTTGTGTTAAAAAGAAAAAAGAAGCAGATAGTATGTTACAGGCATCAATTGAGGTTTAGGATTGTGTAATAAATGGGAATAAGATGCTAAGACTTTATAGGATATCAATGTTAGACATTTTTTACTTTCAAATCTTGTTCGTCATGGAGATCATTTGTTATTTAGAATTCCATTAGATATACTTGGACAATCGCTTCAGAATATTGCTGGATTTCCATTTGAAGGCACATATTCTGGTAGAACATTATTTATACGTGGTAGTAGGAGTCGATATGTATTAGATTCGTATTTACCAACAATTCGCAAGTTTTTTCCTAATTCTCAAGTGGTAACACTTGATGCTGGTCATTGGGGTTCAAAAATATAAATAAAATTGCTTTGTTAATTTAAAATAGTACATGTTGACCAACAAAAAGAAACTTTACAGGCAGTCGAAGCATTTCTCCGACATATACCAATAGGAAATAATAATTTTAATAATAAATAATTAATTTTTTAATATTAATTTGGCTACATTTCCGAATTAAAAAATGTGCTAATATGAGTTTTAAAGATAGTATTATTTATTATAACTATTTGTTACTAAATATACTCTTTTTTTTTACCATCAAACTGAATCTAAAATTTCCGGTTCTTTAAAATCTTTTGATACTTTTAGACCCGTATCTTCAATTGATTCCCCATGTAGCTCCAAAAGACGTGACATTTCAACACGGGGCGCTTTAAGGATTTTGACCTTACGAATAAATACCTATAAAAATTAAATATTCATAAATAAATAAAAATAAAAATAAATACATACATTTTGAAGAGGATATATTCCTTGCGTAGATTTAGTAATTTCTCGTCCAATTACCTCCGGAATAAATTTTTGCACAAGTTCCTTCAATGAACACGATGATGCCTCCCTTTGAATTACTTCAAACATTTTTTTTCTAATCTGTCGTATTTGTGAACTTTGTGCATACGTCGTCTTTTTGATTTGATTAGCTCTTCTTCTTGTAAATCCAATCACAAATAAACGTAAAACATATCCATCCGTTGTTTTCACATCTTGATGTGCTTCAATTAATGTCTGCCACCTTCTAACAAGTGATCGAAGCTTATCCGACGTCATTAACATCCCGTAAAAGTTCGTTAAACAGTTTTTTCCTTGAACTTCTGCAATTTGTAACTTAATCTTTCTAAAAGCATGTTCTTCATCTTTTTGCAGATCTGCTAACGAAACTTCAATAACTCGTCCTTTTAATGAATCATTTGCATTCTTAAGCCCCGTCGTACGATTAACCAATGTTTTTCCAATATCTCTAACTTCAAAAATAGACGGCGCCTTAAGATCATACCAATCCTACTCTTATCAACTTTGTTTTCTTCATTTTATATATCTTTACTTTACGAGTAAATGGGTCTATGACCTTCTTTTTAATCCCTTTTTTTCCTTTAGAAAGTCTTTTATTTTTACCAACCGCTTTATTTTTTTATTAATATTTTCTTAATTATTATTAAAAACTTACCCATTTTTTATGAAAAATATTACTTGTTAAAAATATCCAAAAATCCTGTCCGAGACTTGTTAACGGTCTGTCGAGATTGATATTTTACTTAGGTTATTGATGAACGAACGGTTAGGTCAGGTATGGTCGGTAATTAATTGATCAAGGGTTATATTTCACCAAGGGTTATATTTTAGTGTTAGTTAGTAGTTAGTAGTTGTTTTAAAGTTTAAATATAGATATGAAGAATATAATTATTGTTTTAGTTATTTTTAAAAATGGGAATTATACAAATAGATAAGAGTATTTATCAAGCTAACAAATCTATTTTAAAAGAAAAAATAAAAGTTACATCTAATTTAAATGAATCTTTGCTATAAGAAATGAAAAATCAAGTAAATTATATAATTTTTACAATACCAAAGTAATAAAAAGTATTGAAATATTATGTTATAGATTTTATTCTAGTAGATGTGATTGTATTTATTAAATCTAGAAAATAAACCTATAACTTCAAGTTTAAAAATATCAAAAATGAATCATGTCTATTATAAAGTATAAGTTGTAAAAAAGAAAACATGTAATTTGAATGTTTTGGTATCATATTTAAACTAGATGCTACAATCCAAATGCAAAATGTTAATTGAAAAAATGAGTAAATCTTCTACTTTGTTCATGTACGATCTAAAAGAGGATAAGTTATTTAAGAAAAATTAAGAAGAATGTATTACCATTTCATCAAGTTTATATGTATTGAGTTCTTCTTTAATACGTTGTGCCAAAATGGGTGTTAGTCGATTACATGTAGCAATTTCACCTCTTCTATCATATTCGAATGAAGGCCATGTATCATAAATTGTTATTTTAGGCGAGAAACTAAGAGATTTTGTACTTTTAGTAATAGATGTTTCAGTTGATGATAATGTATTAGGAACGTCATCAAACGTAACCAATTCAAGAGGAATAGGAGGTGAGAATTGAATTGGAATATCGGTTAGTGAATGTGATGGTTTAAGATTAGGTATTGTTGATGACCAATCTGCATCTAAATCAATTAGTAAATTATAATGAAACTAGAATAATACATTTAAGAATTCCTTTTTTTGTAGGAGGACAAGGTTTGAAACATGTAGATTGATCGTTCTTTTTTTCTTTAGTAGGATCATTGATTGAAGCTATGCTTATAGAAGTATTTTCACATGTTGGTTGAGATGTTAATGTATCCTCTATATGTCTATCTTTTTTTTGTTCTTGTACATGATTGTTAAGTTTTAATAAATTATTTTCATCTTTTTCTATGCTTCCAGAGCTTTCTAGATTATTATGAAAAGAATTTATCGAATTTTTTGTTCCTAAGTTGTTTTTACTTATTTCTTCTATCATACTTTTCTTATATTCTTTGGACATTGCAATTTTAGAGTCTTCAAAATGTAAACTACCTTTAAAAATATTTGAAAGTGTTTTTTTTGATTTTTTAAGCATTCCTTTTCCCTCTTTACTTATTTTTCTTAATATGAAACTTGCAGATGATGCTGTTGATGTAATTGAAATGCTATCTGGTGATGTCAACTTCTTTGAAAAGGAATATATCTCAGAATTGGTAGTGATGTCATCTATTTGAGCAGTATCATTTGATATATTTTGTGAATATGTATGATTTTTTGTATGTTGTACATTATTTGTGTTAATTGTTTCTAATGATGACAATGATGTAAAAGATAATACTTTCAAAATTTTTGACTTAAAAGACTTTGTTTTTTCAAAAGGTACAAATAATTTAGGATTTGAGGAATGTTCATTTTGGATTACATTTTGTTCCGTATTAGAAATAAATGAGCTTTCATTCAGTTCTGGTACTGCCTCGATTTCTACGTTTTTTATTTTAGAAATATCATTATTAACATTAGGCTCTATTTCTTCGATAAATAAACGAGATTCAGCATTTTTATCATCATTAGCTAGTGAAATAGAAGAATCCGTCTCCACATTCGCAGATGGTTTTGATGTCATTTTATACTGCAGAATCCTTGTATTCTCTGTTTGAAAAGGTATATTAGAAACATGAGAATTAGTATTATAGACTGATGATATTGTCGAATCTGGAAATAGATATCCATTGCTTCTGTTATTAGATGCAATTCTTAAACGTTTATCCAAAATATGCTTTTCTGATGATCTTCGATGAACTTGATGTAAAGAACGAGGTGATAAAAGTGGATGTTCTCTTGAATGAATAGAACGCTTAAGCTCTTGACGAAGATATCCAGGAGAAATCACTGACGCATAAGGACGATGATGCTGTATATATATATTATTCATATTTATTGCTGATGCTGAGCGAGGATCAATTCTAGGCAATGAGCGTACCATATAACTATCTATATAAAACATATTAATAAATATAAACTTATACACTAATTTTCTTTATTTCATTAATACCTTTTGATCTATTATGAATTCCTCCATTCTTATTCCGAGAAAATGAATATTGCTTGTTATTATACTCTGTTTTGTTATAATATGAATATCCATGAGAAAAAGATACACGACCAGACGTTATTCTTGATGACGGCTGCTCCTGTTCTCTTGTCCAACCTTGAACTACACTTGCTGCTGCCATTGACTTGATCCTTACTATCAAAAAATATATACAAAAAAATATTATAAATTCCAAATATATATTTTAAACAATCCTCAAAATCTTTACAAAGAACAAATGTTCCTCTCATTCATACATATAAAACCCTGTTCATACAGCTTTAAACCCTTTATTCTATGTAATTCCCCTCTTTATTAAATAAATATAGAAATAGGTTGCTGATTAATATCGGTTGTTATGAAAACCCAAAATATAATTAATATATATGAATTTTCTTATAAAAAGAATAGCCACTTTTAATATGATATTTCCGTTTGTTTTTATTTATTAAATGTTGTTTTAATGTTTGTTCTGTATAAAACATGTGTTTTTATATTTTTTCATTTAATTCCTTATTTCAATATTCCCTTGTATTGATATGTCATAGAGTATTTAGGAACTCTGTTTTTATTTGAGTTTTTCTCATTTTATCCTCTGTTTTTTTATTGTAATTTATTTTACCATATGTTCGTATACCACTAAAAAGTTGTATATAAAATTTTACTGGATTTTGACAAAAATTCCTTGAATTTCTTATACATCCAATCAAAATGAGTCAGAAATATGTCTGATTTGTTAAAATAACGACTAATCATATTTTTTGTAATAATCAATATATCATGAAATAACAAATTATACAGAAATTCTGTATTAAATACTAGTAAATTATTGTAAAACAGGTTTTAGATGGTAGTTTGGATGTAGTTTATATTTAGTTTTTATGGGTTATTTATAAGATAAAGATAGGCGTATTTATCGTAGATTAAGATCTTAGACGTTGAAAATTTTAATATAACTTGATAACAGGTATTGTTGGTGAAGAGGACTCTGATATGGCGCGGAAGAGGAGTAATAAGGGAAATTTGGATGATAATAGGAATAAAGGCGCTATACAGAATAAATCTATATGGTTTTTTAGTAGAGGATCGAAATTAATATCGTTTTTATTTCCACACAGAGGGTTTGTTAAAAATTTATATAGAAATGAAGGAGGATGTAATGGGAATAGTGGTTCAGGAGTAGATTTAAGACATACATTTTCATTTGATGTTCCGTTATCAATTTCAGGGTTTTCAAATGTTGGTTTTTATAGGAATATAAAAAAGTTAAAAAATGAGAAAAAAAAACCGGATTATTCATTAAAATTTTTAACGCATATGTATAAGAATGAACCGCGTAATGATAAGACGTATCAGTATGCACCACTTTTAGATTCGTCCCATTTATTTGTTTCTCAATATCCAAAGGGAAAACCTTTCCCTCCGATAATTGAGGATGAACCGTCGTATTATTATCTTATTACGACATATTTTTCATATCTTATTCTTATTATTTTGGGACATATACGTGATTTTTTTGGTAAAAGATTTGAAAAACAAAAATATTCACATTTACGTGCACATGATGTAAGTATGATTTTAAGTTTTATTATAAATTTTATTTTTTTTTTTTTTAATAGGGATATGCACCTCTTAATTCTGATTTTGATAATTTTTATGTTAGACGGCTTAAAATGCGTTTAAATGATTGTTTTAGTAGACCTACTACGGGTGTACCTGGTCGGATGATTACGTTAATTGAACGTGTTAGTCATGATTATAATAAGACATTTAATTTTACTGGAAATTTGATTGAGTGCTTAAATTTTTCCTCATATAATTATTTGGGCTTTGCACAAAGTAATGGTCCTTGTGCTGATTTTGTTGAAGAAGTTATTAAAAAATGGAAATTTAGTAGTTGTGGAGCTAGGTCTGATGCTGGTATTTTTAGTTTTAAAATTATAGTAAATATAATGATGTATTTTTTAGGAACTCTTGATTTGCATGTACAATGTGAAGCATTGGTTGCTAAATTTGTTGGGAAGCCTGCGGCAACAATATATAGTATGGGGTTTGCTACTAACGCAACCTTGTTTTCTGCTCTTGTATCAAAGGGATGTCTTATAATATCTGATGAACTTAATCATTCGTCTATTCGTTTTGGCGCTCGTCTTTCTGGTGCAAGTATTAAAATGTTTAAACACAATAATATGGAGGATTTAGAAAAGCTATTAAGAGAATGTATTTCTCAAGGTCAGCATCGTACGCATAGGCCTTGGAAAAAAATTCTTGTTATTGTAGAAGGATTATATTCTATGGAGGGGACTCTTTGTAATTTGCCGAGTCTTATTTCCTTAAAGAAGAAATATAAAGTATTATTTTTCAGATACTTTCTTATTCTAACATATTTAGTTTTATTTGTATATAGATGAAGCGCACAGCATTGGAGCTATTGGGCCTCGTGGACGAGGTGTTTGTGATTATTTCTCTATCGACCCATCAGAGGTTGATATTTTGATGGGTACATTTACTAAGTCTTTTGGTGCTTCTGGAGGGTATATCGCAGCTGATAAGCCTATAATTGATAAATTACGATTTCTTAATGCTGGATCTCTTTTTTCAGAAGCTATGAGTCCTATAGTTGTTGGTCAAATTATGTCTAGTATTAATATTATTCTTGATGAGACTCAAGATGAAGGGAAAACCCGTTTACAGCGGCTTGCGTTTAATAGTCGATATCTTCGACTTGGACTTAAACGCTTAGGTTTTATTGTTTATGGTCATGATGATTCTCCTATTGTATTGTATGTTTGCATTTATGATTGTTGATTATTAAGAATCTTATTAATTGTAGAATACTTTTGTATAATCCTGGAAAAATGCCAGCTTTTTCTCGTTTAATGTTGGAGCGAAAAATTGCTGTTGTTGTTGTTGGTTATCCGGCAACTTCTCTTGTGGAATCGCGAGCTCGATTTTGTGTTTCTGCTGCTCATAATAAAGATGATTTGGATAAGCTCTTGACTGCATGTGATGAAGTTGGTATGTAAACTCATGTTAAATATAAAATTGCTTATATCATTAGGTGATATTCTTCAACTTAAAAATAGCAGTGGAGCTGCTGGAGAAAATGTGGGTGTAAAGCATTTAGAATATCTTCTCAGTGGTGCTTATAAATCATTTAATCCTCCTCCACGCTGGGCTCTTAAAGATGTTATTGAGCGAGGCGTAGATGATGTTAAGGATTAAAGTTTATATTTTTGATTCTTTTATAATATTTATATTAACGTTAAGTTATATATGATATTGAGGGTATTTTCGTTTATTTTAGGCTATGTAACATGCTTTCTCAAATATTTTTACTTTTGTTGCTATAATTTGTTTATCATATTTGTCTTTAAAAAGTATGGATCTTGATTAAGTGGTTTAAATTACGATTAATTTATTCTATATTTTCGAGAACTTAGTACTTCAAGGGTTTATTTATTATTACTGTAAAATGGTTTTTAAATCAAGAGGATATATTTTTATTTTAGGAAATATATTATACTAATAGGAAAATATATATTGTAATATTAGGTGGTTTTCATTTACATAAATATATTTGTATAGGTATTGGTTTTTCGATTTATATAAAAGTTGAATTTGAAAGTGTATTTGTATAAATATTATTTATGTATTATCCTACAATATAGGTTAATTTATTATGTCTGAAAACACGATTAAATAACTTTAATTATGTAATAAATGTTATTTGTTTAGTAATTTCTGGGCTAGATTTTTTATTTTTTTCAGATATTAATAATTTTATTTTAAAACTTGGTATTTGGCAATAATATATAAACATAATCTATTAAGATATATAATATCTAGTAAATATAATGATATAAATATTTCTACAATTGGAAAAACTGTTTTAAATTTTTATAATGATGTTATATATAATAAAAGATGCTTGCAATTTAAAAGAGTATATTGTAAGTTCGTCATAATTAAAGATTGAGAATCCATAAGCTATTTTTTATTAATTTATTAAAATAGTTTATAAGTTCTACCTGTTCTATGTTTTTGTTTAAAAGAAATACACCAAATTTAAAATGAGAATAATCTTGCCCTTTCAGCCATAAAGGAAAACTTTATTATCAAAAATATGAAAAGGAAAATTATTTATATAATTACCTCTTTGAGTTTTGATAAGTATCAGTAGGATCTTCAATAACAGAACGACTACACATAGGTCGAATAGGATATCTTAAAGGGATCCTCAAATAAAAAGATAAAAGATATACTAAATGTGCTGTATATCCTAGGCCAGCAGCAATTTGATTATTATCATGCTTATAATAATCTGTATTTGGAAGAAAAATATCGCAAATAGTAAAATCAAGAGGCTTATCAATAACTGGTTCTATAGGGAAAATGTTTTGCAATTCAGTTGCAATTTGACATTTATATGTAGATATTTTTTTAAAAACTTGAGATAAGGTCTCTTTTCTGTGTTGAAGAATTTTTCTGGCATCCTTAAGATAATTTATGACCTTCTGTTGATTTTGTAAACCTATTTTTATAGATTCTCGCCTTGCATTTAAACTTTTTTGAAGAGAATATTTATATTCTTTTGCTAAATTAAATAAATAAATTTAAAATATTAAATAACAAAAAAATAAAATACCTTCTTTAAATTTTTTATTTTCAAGAGCAATAGTATTCTCTAATTCTGACAAATGTTTAGATGATTTATTCTTTTGCTTTTGAATTTCAAAAAGTTTGTAGTATTTGTCTAAATATTTTTCAAGAGATTTCGTTAACATTCTTATAGATCTATTTGCATCCCATATACATTTTTCTAGAGTATTTAGTTTCATAATATCGTGATATGAATAGGATTCTTTAGTCTTTTATTGTTAAAAATATTAATAGCATTAAGCATTAATAGAAAAATACCTCTAGGTTAGTAGACATATACGAGAGTGGGTATGCTAAATTATGATATGAATAATATCCATCGTTAAATCTTAAAATAATACAATTTTTTGGAAAGGATGATTTCAAAGAATGAAGCTATTTATAGTTAGAAAAATAGTTGATAAAATACTATATTTATACATTTTCTCCAATATAGTTTAAAGATGAAAGATGTGTTGGTTGCTTTATCAATAATTGGAAAGGACCTCCATTTGATATCCAAACGCAAATTATAAGAAAAGACAGACAAATAAATGACGTTTTTATTGTAGAAAAATCAAATGATAAAAAATCCGGATTCTATAAATATTTTAGTATATAAACAAACAACAATACACATTGAAATAATAACCATCGTTTTTGTAACAATTTCACTAATATACAAAGGATGCTCTAAATTATTAGTATATCGTTAACATCTTTATATAAAATACCAATATTTTTAACATGGAATGTAAAAAATGTATCTACAAGATGATTTTTTAATGCTTTTTCCAAATATGCTAAACGTAATAATGGCTCTTCATAGGCCATTAAGTCCCTTCTAAGACTATGTCGTCTTATTCTAGATGGTGCCAAAGGTTGTAATTCTCTTTCCGATGTATCCGTTTCTAATACAGAATGATTTAATTCGTCTTTCTGAATACTTTGTTGTTTAAATTTCTCTTTTAACTCATCAATCATCTTATTATACACTTCATGTCCCAATGTCCCATATGACATCTGTTGCTTATCTAATTCATCAATAGTTATGTTTCTTATAGAAACTCCTTTCAAATGACATATTTTCTTCTATTTCCATATATTTAGAGACTTTATTGTTTTACCAAATTTTCCTGAAACCTCTGTAAAAAAAACATTTTTTAATGAATATTTGTTCTTGTTTACATCCATTCCTTATTAGAAACCTATATCCAATATTTTTTTCCTCTATTACACCTTTTTTTCAAAAATAATATATATATATATATATTTTTATTCCTTTTTTTTTAAACAAAAAAGACTTCTATTCTTTCACTCTGTGTTCTCCCTTATAATCCCATATATTCCTGCTTATTTTCTGCTTTTCATACTCAAAAATATTAATAATTTCTTATTTTCTTGTGACGTTGATTCTTATAAATTTTAAGAAAATTGTAGCCCGTCCTGCTTAAATAAAGACTTCCAATATGCTTCTTTACAGAGATATTGTTAGCGGTGATGAGCTTATCTCAGATGCCTACAATTTGAAGGAGGTTGACGATGTACTGTATGAAGTTGACTGTGCTATGGTTCAGATTAAACAAGGAGAAGTTGACATTGGTGCCAAGTAATAGACTTATATTTATTTATTTTTCTAATTTATAGTCCATCTGCTGAGGGAGATGAAGAAATAACAGAAGATGGTGTTGAAACTGTGAATAACGTTGTTTATTCTTTTCGTCTGGTTTCTACAACATATACAAAAAAAGATTACCAAGTTTATATTAAGTAAGAATAAGATAATAATTGAATAAAAAATAATAATAATAAAGATCATATTTAAAGAAGCTTAAGTAAAGGGAAAGATGAGGAATATGAAATGATTGATATATTTTAGACAACATTTGCAGGAGAATTGTCCAGATCGAGTGGAAGTATTTGAGAAGCAAGTGACAGTTTTTATTAAAAAAGTTTTGGCGAATTTTTCAGACTATGATTTCTATATGGGAGAAAGTATGGATGTAGATGGTTATATTTATATTTAGGTTTATGTTTATTTTATTGATTGTAAGTATAGGGATGGTAGTGTTATTAAATTATCGTGAAGATGGGATAACACCATATATGACATTTTTTAAGGATGGTCTTAAGGAGGAAAAGCTTTAAATGTGTTGAAAGAGGGTAATTTTTATGTAAAATAATTATAAATAAGTAAAATATATTTTTATATGTAAAATATATTTATATATGTAAAATATATTTATATAATATGTTTGAAAAAAATATTGTTTTATTGTTTGATATGTTTTTTAGACCACCATGGATGAAATGGTTTAACGCCAATAATATGATTATTATTGTTATGATCAATATGATGAATAATGTATTTATCTTGTTCAGATTGATTGAATACATTATCAAGACGCATAAGTCCTAATCCAATATTACCAATTCCTGAACAAAATTTACCCACACTTTTTTCTCTAGAATCTTCTCTTACAATAGTAGTAGCTTGTACAGGAAAACAAAACTTTAGAGATGGATTGTATTCAAGTATAGATGGCGGTGAATCGTTTGGATTATAAAATGAAATAGGAACAATTCGTTTTCTTACAACACCTGTATGATAAATTCTTGTTGTAAGTTCTTGACCAATATAACATCCTTTATAAAAATTTACTACAAATTTATTAATTCTTTCCAAATATATTCATATTCATATATACTTCCTCCCATATAATCTAAACAACTTTCTATAGGAAATGCTTTATTTTCAAAAATATCATCTGCCCCTTCTGGAACACCCAAAAGATATCTCTTTATTTTATAATTTTCCAATGGAACTTCTTCCAATTCAAATTTTGGTTTAATATTATATGGTAGAATATCTCTCCTCCCCATTCCTGGTGCTCGACAATCATAACAACCAATCGATTCTTCTTTTTTACATTCATTCTTCTCATTTATACCCCATGAAGACCAAATACTCCATTCATCTTTATCTACCAATTCTAATGATATTCTTGAACGAAGTTTATAATGTTTCATGTGATCAAGAAGATTTTTTACACTCCGTGCATCACATTCAATAAAAAAAGCTTTATAATTCTTATCTTCCGATATATTTCTACTTCTTCTCCATATAGAATTATGTGCTATTGAATATATAAAAACATCACACAAGATTCGTCCCTGATGATTAGCCGGTTCTTAAACATCCTATAAAAACCATACTTGTGGCAAAAAAAAACCAGAAAAAACACCATTATCAGGTCCAGCTGATGGAATACTATTAGATGTCATGTTTTGAAGGAATGTTTCTGCATCCGATCCATATATTTCAATTAATCGTCGTTCTGGATTAAGACGAGTCATGCCTTTATCAAAAGGATTCTTTAATATATATGAAAAAGACCTGGAATAGAGGCATTGGAAGTGCTGGAATTGGTGCTTCAAGCCTCTGATTATCTTCATTTATTTTTATTTAAACGTTAATATTTTTAATATCGGGATTGCCAACGTCAAGGCAGGCCAAATAATAAGAATGAGATATTAATAAGGATAAACAGATAGGATAAATAGCTTAAACGCATTACTAATATGTTTTAGAAATATATAGTTTTATATGTGCGAATTTACCTGATTAAAATTGGTTAAATAGAGCAAAAGATAAGGTTATTAAGAATCTTGACATATAAAAATGGAGAAAATAGATAGACTTCAGTTAGAAGCACTTGTGAATAAAGAATGATTTTAAGTGTATTTTATGGTTTATTATTTGTTTAGGAGTCTATTCGTCGATTTATTAAGTCGAAAACATGTTATGATGTGTTACCAGTGAGTTTTCGGATGATTGTTCTAGATACAGAACTTTTGGTTAAAAAAAGTCTTACAATTTTATTTCAGAACAGTAATTTTTTTTATGATTTTATTTTGAAGGAAATTAAGGTTTTAGACATTGTTTCGGCGCCTTTATGGAATATGAAAACATGTACTTTTGCGGGTTTATTAACGGTTTCTGATTTTATTAATGTAATTCAATATTTTCATCAAAACGCATCATATTCTCAGACGTTGGAAGATATTGAAAAATTGAAGTTAGATGGATTAAGAGGTATTTGTATTAGTTGAAAATGGAATTTTAAGTTGAATTAAGTCAGATATTGAAAAAAGTATCAATGCTCCACCCTTGGAAACAATTTCAATTAGTCCTATGCGTAGTCTTTATGAAGCATGTGAAAGAATTAGGTTAACAAAAGCAAGACGGATTCCTTTGATTGATTATGATGATGAAACATATCATGAAGTGGTTGTTAGTGTTTTAACACAATATCGTATATTGAAATTTGTTGCTTTAAATGTATATTTTATGGGATATTTCTCTTGTTCTGAAATAAAAATAGTGTTATAAAGAGACCAAAATGCTTCGAAAACCATTGTGTGATTTGTCAATTGGAACTTATGAAGACCTTGTAACTGCTAAAATGGATACACCTGTTATTGATGTAATTTACCTTTTAGCTAAGAGAGGAATATCTAGTGTTCCTATTTTAGATTCAGATGGTATGTTTCTTTAAAATTGAAAATTTAATAATATATAAGGCATTATATTGAATATATATGAGGCAATAGATGCTTTGGTAGTTTTAAGAATGAAGAAATTGTAGCATAATTAATTGTTATAGCATTTGATTCAATCTGGTTCATATTATGATTTGGAGCTTACTGTCGGTGAAGCTTTATTACGACGCTCTGAAGTAGTGAAATTGATAGGTTTCTTTTTATTTTAACAATTTATAGGATTTTGGTGGAGTTCACACGTGTACAGATCAAGATTCTTTGGATGGTATTTTTGATGTTATCAGAAGGTCTAGAATTCATCGATTAATTGTTGTTGACAAAAATGGATGTTTGAAAGGTTTGGTAACTTTATCTGATATTTTACAATATATTATGGTTGAAGAAATACCGAATCAATGATTTTGTAGAAATTTTACATTAATGAATTTATTGCTGGTTTTTATATTTATCTAGAGTATTTATTTAATGTTTTTTATAAAGTATATTGTATTGCAATTTAAAATTGCAAATTTTTCGATGTATAAAAAATATGAAATAATGGCGTTTTATTAAGTAATATGATATGATTGTTTGATAATTTGATGTCAATGGTTTTTAAAAAATTACATAACTTTTTGTTATAACTATTGATAAATTATATGAAAGTATGATCACCACTCTGCAACTAGCTTTACTTGTCTATTGTTTTTATAATCTTCTAGATCCTTTTCTGCAGTTTCTGCTCGTTTTTGCCATGCTTCTGATTTTCTTTGCCAATCGAGACATCTACTAAATAACCTTTCTGCCTCTTGAGTTTTGATTTCTAAATGAATTTGTATCTCTTCTTTTTCCTTTTGGCTTATAATAAGTTGATTCTTAAGATTAATTATTTTTTCTTTATACTCTAACTCATTTATAAAGTTTTTTTTAGTTTTTGGTAATGTTCCATCAGAATTTGTTTCTATTAAATTTAAATATTTTTTAAAATTTTTTAACATAAATATTACCATCTGTATTTGTGCGTGCTGTTGTAAAAGTATTATTGTCTAAAGAGGAAAATTTAGTTAACATATGCTCATCAGTGTTTGGATCAATGTTTTCTTTATTATCATCATAGAATTTTCTATAAAAATTTTTGTTTTCTGAATGCTCTATTTTGTTTTGGGTGGTATTCTTATTACACTCAGAAATATGTAAAGATGGTTGAAGTTTCTTTAATTGTGCTATTATTTGTTCCCAATAATCAATTATAGTTTCGATAAGTTTGGCACTTTTCCTTGCTTTTTCCTTTTCTTCTTTTATTACTTTTAATGGTCCTAATTGTTCTTTATCAGATAAATTTTCTGAATTCATGATGTCTGAAATATCAGATGAATTTATTTGTTTTCCTAATAAAGTTGGCGCAAATACTAAGCCAAGTGCTTCTGGTTTCATGTAATTTAGATCTTTTGGATAATTTAAGACACGTTCTTTATGTTCTGTACATGTTGCTACTGCTCTTAAAAGTGCAAATACTGAGCAAGCTAAATAAAATCTATCTTGATCTTCAATTGTAGATAAGGCTAATGCAAGCATTCGTGCGCGTATTTCAGGTGGCATTAAGACACGGGCTGAGGCTCTGTCTTCCAAAAGAGGAAAAAGTGCTTGAAGTTGTAATTTATTTCCAATAATTCCCCCGGGTAGTTCAACTAGTAATTTTTTTATTAAACTAGCATAATCATGAATGTTGGGATTTATTTTAAAATTCTCTATATCCATTTCACGTAATATTCCGGATTTATTTTTTAGAAAGTGTTCAATAAAAGATCTTATAACTGATCGTGATCCATTTACTCTAAAAAGACCAGGTGTTTCAAGACCTATAAATAAATCAATTATATGAGAAAATAATAAATCGAATACCCTTCTCCAGAATTTTTGTTACACATATTTTAAATATTAATGGAACTTTGTGCTCACTAAACATTAAATTTTCCGGAAAGTTTGCTATATGACTCGTGCCCATCTCTTGAATAAGAGATAATAAAGGAACTCCAAATATTCCATAAGATTCATTAGAATTAATATTACAATATTTCTCAAAGCATTCGTTACAAGGATTTTCGGTGTTGTTTAATGTATTTACTTCTACAGGATTTTGTACAGATTTTTTAAATATACTCCATTTGGAATTTGATTTTGATATAGCATCTTGATGCTTCTTTGAGTGTTTGCTTTTCATTATTTTTTTTATCCATTTCGAGGAATGGAATAATGAATGATTCATTTGGTATTTATATAATTTTTTAATGAGTTTTTTTTGTGTTTCCGGTTTGCTTTGTTGATAAATATGCTCATTCGATTCATCATTTTCTTCTTCATCATTTTTTGGATAACATGGTAACTTGTATTGTGTTGCTAATGAATTGTATTCTGAAATGAAATCCATACTTCCAGAGTCGGACTGTTTTGAAATACTTGATATAGAACAAAGAGACTTTTCTGATAATATAGGATAGTGTCTCACTTCACAAGATTCATTGCTAAATATATATATGTCTGTATCTTTTTCAATATCTGCCATTTTTTTTGATTTAGGCTAGATTAAATATAGCGATTGTTTTTTTTGAAGGGCGATAAGAATCTGCTTCCAAAAAGATATTTTCATGTAAATCTTGAGATAATCTAAGAAATATTAGTTAAAAAACATATAGTTTAAAGAATTTTAACTGTATCTCTTGAATTTTTATAATTTATTTTTACAAATATACAACTCGTTCACTTTTCGATCTAATCATAACAAAATCGACTTGTTAAATAGATAAACGAATGATTAAGTCTGATAAATAAAAATTAAAATACAGAAATAATAAAACTTTTAAGGGCTTATTTTTTATAAATTATGGTTGTTTTTAATTTGAGTTAAATAATAAGAAGAAATGTAAAGTTCAATCCAAAATTTTTGTAATAATAGCAGTTCCTACTGTTTTTCCTCCTTCTATATAAAGTTATATAAGTCAAAGAATGAATAGAAAGGGTTACCTCGAATAGTAAACCTCATGCCCTCTTCTAAAGCAATATCATGGATTAATTCGCAAACCTAGAAATATCAAAAATAATCAAGAGATATAAAATATGTTTTACCAGTTCTACATTGTCACCAGGCATGACTATTCTAGAGTCTCTATCTTTAACTTCTTCAGGATGTGAGAGTATAATTGTAACATCTATAAAATTAATAATTGAATGATTTATCTTTTAGAAAAAGATATTATTACCAGAAGTACGACAGAACATTTGAGGACGATAATAATTTACAAAACCTGTTTTTCTTCCCCCTTCTTTTTCTGTAAGAATGTAGAAAGATGCAAGAAACTACAAAATAAATTAAAAAAGTTTTTTTTAAATACTTTCCTACCTTTTTATAGGATTTAATGGTTCCAATACGGGAAACCACCATTCCTCTACGAACCTGTTCCCTTTTAATGCCACGAAGAAGTAAACCACAATTATCTCCAGCTATAGATTGATCTAATTCTTTGTTGAAAGCTTCAATTCCTGTAACTGTTGTTTTTATTGGCGTTCCAAACCCAATCAGTTCCACTTCTTCTCCTTTTTTTAGTATTCCACGCTCTACACGTCCAGTTACAACCGTTCCTCTTCCAGAAATTGAAAAAATATCTTCTATTGGCATAAGATATGGTTTTTGAATATCTCTCTGAGGTACAGGTATATGGTTATCGATTGCATCTATAAGTTTCCATATGGAATCTTCGCCAATCTCTTTTTGTTTGCCTTCTAAAGCACATAAAGCAGATCCCATAATAATTGGGGTTTTTTCTCCATCAAATCCATATATTGAAAGAAGTTCTCGGATTTCCATTTCTACTAGTTCAAGCATTTCCTTATCATGAACTGCATCTACTTTGTTGATAAAAACAATAATATGTTTAACTCCAACTTGTTGAGCAAGAAGAAGATGTTCTTTAGTTTGTGGCATAGAACCATCTGTAGCAGATACAACAATAATTGCTCCATCCATTTGAGCAGCACCTATGATTCTTAAATATTATTTACTTTTTAGACGTCATTCAAACCAGTAATCATGTTTTTAATATAGTCTGCATGACCTGGACAGTCAACATGGGAAAAATGGCGCTTTTTGGTTTCGTACTCAATATGTGATGTCGATATCGTTATTCCTTTAGCAAATATAAGTATTCTTAATATGTCTTTGCAAATAATAGATTTACCTCGAGCCTTTTCTTCTGGTGCTTTATCGATCTCTGAATAGTCTTTAAAAGATGTTTGATTTATTGTCGAAAGACATTTAGTAATGGCTGCTCTACATAATTTTCTATATATTCTTATATATTTTTTAAATCTTACGTAAGTGTCGTTTTTCCATGATCAACATGGCCTGTAAAGATATTCATTTTAAATTCTTTATAAATATATAACGGTCTTTACCAATAGTTCCAATGTTTATATGTGGTTTAGACCTATCAAACGTTGCCATACTCTGTACAATTGTTTGTCTATAGATTATCTTTTGGTGTTCGATCTGTGACCATATATCTATATACATTATAATTAATTATATTTATTAAATATTAGATATATAAAATAATACTCCATCTTGTATTAGATAAAAAAAACGGACGAAATGATCTTGAAAGATTACTGATTCTTATAGCTTTTGTTATCATATTTTTTAAGCTGTCGTTGAATTTTTTAACGTTAAGGTCTCAGATTGAAGTTTACCGATATAAAAAAGCTTACTTTAAAAAACTATAAATTCTTTTAAAAGTTTTGTATATTTTTTAATATTTTTTAAGTTATATTTGTTGAACTAAGGAATGGCGTAAGTTTAAGAGAAATACAATAATAATATGTATTTTTAATAAGCTAATTTGTTATAGTGATTTAATATCAAAGCCTCGATCAGAACTGACAGAGGCAGAATTACAACAGTTAGAAGCATATGAATTTGATACGGGTCCTCTTTCTGTTTTACAGCAGGGTGATTAGTTTTGTTGAATGAATTAGTTTATTTTTAATGAAGTTTTAGCTGTACGGAACCATAATCAAGTGTTAATTAGTTGTCGAAATAATCGTAAATTATTGGGTCGTGTAAAAGCATTTGATCGTCATTCTAATATGGTTTTGGAAAATGTGAAAGAGGTTTGATTTTGGTAGTTTTTTTTTTATATTTTATTAATATCTATAGATGTGGACTGAGGTAGACGAATGTTAATTTTTTTTTTTTTAATAATTTGTTTAGATTCCAAGAAATGCTAAAGGAAAGAAGGGTAAGCCTGTTAACAAAGATCGGTTTATTAGTAAAATGTTTCTTCGTGGAGATAGCGTTATTCTTGTACTGAGAAATACAGTGTAATTAATATTCTATATTATTATATATCTTTTTTATCTATCAAATTTATATCATTTATATATGTATTATTTATTATTTTTTTCTATATTTTTTTTCTGAATATGTTTAATATTTTATTATTACTAATTGTTTATGAGTCAATCTTGTGTAAAATTTGATCATATAATGTGAGTTTGGATTTTATATGTATTTAATGTGGGAATAATATCCTCAGTGATATTAATATTCCATTTCCAACAGAACAGCTTGCATCTCAGGCGGCAACTGTTTTGTCTGCTGATTCGGAATTAAAAAAGCATTTAGTATATAGAGAAATAAGAGTAGATGGGCCTTATTTTTCTGTAGTGTTTCAGAGCAATGATTTAAAATTCTTGCGTGTCTCTGTAGATTCATTTTTGGATAATATTATTTTAATGATTCGTACAGTAAATGAATGTGGGGATTTGTAGTTTGGCAAGAATATATTGTATTTATTATAAGGGTTTCTGGATTTGTAGTCAGCCTGCTTGAGATTACTTAGAAACAGGAAATGAATAAGAAATTGTAAAAATTTATAGGTTATAATGTTAGAATATTTTTTCATGTTTTGATTACATGAGTTTTTTCTTTTGAATACCTTAAGTTATTGATGTAGTGGCTTTGTTATTTTAGATTTATAGTTAATCATTTATATATATGATTTGTATTAAGTTTTCTATAATATAAATATAAAATGTATTATTAGGATGAGTTTTATGGGTGTTTTTATGTTTATTCTTCATTATATTATAGATATAGATTAGTTAAGAAATTTACATATTGTTTTATTATAGAAAGGTTATTATATTAGTAAATGTTGAACAATTTTTTTGAAAGTTAGAATATTAATATTTATAATACGATCAAGTGTAGCTATATGGATTCGTTTGTATAATGTAACTTTAAAGTATATTAAGCTAGCTTTCGGTAGAATGCTAAATATTCATAAAATATTTATCTGAAAAAATGTATTATTTTCAATAGATATAGTTGTTTCATTAAAGGTCTATTAAATAAAAAGCAACATAGGTCTTTATTAAATTGATAAAATAAATATTTCTGATTTATAATATTATAATTTTTAAAATATTTAAGTTCTATATATATATATATATTGAATTAATATAAATAGCCATAAATATTAGATTATGTAATATATATTTAAAGAGTTTAGATATTAATATTAAAATATGCCAAGTTAAACATAATATGTTTATAAATTAATAGCATTCTGTAAATAACATATATAACAGCTAGACAGTACAATTCTATGTAACAACACAAGTGGCATAAAAATGGTTTTGAAAATAATATGTGTCAAATGTATATAGATGAAATAATTTCAATATAAAAGGCTATATGATAAACGTGTTAATATTTAGTTTCGCGAATACTAGATTTTTGGAAACATAAAAAAATCTATCATTGATATGTTTCAGTTTCAAATAGGATTCAGTACATGAATGCTAAATTTAAATGTCAATTTATTTTATTATTTTATTAATTTTATAGAATTATGAACACTTATTATTTTAAAGGCTTAATTTCTAATGGCTATATAATTGGTATAATAATTGCGTTTTCAAGTTCAATACGAATATAGTTTTAAACATTTAATATATATGTAAAGCTTATTTTTAAGTAAAATTGAAATGCTAATATAAAAATGTATTGATATAATAAAAACAATTAGGTTTATTAATTATTTAGAAAAAATGGCTTTTTATTAAATGTACGAAAAATGGGAAAAAAAAATCTTGCCCGTTTAATTTTCTTGATTATGATTTGACTCCTAAAATTTTGAGATAATAAAAGATAATTAAACTAGGATATTTGATAAACTTTTTCTTTAATATTATTTACATCCCTTAAAGGAGTTGAATGAGAATCAAATACGGAGATTTTTGATCGGTATTGTGTATCCGTGCACATAGTCTCCGATGATATTTTTAAGGGCTTTTTGAAAAAAAAAAACTAAATCTGCTGCTTTCAGCCCTAATTAATACCATTCGCGTCTTAAAAATAAGCCAATCCGTATAAGAAATATTCATGGCTGAGTAGGTCTATACTTTATTTTATGAGAATAATCAATGCAACATTGTAGCGCTATTATTTCACTGTATGGTCCTTGCATTGATTTTAGAGTATTTTTTATGATCTCATTCAAAAATACCTTTGATGCGGAGTAAAAAGTATTTTCATCTATCCGTGAACATGACGGATGTGTAAAAAAGAAATGCTAATAAAAAATTGCATTATGCAAAGGGAAAATATGATTATTATGCAAATTGCAGCATTCAACATATGCGCGTTTGCTTTATTAATATCATCTGCAATTAATTGTTTTAGTGCATGAATTAATAATTAAAGGTTTAGCGGCATTTTACTGCAATATTTAGAAGTTAACCATATTTTTATAAAAAAAATATATACTAAAAGAATGCAAGTATATTAAGACTAAAAATGCCTATTAAATTTCTGCATGATTTTTATGGCTAAATTCTGATATTTTATAACGTTTTTAATGAAAAAAAAAACTTTAAAATGTTATTTTATCAATATTATTTGGTTAAATATATTTATTTTTATACTTGTATAAAAATAATAGCATAATAATATATTTGATACAATATACAATACGTATATTGCTTCATGTAGGTCATAGCATGAAATATTTTTTTATATGTGTATTGTTTTTATTATGTATATCAACGAGTGTAATATTTGGTCATTGGACGCTAAATATTTATCCGACTGAGTGCTCGTTGTCTTAAAGAGAGCACCAAAGTGGCTATTGAACGCTTATGTTCGTTATAAAAACGCTGCTAAAATGTTAACTTAGTTTTTAACTTTTTTTGGTAAGCGTCGTTACATAATAAGCGAGTAATACGCATACGTTAAGTGCAAATATGTGAACCGAGTAGCTTGAGACATAGTGCGAAAAGTAGAATTTCTTTATTGACCAACGAATCGAGGGAACCCGGCTATTGTGAAATTACGGATTATATCCAGAAACTCCTTCACACGAATATCTTAAGACAATGTTTTTATTTAATTGCTTATAATATTAGACAAGTTTTGAATGTTAATATTAAGTTATTGATTTCAAGACTCTAGGTCCAGTATTCTAGGTAAGTTTTTAGTTATGATGTTATTAAAGTAAATGATATAAACATATACTAGGTTGTCTCAGTGTTATTATTTTTTATAACACGAAGCTTTTTGTGGCATTGTTATTAATTGGTTCTTAAGCCTTTTGTTGTTTAAGGCTGAGATTTATTCGTAATTATATCAAGACATTCAAAATGATGCATTGTGTGCATCCGGTGGTGATTCCGAAACCAGATGAAGAATGGCGACGATTAGCTTCTTCTTCTGGAATTCGTAAACCACGGCAGATTTCATTGTATCGGCATCATCCGTATCTTCTTGCTAAGTTTGTTTCAAAATCGAAGTATGATACTTTAGAAGATCGAGATGGTCCATTTGCTCATTATGTTGTTTCTCCATTTTTATCGTTAATACTTGAGTCTCATGCGTCTGAATTCATTGCTCAGGTAATTTTGATTGTTATTTTGAAAGTGGCTTATTTTATTAGATCGCTTGTCTGATCTGGTTCGAGACTGATTTAACATTGTTTTCAATTATCTCTAATGTTCAATCATTGAATTTACTGAGTCCGAATTCTTTTCCTAAGGAAGAATTCCTTTCATGGAATCGACGTGTTTTCTCTTCTATAAATATTTCAAAAAATGTTATTTTTCTTGCATTACTTTTTATCTATCGTTTAAAGGAAAAAAATCCGATGATTAGAGGAAAGTCTGGGAGTGAGTACAGGCTTTTAACAATTGCATTAATACTCGGAAATAAGTGTATGATTACTTCTTTATTTTTTTGTATGATTAATGATTTTAGTTCTTGATGATAACACCTATACGAATAAAACATGGGCAGAAATTACTGGAATATCTGTAAAAGAGATTCATGTTATGGAAGCTGAATTTCTCGTAAATATTCATTATTCGCTTCTTGTTTCAAAGACTCAATGGGAAGATTGGCAGGTTATTTTGGAAAGGCTTTGGACATATTCTGTAAGCTTGGTGAAAATTCGGTTTTTGCGAAGTTTGCCTTGCTTATTGGCACCTTCTGATATTGCGTTATCTTATACTAATAATTTATACTTTTCTCAATTTATGCCTGTAGTATCGGCACTATCTGTTCCCTTGGTTCCTTCTCGGGGTTATTTAAAGGAGTATCCCGTAGAATTAAAGCATAAGGATTGTGTTTTAGGTACATCTGCCATATCTTTGGTTAAATGGACTTCATTGAGTCGTATTAATATGCCTTGTTGCAAATCTTAATCATTTTTATTACAAGGCTATTAATCAATATGATAGTTTTTTTACTCGAAGTTTTGTTTGTGGTTTATGCTTTGGACTTTTAGGTTTTTTTTCCATTGGATTTTGTTCACATTTATATGGCTCGATTATTTTTTTCTGATCTTATTGTTTTGGCACTCCTATTTTTTCCTTAATTTTAGCATTCAGATATTCGTCTTGTCTGGGTTATTGTATATTGTTGGCTTTCAATAATTATGTTTTCTTTATTATTTGTATATGGGAATCTATTGTGTTGGTATACGTCATTTTTAACTATCGATTTAATATTGGTTTATGAATGGATCGTAATACTACTTTTATCTGAAGTTACAATTTTTAGGGCTATTATGATAAACGTGCATACTGTTTTTGTTTGCATATCCCAAATATAATATGTATTAATTCAACGGATTCTTGAAAGACAATGTATAATATTGTTGGGCAGAGTGTTCTGATTTCATTAGCATTTTTTCATTTATATTGGTATAATTCGGTCTCATTTGAGTTTATTGTAACTGTTTTTGCTTGGGATTAGTGTATTATGATTGATTGTTTTGGTTTTATTTCTTATATGAACACCTTTTTTATCTTTTTTTTAATTTTATCGATATATATATATTTTTGTATATATTTGGTAATATAAATGAAAGTTATGTATTTTTATATATTTTTTATGGAGGTCTAAGAGAGTTATTTGAGTTTATTATGCCTATAAAAAAGGGTTTTCGCTTACATCGACCTGTTTCTAGATATTTTGCTGGGAAAGGTCCTGAACAAGTTGAATCAGATGATAGTGATTATGTATCTGATGAAGATAAAAATAATGCAACATCTCTTCATGATAAACAACCTATTAAAGTACAGGCTCCTGTTATTGACTTTCAAAAAATTGATAATCATGAAAAATTGAATATAAAAGAATGGCAATTAGATTCCACTGAAATTAGGCAGAATGATACAGAGGATTCTGAAGTATCTGATGAAATATTTATAAAATATATCCTTTACCTCTTATAATAAATCTTTTTAGGAAACTAGTGGGTATGAAACAGAAGAAACAGAAGAATCAGAAGAATCAGAAGAATCAGAAGAATCAG